CCTACTGAAGAGTTCTGGCATAGGGAAAATGCCCTGTGTTTCTTTAGCACAGTGCAGCGGGACTTGTTTCTGGTGTCCCTAAAGTGGAAATCAGAGGACAAAAGAGGGACAGGGTTGGTGGAGGGTGTTGTGTGTGTATATAGCGAGGCTGTGTGTGATATCGTTTACATTTGGAGGCTGCTTGTGAGACTGCATGTTGGGGAAGGCTACTTTTTCTGTGTGGGGGGTAGACTACCTGTGGTGTTGTGTATGCCTGTGTGTGGGGCGGCTGCTTGTGAGGTTTGGGGGAGGGAAGGGCGGGGGAACCTGCATGTAAGGTTGAGCTGTGGTATATGGTGGAGATATGGACTGTAATATATCAGGCAGATACGGATTGTAGTATGTGGCGGACAGGGATTGCAGTGTGTGACCGGAATAGGGCTGTAGTGTGGGGATGGGGCTGGGGGTGGAGAGATTGACTGTATTAGGGGATAGGTGTTGTAGTGGGGATATAGGAGCTGTGAGGGGGATAGGGGCTGAAGTGAGGGGGACAGGGGCTGTGGGTGGAGAGAGTGACTGTATTGGGGTACAGGTGTTGTAGTGGGGAGATAGGAGCTGTGAGGGGGATAGGGGCTGTGGGTGGAGAGAGTGACTGTATTGGGGTACAGGTGTTGTAGTGGGGAGATAGGAGCTGTGAGGGGGATAGGGGCTGTAGTGAGGGGGACAGGGGCTGTGGGTGGAGAGAGTGACTGTATTGGGGTACAGGTGTTGTAGTGGGGAGATAGGAGCTGTGAGGGGGATAGGGGCTGTGGGTGGAGAGAGTGACTGTATTGGGGTACAGGTGTTGTAGTGGGGAGATAGGAGCTGTGAGGGGGATAGGGGCTGTAGTGAGGGGGACAGGGGCTGTGGGTGGAGAGAGTGACTGTATTGGGGGATAGGTGTTGTAGTGAGGGGGATAGGAGCTGTAGTAAGAGGGACAGAACTGTGGTGTTGGATAAAGGAGCTGTAGTGGAAGGGATAGGGCCAAAATATACTTTTTAATTTAATAACAATAGTTTATTCCCTCTTCCCTGAGGCTAATCTTGGGCCAGGGATGAGGAAATCCTGATGGGAAATTCTACTTGTTGGCACCCCCGTCCCTGCCACTAGGGAATGTATCTAAACACTGCTGTGGTAACTTGTAACTGCAGGAAATGCCCACCAAGTTCTCTATCTCCTTGTCCTGGCATGACTGGCGTTTGCCCAATAGTTATGGCCTTCCTCTTAATACATTTACTATTTAACATTTACATATTTACATAATTTGTTTCCAGATTTCATCCATTCGGTTGTCAGTTTTTTTTCGGAACTCAAATGTCAAATTTTAGGCTGGCTGCTGTCAGTGTGATGGAGAGTAGCTGCCTGAGTCCTGACTGTCAGTGTGAGGGAGAGTAGCTGTCTGACTGTCATTGAGGGAGAGAAGCCATATGTGTCAGTGTGAGTTAAAGTAGCTGTCTGACTGTCATTGAGGGAGAATAGCTGTCTGGTAGAGTAGTTGTCTGACTTCAGTGTAAGAGAAAGTAGCTGCCTGACTGCTGTCAGTGTGAGTTACAGTAGCTGTCTGACTGCTGTCAGTGTGAGTTACAGTAGCTGTCTGACTGCTGTCAGTGTGAGTTAGAGAGTCTGACTTTCGGTGTGAGGGAGAGTAGCTATCTGACTGTCAGTGTGAGGGAGAGTAGCTGCCTGGTAGAGTAGCTGTCTGTGTCAGTGTGAGAGAGAGTAGCTGCCTGACTGCTGTCAGTGTTAGAGTAGCTGTCTGACTGTCAGTGTGAGGGAGAGCAGCTGCCTGGTAGAATAGCTGTCTGGCTGTAAATGTGAGTTAGAGTAGCTGTCTGACTATCAGTGTGAGTTAGAGTAGCTGTCTGACTGCTGTCAGTGTGAGTTAGAGTAGCTGTCTGACTGCTGTCAGTGTGAGTTAGAGTAGCTGTCTGACTGTCGGTGTGAGGGAGAGTCGCTGTCTGACTGTCAGTGTGAGGGAGAGTAGCTGCATGGTAGAGTATCTGTCTATGTCAGTGTGAGAGAGAGTAACTGCCTGGTAGAGTAGCTGTCTGACTGTCAGTGTAAGAGAGAGTAGCTGTCTGACTGTCATTGTGAGGGAGAGTAGCTGTCTGACTGTCAGTGTGAGGGAGAGTAGCTGCCTGGTAGAGTAGCTGTCTGACTGTCAGTGTGAGTTAGAGTAGCTGTCTGACTGCTGTCGGTGTGGGTTATGGTAGCTGTCTGACTGTCGGTGTGAGGGAGGGTAGCTGCCTGGTAGAGTAGCTGTCTGACTGTCAGTGTGAGTTAGAGTAGCTGTCTGACTGCTGTCGGTGTGAGTTAGGGTAGCTGTCAGACTGTCGGTGTGAGGGAGAGTAGCTGCCTGGTAGAGTAGCTGTCTGACTGTCAGTGTAAGGGAGAGGAGCTGTCTGACTGTCATTGTGAGGGAGAGTAGCTGTCTGACTGTCAGTGTGAGGGAGAGTAGCTGCCTGGTAGAGTAGCTGTCTGACTGTCAGTGTGAGTTAGAGTAGCTGTCTGACTGCTGTCGGTGTGAGTTAGGGTAGCTGTCTGACTGTCGGTGTGAGGGAGAGTAGCTGCCTGGTAGAGTAGCTGTCTGACTGCTGTCAGTGTTAGAGTACCTGTATGTGTCAGTGTGAGTTAGAGTAGCTGCCTGGTAGAGTAGCTGTCTGTGTCAGTGTGAGGGAGAGTAGCTGCCTGATAGAGTAGCTGTCTGGCAGTATCAGTCTGGAGGAGAGTAGCTGTCTGGTAGAGTAGCTGTCTGGCAGTGTCGGTGTGGAGAAGGAGCTGGCAGTGTCACTGTGGAGGAGAGTAGCTGCCTGGTAGAGTAGCTGTCTGTCAGTGGGAGGGAGAGTAGCTGCCTAGTAGAGTAGCTGTCTGGCAGTGTCAGTGTGAAGGAGGAGCTGGCAGTGTCACTGTGGAGGAGAGTATCTGCCTGGTAGAGTAGCTGTCTGACTGTCAGTGGGAGGGAGAGTAGCTGCCTGGTAGAGTAGCTGTCTGGCAGTGTCAGTGTGAGGGAGAGTAGCTGCCTGGTAGAGTAGCTGTCTGACTGTCAGTGGGAGGGAGAGTGGCTGCCTGGTAGAGAAGCTGCCTGGCAGTATCAGTGTGAAGGAGGAGCTGGCAGTGTCAGTGTGGAGGAGAGTAGCTGCCTGGTAGAGTAGCTGTCTGGCAGTATCAGTGTGAAGGAGGAGCTGCCTGGTAGAGTAGATGTCTGGCAGTATCAGTGTGAAGGAGGAGATGGCAGTGTCACTGTGGAGGAGAGTAGCTGCCTGCTAGAGTAGCTGTCTGACTGTCAGTGGGAGGGAGAGTAGCTGCCTGGTAGAGTAGCTGTCTGGCAGTGTCAGTGTCAAGGAGGAGCTGGCAGTGTCACTTTGGTGGAGAGTAGCTGCCTGGTAGAGTAGCTGTCTGTGTCAGTGTGAGGGAGAGTAGCTGCCTGGTAGAGTAGCTGTCAGTGTGAGGGAGAGTTGCTGCCTGGTAGAGTAGCTGTCTGGCAGTGTCACTGTGGAGGAGAGTAGCTGCCTGGTAGAGTAGCTGTCTGACTGTCAGTGGGAGGGAGAGTAGCTTCCTGGAAAAGTATCTGTCTGGCAGTGTCAGTGTGAAGGAGGAGCTGGCAGTGTCACTGTGGAGGAGAGTAGCTGCCTGGTAAAGCAGCTGTCTGTGTCAGTGTGAGGGAGACTAGCTGCCTGGTAGAGTAGCTGTCTGGCAGTATCAGTGTGAAGGAGGAGCTGGCAGTGTCAGTGTGGAGGAGAGTAGCTGCCTGACTGTCACTGTGAGGGAGAGTAGCTGCCTGGTAGAGTAGCTGCCTGTGTCAGTGTGCAGGAGAGTAGCTGCCTGGTAGAGTAGCTGTCTGGCAGTAGCAGTGTAAAGGAGGAGCTGGCTGTGTCAGTGTGAGGGACATTAGCTGCCTGGTAGAGTAGCTGTCTGTGTCAGTGTGAGGGAGAGTAGCTGCCTGGTAGAGTAGCTGTCTGTGTCAGTGTGAGGGAGAGTAGCTGCCTGGTAGAGTAGCTGTCTGTGTCAGTGTGAGGGAGAGTAGCTGCCTGGTAGAGTAGCTGTCTGTGTCAGTGTGAGGGAGAGTAGCTGCCTGGTAGAGTAGCTGTCTGTGTCAGTGTGAGGGAGAGTAGCTGCCTGCTAGAGTAGCTGTCTGTGTCAGTGTGAGGGAGAGTAGCTGCCTGGAAGAGTAGCTGTCTGTGTCAGTGTGAGGGAGAGTAGCTGCCTGCTAGAGTAGCTGTCTGTGTCAGTGTGAGGGAGAGTAGCTGCCTGGTAGTGTAGCTGTCTGTGTCAGTGTGAGGGAGAGTAGCTGCCTGCTAGAGTAGCTGTCTGTGTCAGTGTGAGGGAGAGTAGCTGCCTGGTAGTGTAGCTGTCTGTGTCAGTGTGAGGGAGAGTAGCTGCCTGCTAGAGTAGCTGTCTGTGTCAGTGTGAGGGAGAGTAGCTGCCTGGTAGTGTAGCTGTCTGTGTCAGTGTGAGGGAGAGTAGCTGCCTGCTAGAGTAGCTGTCTGTGTCAGTGTGAGGGAGAGTAGCTGCCTGGTAGTGTAGCTGTCTGTGTCAGTGTGAGGGAGAGTAGCTGCCTGCTAGAGTAGCTGTCTGTGTCAGTGTGAGGGAGAGTAGCTGCCTGGTAGTGTAGCTGTCTGTGTCAGTGTGAGGGAGAGTAGCTGCCTGCTAGAGTAGCTGTCTGTGTCAGTGTGAGGGAGAGTAGCTGCCTGCTAGAGTAGCTGTCTGTGTCAGTGTGAGGGAGAGTAGCTGCCTGGCAGTAGCAGTGTGAAGGAGGAGCTGGCTGTGTCAGTGTGGAGGAGAGGATCTGCTTGCTGCAGCGTGGGTACCACTCTCAGTCCGGAGGAGACTGATTTGGAGATCTGCAGGTGGCCCTGGAGGGCTCTGAGACTCAGACGATGGAGGGAGTGGGGAGGGAGCAGAGTGATGTTCCAGCCCGGGAGAAGAGGAGCCAGACCGGGGAGCAGAGAGGGGACAGACCGAGGGCCACCCGGAGCTGCAGCATGAACACATCGGAGGCAAAGGATTACCTGACAGACAGACAGATCCCCCGGCTGTTCGAGGTGGGTAGGTTATCACTGTCTGTTATTAATGTGTGATAATTATCTATAGCATTAACTACACCAACTACCGTGTACCAAACATAGATTGTAAACATACAGTGTGCATTATTAGCTATCAATACATCTATCTATCTATCGATCTATCTAATCATCCATCTATGTATCTATCTATCTATCTATCTATCTAATAACAGCTATCTATCTAATCACAGCTATCTATCTATCTATCTATCTATCTAATCACAGCTATATATCTATGTATCTATCTATCTATCTCTCTATATATATCTAATCACAGCTATATATGTATGTATCTATCTATCTATCTAATTACAGCTATCTATCTATGTATCTATATATCTATCTCTCTATATATATCTAATCACAGCTATCTATCTATAAATAAATCTATCTATCATGTATCAATCAATACATCTATCTAATCACAGCTATCTATCTATCTATCTATCTATCTATCTATACCTACCTACATATTTATGTATCTATCTAATAAATCATGTCTATTTATCACCTATCTAATCACATCTATCTATCTTATCACATCTATTTATCATCTAATCGCATCTGTCATTTATCTATTTATTTAATCATATTTATCTATTTAATCATATCTATCTAATCACATCTCTCTACCTACAATTGTAATTATCTGTCTATTTAATCATATCTGTCTATCCGTCTATCCAATCATATCTATCTATCTATCTATCTCCTGTGTGTTGTGATACATCTTACATGTTGATAATGGTCCTGTAACCTTAATGTGTTTTTGCCAAAAAAGTGTGAGGCACAGGACTGACTAGCCATGTGTATGCTTCTGTTGTCTGAATAGATAATTACGGTATATTTATTTATAATTGTGACATTAAAATCACTGTTTCCATATACACTATTATAATAACGTCTGATCAGTGCCAAGGGTCAATAAATAAGGCTCAGTAATTTAACCCATTGTACTTGGACCTTATCGTTAATTGGCCACCCTCTTCCAAGACCATACCACCTCCCTCCTAACAGCCTTTGCTGCAGATTAAATCCTCATGAAAGGAATGTGCATTAACATGACAAACACAAAAGCATCAATGGGGAAGAAACTCAGGTGGGCTCACAACTACAGCAAGGGTGCTATTATTAATTGTTACAAAGAGCTTTCATATATTTGGCATGATGAAGGCAAACGCGTCAGGGGGTCTACAAAAGCAATCACTTTATTTCATCTGAGTTCTGCTAGGAAGAATTTAGCATAATCCAGATTTATCACAAAGCTGAGATTTGTTGTTTTAATATATAATCTCACTCCCTATCATCATAATCTATTTCTTAAGAACATTGGATGAAAGAGCATGATTAAATGCCATTTATTTGCCCGATGTTTATTTTTTTTCACTTTTTTTTTTTTGCAAGAAATCTGAATGAGAGAACCTGCAAATAAATGTGCGCAGTTTGGTACGTTTTGAATTGATGTGTTTTGATCAGCGTGGATGATTATCTGCGTGTGAAGAGGTTAGGCAAATTCACACAGCAATGAAGTCAGTGGAAAATTGGATTCAATACATTATGTATGAATGATTTTATTTACATAGATCTAACAGGTGTACTTTGCTGTTTGTACGGTAAATGACAGTAAAGGGAGGTACGGTAAATACAGCAGTTATACTGTGAATTTATACTGTATATGCGCAAATAGCTGTTTAGCACTTTATAGGAAAAAATTATCAAGATAAAAATCGTACTGTTTAGGGGTAAAGTGCTAAATAAAAAAACAGAATATTTCAGAATATTGATACATCTCCCCTCATATATTACCTTATCGTAAAGGGAGGTACATTATGTGTAGCTGTCCAGCATACAAATATACAATTTTATAGCGGAGGTTACCTAACATACTGCAAATACAGTACTTATTCAGTGAATGTATATTTAAAGGGACATTGTAGGCACCAAAACCACTTTAGCTCCTAACTATTCAAATATATTTCATTTTAACAAAACAGGGCTTTAGAAAGGAGCTCGTAGCTTTTCTTAACAGCACTGTCAATCAGGGAGACAGAAGTTATACTACCTGGATCTCACCTGCGTAGCGTGTTGACGTGAGAGGAACTTGCCTACACTGTTTGCAGCCAGTGGACGCTTCTAGGTCCGTTTCACATTAATGGTGATGTACCACTTTACAGGTTACATTACAGTAGAGAAATGTATAGTGAGTGCAGCAGTTAAAAAATATAGTAGTAGTAGCAACAACATATTCCGCAGCGCTGTACAATCGGGCAAGATAGACAATGTAATATAGACATACCTATACAGAAGTTATAGAAGACCCTATCCGTAAGCTTAGATCTAGCATTTACAGCCCTTTTTATACAAAGTACTGAGCTTACAATCTAAACGTTATTATGGGACTTGAGACAAGAGGACGCAGGGGGAAATTTAAAGGTAATGGACAGATTGCCATAGAGCAACGTTTCCCAAATGGGGTTCCAACAAAATTTCGGGAAACAAAATAGCCACCGAGATAATTGAGGTGGGCGGCGAGGGAGCTGAGCAGGGGAGAGTGCTCCCTTGCCGCCCACCTCAATTATCGTGGCGGGCCATTATCGCTGTGTGCACAGCCGTGATACCGGAGCCAGAATATGACATCACTCTGGCTCCAGGATCACTAAGAGGTGTGCGAGGGAGCTGAGCAGTAAAATCACTGCTCCCTCACCACCCGCTCAACCCAGCAGCCCCACTGGACCCCAAGGAATGCACGCCAGCCGCTCAGAAGAGCAGCCCCACTGGACCCCAGGGAAATAGAGACTCCATGCCAGCACTCCCAAAGGTAGGGAGGCTGGTTGGAGTAAAATTTAAAAAAAAAAAAAAAATTGTGTGTGTGTCTGTTAAAGAGTTTGTATGTGTGTTTGTCATTGAGTGTGTATATGTGTTTGTATGTGTGTCTGTCAAAGTTTGTGTTTGCCAATGAGAGTGTATATGTGTCTGTCAAAGATTATGTGTGTCTGAGTGTGTGTCAGTGTGTGTATCTGTGTGTCAAGGTTTGTGTATGTGTCACTGTGTGTGTGTGTATGTCAGTATGTGTGTAATGGTGTGTGCCTGTGTATATCAGTGTGTTTGTATGTGCCTATGTGTGTGTGTATCTGAGTGTGTGTCAGTGTGTGTATATGACACTGTGTGTATGTGTCAATGTGTGTATCTGAGTGTGTGTATGTGTCATGGTGTGTATCTGTGGGTGCAAGTGTGTGTATATGTCACTGTGTGTATCTGAGTGTGTGTGTATTTGTGAGTCAAGATGTGTGTATGTATCACTGTGTGCATCTGAATGTGTGTATGTGTATCTGAGTGTGTGTATCTGTGTGTCAAGATGTGTGTTTGTATGTCAGTGTGTGTATCTGTGTGACCCTATGTGCCAGTGTTTGTGTGTATCTGTGTCAGATACATACACACACAGAGATACACACTGACACACAGATACACACACTGGCACATACAAACACAGATACACACACCTTGACACACCAGCACATGCAAACACAGATACACACACTTTGACACATTGATACACACACCTTGACACACAGATACATGCACACACATGCACACTCACACCCACACAGACACACACTGTGTGTCACTGTGTGTGTATCTGTGTGTCAGTGTGTGTATCTGTAAGCCACTATGTGCGTATCTGTGTGTCAGATACATACACACACACATACAGACACACACACACACACAGATACACACACTGGCACATACAAACACAGATACACACACCTTGACACACAGATACATACACCTTGGCATACAGATACAGATACACACTGTGTGTCAAGGTGTGTGTATCTGTGTGTCGTGTGTGTATCTGTATGTCACTATGTGCCAGTGTGTGTATCTGTGTTTCACATACATACACACACACATTCACAGATACGCATTGACACACAGACACACATCGGCACATACAAAAAACGGCGCACATTTTTAGACATTTTGTTGATACACTATGTCAAAGGGTTCCACAGGAAAATTTAATTGGGAACCCCTTCTATAGAGCATTTTCACAGATTACAATGATGTAATGGCTGAGGAAGTAATAGAGGAAGATGCCAAGCACTTGGGAAGCCATGCTGTAAAAGAAGCAGAATCCAGGGTGGGTAGTGCTTAGTAAAATGGAGGATATTGCTTGGAGTGGATAAGTGAACGAGGCCGCTAGATGGAGTGGAATGCAGGGATGGGGAATTCCTATTGCCGGATATCCAGGACATGTGTTTTTTGGGGGGCTTTGAGACCGGCAGCGACAAATCGGCAGGGCTGGTCCGGGTGAGGACAGGGTCTGAGCAAGGAGTGTGTGATCTGCTTTTCCAGTGGGTGCAGACCATAGTAATCGGTCCCTTGTGTCTGGGGGCTCACTGATGAGTCAGAGCACAGACATCAGGATTCCCAGTATGCCGGGAATGCAAGGGAGCGATTATTGAGGTCTGCACCCACGGCAGGTGCATACAACACACATCCACAAGACTTTGCAGGTTATATTACCGTAGATGAAGATCCTGTAAATTTCAGTACTTATTACAGGGGTGTTGCTAGGGTCATAAAACATCCTTGGCTTGAGCCCCAAAAATTTTTGGGTGACCCCCTCCCTAAATCCCCATCTCTTGGTCTATTTTACAGTGTACGTATGGACACAATAAAGCTGTTTTAGATCTACATTCCAAATATAACATTATAACCTTTATTTTAAAGTGATACTCACATTCTTTTTTAAAGTTCATCTTCCTTTCCTTCTGCCTCTTGCATCACAATTATTCTAACTCTCCTCCCCAGCTACTTACCTTTATTTATAGTTATTATCTTTTCTTCTTTGAATTGGAACTCAGTATCAGGGCAGCGCCATGTTGTTCTCCTCTGTCCATCATGTCTGTAGTTTTTGGGAATCTTTGGACTGTTGGAGTGTGGGTAAATCACCATGGCAACTGATAAAGAACTTTGCTTGAGATTCACCCATTGCTAAAGATTACTACTTTTTCTTATGCATTACAAAAAAAAGAAGGTGAATAAAAAATAAATAAAAACAAGGGTGAAAAGAGGGGAAAAAAGGAATAATTGAAAAAAAAACGCAAAGTGATAGTGTTGCTTTTAGTAGAATAAGATCCAGAGGGCCATTACTCTTTCTGCCTTGGCTCTAATGGCTCGTTGTAACATAATCCCACAATGATTTACAGACATGGAGGCCAGTGTTCCCTATTTTTGGATGTGGAATTGAAAGCCACGTTAAAGCGTCTGTGAGGAGATGCGAAACGCATCCAGAATTTCTCTAAAAATCTTTTTTTTTCTCTCCCCACCACCCCTCTACCCGATACAAAGATGACTTTCTCTATGTTTGTCTTTGTAACACATTTCGTCGGAACGTGCCATGTAATGTCATGCAAGGGTGCAGATAAAGAGTTTAATAACTTTGCTGCCACCTCCGTCAATAGTCATTAAGAGTTCCTGGCTGACTAAGGTTAAATCAGTGCATATAGTATGTCTGTTGTTAGCAGGCATAGCATGGTGGTGACAGAGACAATCTCCTTGCTGCCCAAGTCCTCTTCTTAGCATATTCTTATTCATGTCCGTCCCCCTGCGGTCAGGGGGAGTGATGTCACCATCGGAGGATCAGGCTGCCGAGAGAACTTGGGATGGCGTGGGATCGCAGTTAGGATTATCCTTTCTTTTGTTTTGTTTTTTGTTTTTTTTAACACGAGGGTACCATTCCAGCAAGGCTCACTCCATCCAAAATAGTTTTATTAGTTTGGGTAACTCTAAAAAAAGCATGTACAATTGACCTTGTTGTAACCTTTTTTAGGTATTTTTTTATTACTTTTGTATATATTTAGGTTAGCTTATAAAGTTTTTAAAGAAAAAAAAATAATTCTGTCTCTGTATACACCAGGTTTAAAGGGTATTTTTTTTCTGCCTCATTTTTAAGTTAGTATTTATTTAGAAAAAGTTAGATGGTCATTTAATCTGGGTGCCCAACCTAATGCAATGTGCTCCCCACACCTGTGCTGAGCATGTGCGTGTAGATGACCATTTCAAATTTACATACTTTGTGTTTCGCCATCACTGTAAGAGTGCTGAATAGTGTGACTTAGATGGTCATTTGGAATCAGGGCAGGATTTGACGTACGTTATTTTTTTAATTACTGGCATTTATAAAGCGCCAACAAATTCCGCAGCGCTGTACAAATGGGAAAAAGTCAAACACAATAAGAACAGACCGATAGAGGACCCGGCCTGTGAGCTTACAATCTAAAGGTTAAACTGGGGAGATGAGTCAAGAGGTAGCAGGGGGATTTGTATGTGATAGCAGAGAGAGTTAAAGGATCACTATAGGGTCAGGAACACAAACATGTATTCCTGACCCTATAGTGCTAAACCCACCATTTATGTGGCTTGTCCCCCTCTTAACCCACTATAAAAGTATAAAACTCACCTTATTTCAAGCGCCGAGCGTGTCCGCTACCTTTGTAACATCATCAAAATGGCCGATATTTAGCCAATCCAATGCTTTCCCATATCGAAAGCATTGGATTGGCTAAAATCTGCACGGGGCAGGGCCAGATGCCGTTTTGGATAATCAGGACCCCCTCATAAAGATGCATTGAATCAATACATCTCTATAAATAAAATTCAGCATCTCCATGCAGAACTTGGGGACGCTAAACGTCAGGGCTGCTTACTGTGCATCCCTGAACCAGGAAGCCCCTCATGTGAAAGGAATGAGGAGGTGATTGGCTATGATTCAGAACAGCTGCAAGAGCATGCTATATAGTTAGAAGGAACGTGGGCAGGTGGGTAGAGCCGGGTAAAATTAAAAGACCTTCATGCAGGGATGTATGATGGCTTGGGGCTAAGGAAGAGAGATAAAGCTGTTACTTAAAAGGCATTTACAGCTGGAAGTGGCAAGCAGTGTGTGTGTGTGGGGATAAGGGGGAATAGAGCAGGCTAGCTATTTGCTATAAACAAGTAAGTATTTGGCAACCAAATTTCTAACAGCCAGATTATTAATAACTACATGTAACATCAAGTACAAAATATTACTGTAGTAAACTTTTTGTAACAATAGTAGTATCAGTATAATAAAGTAATAATCTAGTAACAAAATTAAAAAAATCTGATTGAATATCTTCTCCATCTCAGTCCGTACCTTACAGCTGCAGTGATTAAAATTAAAATCTCAATGTGCCGTGGTGGCACCTTGAGCAGGCATGATATGCCTGTAAATATGGGACCACCTAAGTTTTACACCACGCAAGTCACTCTTGGGAAGCAGGAGGGAAACTCTCAATGGCTCTATATATGTATAAATATCTCCCAGAGGCCGAAACGTTGTCATTTAGCCTTAATGACTGAATAAACTCAATGTCCAGTACAATTTCAATTGAATGTTCATTTATTTATTTCTGCCTTATTTTAAGGGGCAAAGTCAAACTGTACTAACTGGTACTAAAACGGTTTAATGTCGGATGTTGGGGTGACAACAAGGCATTTCTGGCACGAATAGTGGTTATGGTGCTTGGGGTATTCCTTTAAATAAATGACACTGATGCATTAATGGAACACAGCAAACATTCACTTAGTTAAATTAAATAAGGGTATGTTCATCTAATGACACACTTGTAATGTTAACTGGGGTAAAACCATGCAACCAATGCTCCCATATATCTTTACCCATGATTACATTATCAACTATTTTCTTTGTAATCGAGCGTCAACTTGTAAGTATGTATCTGCTATTCAGACACCCCTCATTAACTAGCTATCCCCTCTGCCTCCCTACATTCCATTTTCTAACTCACCAACTGCACATGTCCCCGTGTGGCCAGAGACCAGTTTGTAATCTTCTTCTAAATGTGCATTTTTTTTTCTGCAGAGCCTGCTCACTGGCCTCATGTATTACCGACCAGAGGACCCCATCAATTATCTGGAACTATGTCTACAGAGAGTCCGGGATTTGGGGGGCACTGAAAAGGTGCAATGGGACACATTCCTGAATCGCAATTTGCCTCCTATTAATGGAGGGGCTGGGAAGAAAGCAGCACACAGACCAGGTAAATGACTGCATCATCCATAGGAGTAAAACAGGCATTTGATCTGCAATATTACCCATAAATAATTCGTGTTTTGAAACGTATCTGATTTTTCCCCACATTATCCTTTCCAATGTATGCTGTTATGATTGGATTCATATATTAGCAAAATGCCGAAAGTCCAACAAGTGGTCATCTTGCTTTGTCTCACATTACGCCTTCCCCATATGAAAGCATTAATTCAGTGTTTTCTTTTGTGAATTTTCAAGGTGCTTTGCATGGCAACGGCCAGCGTCGTTCAATGAAGTTAAAGGATCACTATAGGGTCAGGATCACAAACATGTATTACTGACCCTATAGTGAAATCCCACCATTTAGGTTGCTTGCCCCCCCCCCCCTTTAAGACCCTCAGAATGGGTTAAAACTCACCTTATTTTCAGCTCTCCGCGGGTCTGCCCACGCTGACCCCACCTCCTTGGTGACATCATCAAAATTGCCCATTTTTTATCCAGTCACTGGCTTGGCTAAAATCGGCAAGGGGGAAGGGGTGCAAATGCCGTTTTGGCCAATCAGCACCTCCTCATAGAGATGCATTGAATCAATGCATCTCTATGAGGAAAATTCAGCATCCCCATGCAGAGCGTGGGGACGCTGAACGTCAGGGCTGCTTACTGTGCAGCCCTGAGTCAGGAAGCCTCTCCAGTGGCTGTCTAAGGAGTGGCCACTGGAGGTGTCCCTAAGGGCAATGTAAACACTGCCTTTTCTCCGAATCATATCATATAAAGATTAAAAGCAGGTCGACTATAAAGAATTAGGGTCCAAATGTTTTAAAATGCACCAAACTTGGCTTCTGTATAGTTTTTTGAATGTGCTTGGAGTTTTCATAGATCTGAAAAGGCAGTGTTTACATGAAAATGCCTGAAGGGAGCTATTATACTCACCAGAACAACTACATTAAGCTGTAGCTGTTCTGGTGACTATAGTGTCCCTTTAACCCCTTAAGGACCAAACTTCTGGAATAAAAGGGAATAATGACATGTCACACATGTCATGTGTCCTTAAGGGGTTAAACTCTGTGAAAGGCCAGAAAGCACATTTAGTAGCTATCTGGAAGAGATCCACTAAATGTTGTCTTAACCCTGCAATTTAAAACTTGCAGTTTCTCTAAAATTGCAATGTTTTACATTGCAGGGTTAAGGGGACAGGGACATTGCACCCAGACCGTTTCATTGAGGTGAAGATGTCTGGATGCCTAGGGTCCCTTTAATGTAAGCTATATTCCGTTTGAAAAGTAAGATGGCATCGTTTACCAGCTTTATTTTAAACCTCTGTTGCAAGAAACCATATATTGTTTACAGGGTTATTACATTCACTGCCTCAAATGGTAATGCCCTGTCTTGTCTTTTTGTCCAAAATATGTTGTCCACCCGAACATGTCCTCGACTGTTGTATCTTGTTGTAAATGTGTTTTTGGTTTTCAACTGTTACATTATTTTAAAATTATTACTATATGTAATGTTCAAAATATGTGTAATTCAGTGCTTTGTTGGTGCTTGTCCTAAATAAAGAATTAAAAAAAAAAATGTTCTTACAGAATTCTATTGTTTATTTTCATTTTCTTTATTTTAGCACTTTCATTTTTGCCTGGTTTTCCTTTTGAATGAAATTAATTACATGTTTTGTTCTTGGGCAATAAGCAGATCTTGCGATTCTGATTAGCTCCCAAATCATCCTTAAATAGATAGCCCCTGGTACTGTAATGTAGTAATGTAATTAATAATGTAGTAATTTAATGCTGCAGTTTCTCTGGTTCCTTTTATTTCAGAGGTCCTTCCTCCCCCATTGATACGACGTTATGAGCGTCTGCCTCCTATCCAGTCACAATTCTCCATTGACAGTGATTCAGATATGACAGAGTCTTCAGGACTTATCCAGGAATATGATGTATTTGACCCTAACAGAGAAAGACCCAAAATAATCTTTGTTATAGGTGAGATGGGGAGCGAATGTACTCACTGGTCCCAAATTGATCTAAAGGGCTACACAGTAATTCTGGTTCTATTTGTCCTTAGTTTTGATGATCAAACAAAAGAAGTTAGAGAGAACACAGTTATAGGTTCCATAAAGTATCTGATGATATCTGCAGAGAATTATCAAAAGGACTAGCCGGAGAGCTAGAATCTAGGTCAGTAGTTCAGTCTGAGGTCAAGGCAGGTGACAGATATCATATAAAGATTAAAAGCAGAAGGTCGACTATAAAGAATTAGGGTCCAAATGTTCTAAAATGCACCAAACTTGGCTTCTGTATAGTTTTTCGGATGTGCTTGGAGCTTTCATAGACCTGTTTAGAACCCTGTGATGTCACCTGTAGAATTTTTTGTTATGATTGATGCGCGCACACTAGATGCAGAGGACCTATGACCCATCTGCAGGGAACCATCCCACTGCTGAACCCTGAAAGGGAGATATTGTCAAACCTGTTGAACCTGAAACAATTCTATATTGGACCTTTTATAGCCCATCGTGAATTCCAGTGTAGTAGTGGTAACTAAGTGGATCTAAAACCGGTCTTCGTAGAAACTCTAATATATTGTGGCAAAAACACAAGTAAGAAGTGCTCAATTAGGAAGTTATAAATAGCATCAAAATGGGATGTTTTTCACTCTGTGTGGCAATGACAATCTAATCATACACAATAAAACGTGAGGAAACAGGATTATTGAGGAAAGTGTGAATTTTAGACTTAACGAGCCCTGCTGAAAACAAGCTGATTTGAAGAATGTTTCAAATATGACTACTTTAGCCTAATATTTGAAATTTATCTTGGATTTCAAACAGTTTGTACTTTGGTGAATAACCCTACTTTTGACCTTGAGAAACTATCCATCACCCAGTTCTAAGGCTGGGTGGTATTTGGTCCTGTTAAAGGTTTTGATCGATTTCTGTCTTCCTTGTTTCAGGTGGTCCAGGGAGTGGGAAAGGAACTCAGAGCACCAAGATGGCCTCACATTTTGGTTTTATCTGTATTTCTGTTGGCGATATTCTGCGCAAACAACTGATCCATCATGCAAGCAGTGACCGCAAATGGGAATTAATTGCCCAGATTATCTCTAAGGGAGAACTCGCTCCTCCTGTACGTGTGCTATTTTCAGTATTTGCAAACATCACCTGTAATGCATAAATTCACCTAGTCTTCAAACAGCATTTTACCAAGATCCTGATGTTCAGGGAAGGGCTAGCACATTTTGGCCTCTAGAGGCATTTACATGGCATGTTTTTGCCGGAAAAGCTCACAGATCTAATGTGGATGGTCCTACATACTCAGAATATGGAATATATGGATTTGGCATATGGAACTTGCTGTAGTTACTATTCTTGCACAGTATGAGGGAGCATTCTCAGAGATCTTAGGTGCCTAAGAGATGCAATTCTGTTTCCTAGTGTCTTGAGCACTCTGATATCTTATCATGCATCTACCTGCAAACATATCCAAGGACACCATGCATAGTCATCATATTCTGGTGGCCTGGTCTCCTCAGGTACTGCGGTCTTCTGGGAATGATCTCAGCTCCGGCATGCCAGCTCAGACCAGAGCAATGAGATTGCTAACCAGCCAAAGAACAAACCCACACAGTGCTGAGCTAGCAAAGGCCTTGATGCCTCCCTGCTTCAGTACTCTGTCAACCAACATTCCAATGCAGTCTGATGGTTTTAATCAACAGAAGAATAGTACTGTAATCCAGAGACTCACAGACCCTGTGCCAGTGGCCAATCCTTGCCAGCACTCCCCTGCTAAAGTCTCTTAATTCAAAACGTTATCATGTGCACACGATACAGTATTAAATATTGTTGTATGCACACGGATCAAGCCCTATTAAATAGTTCTTGTTTGTGAAACACTGTTATTACTTAACTGCCAGCTGTCTCAAATTTCAAAAAAATATTTTTATTATTTATAATCCCGTGTCATCGGAAGACATCCTTTATGGTTTGAATTAAGGCATTGATTCAAGTCATTAAATAAGTCAAAATCAAGGCATTGGCTTGATTAATGAACTGATTTCCCTCAAATGATACATACTGCATGGAAACTCTTTTCCTGTGATCACCATCAGCATGAATAAGAGATATGTACCCCGAAAAACATGGTGAATGTAGAAACCCTACATCTCTCATTAAATAGTTAATAGACTGTGTTGGTGTAAAAGAGTGTGAATTTGGAGGAGCTGGGTTCATCTCCTGGCATTGTAAAAATTAGGACATGGTTCAGCAACCACGGATTAACTCTGATTGTCGGAAAGGCCAGCCTTGGAGTGTGCTAAAGGCACAAAACAAATTTTATTCGTGTTTTTCTTCAATGCTGTTTGCTATGACAGCTAGGGGTTTATTTACTAAACAGTAAATGGTTGTTAATCAAAACCTTATTTCAGAATTCATTCCCAAACTGCGACTGAAGGAAAGTTGGATAATGTTTGCTTTTTTGGGGACCTAAATTTTTTAAATCAGTTTTCAATTTACAGTTCACTGTTTAGTGAATAAATCTCTTTCTGACCCGTTGGTAAAAAAACAGCTGACGAAAAACTCACCTTAAAATCTATTAGGAAACCAGTTAGTCACCATTGCTTTACGCGTATTTGCACACATCATTATGTACATTAGCACTTCATCAGTCGAAAACAATACAATTAACATTGGCATCTCATCATCTTATATTATCAGTGTTCTCAATGTCATGTTTTCATCTTGCAGGAAACAACAATTGAGGAGTTGAAACAACAGTTTATAAATCATCAGGACGCATGTGGTTTTGTGGTGGATGGTTTTCCAAGGGACATAGGACAAGCATTTACGTTTGAAGAACAGGTATGGCCTAAGCACTGTCAAATTCACCAGATATACCATTCTTAAAGGAATGCTCCATTCCCCTGCATGAAATTTTCGTTAGTCAGATGGTTTCTCTGCTTCCTACAGCACAATATTTTATGCAAATTAGCTCTAATTTTACACTGAAGAAAATGAATTCAGTTGCGTTCCAGGCATTTTATAGAGTGATATAAATCAAAAGACAGCACGGCATAAATATGAAAAAATAACCCTTGAGTAATTCATTGGTGATTTTTGCCTCTCTGCAGATTGGTATTCCGGACCTTGTGATTTTCCTGGCCTGCTCGAGCCAGCGTTTACGGCAAAGGTTAGAGAGACGATCTGCTCAGCAAGGGCGGCCAGATGATAATGCTCACGCCATCGACAGGAGACTGGAGAACTTTAAACAAAATTTACCCCTGATTGTAAAATATTACCAGGACAAGGGGCTCATCGCCAGGGTAAGAGACATTAGAACGAACACTTACATTTCAGACATGCATGAACACAATTACCAAAAGGTTTAGCGACGGACCGATGAGTTTACAGCCAAATTTCACAATTTAGGCCCAAATTGCTGAATTGGAAATATTTATTAAACCTTCTACCTCTAAACTCAACTTTCTATCAAAGTAACTTGAATGTCTCCTTCTACTTTTACATTGAGAAGTCATAACTATTATTTGTAGTAGTGTTTATATAGCCCCAACATATTCCTCAGAACTCTAAAATAAGAAAAAGGAGAGAGGAATGCCCTGCTCAAATAAGCTTACAATCTATGGTAGGTGGATATATATCATTAGTTGTCTTGCCCACGGACAATACAAATGAATGTACCTTCTGGTCATATACTTAAATAGAGACAGCACAACATTCTGCCAAAATTTACTGTATGTTACTACAGTGAATGAACATTCTCCCCCTAGAATGAAAAGCACAATATTCTGCTCCTGTGAATGAACATTCTCTTCCTACAATCACACTGAAAAAGCACAACATTCACCTCCTAGAATGACACTGTAATAAAAACAACATCCTACTAAGGTGAATGGACATTCTCCACCTAGAATGACACTGAAAAAGCACAACATTCTACTACACCAAGCATGTCAAACTCAAAGTCTGGCACGGGCCACATAAACAAGGTTTAAGTTTATGTGGGCCGCAAAAATAAATTTAAAAAAACTTGAATTTTCATAGAAATGTGGGTTTATTTTAAAAATTAGAGTATAAAAAAAAACCAGCATCCCCCTCTACTAAATCCCAGTCACCCGCTCTACTAAACCACAGCACCCCCCCTCTACTAAATCCCAGTCACCCTCCTCTACTAAACCACAGCACTCCCCTCTACCACCCTGTGCCAAATCTGATACTCCCGCTGATACACACACATATTCACTGACAGACAGACACAAACATACTCACTGACAGACACACACATACTCACACACAGATACACTGACAGACACACACACACACACATACTCACTGACAGACACACACACACTCACTGAGACACACACATACTTACTGACAGACACACACATACTTACTGACACACACACACACTCAGATAGACACACACACAAGTACTCACTGACAGACACACACACACTCACAGACACACAAACACTCACAGACAGACACACACTCATTGATAGACACACACACACACACACACTCACTGACAGACACACACACATACTCACTGACAGACTCATACTCACTGACAGACACACACATACTCACTGACAGACAGACACACACACACTGACAGACAGACACACACATACTCACTGATAGACACACACATACTCACTGACAGACACACACAAATACTGACAGACACACACATACAGACAAACACATACTCACTGACAGACAGACACACATACTCATGGACAGACACACACACATACTCACAGACACACACACATACTCACTGACAGACAGACACACACATACACACACTGAGAGACACACACACTCACTGACAGACAGACACACACATACTCACTGAAAGACACACACATACTTACTGACAGACACATACTGACAGACACACACACATACTCACTGACAGACCGACACACACATACAGACACACACTCTGACAGACACACACACAGTCACAGACACACTCACTCACTGACAGACAGACATATACTCACTGACAGACAGGCACACATACTCACTGACAGGCACACATACTCACTGACAGACACACACACATACTCACAGACACACACACATACTCACCAACAGACAGACACACACATACACACACTGACAGACACACACACTCACTGACAGACACATGCTCACTGACAGACACACACACACACACTCACTGACAGACACACACATACTCACTGACTGATGCACACATACTGACAGACTCACACAAAGACATACTCACAGACAGACAGACACACATACTCGCTGACAGACACGCACACATACTCACTGACAGACACACATACTCACTGACAGACAGACACATATATACAGACACACACTCTGACAGACACACACTCACGGAATATGACACTGAAAAAGCACAACATTCTATTACAGTGAATGAACATTCTCCTCCTAGAATCACACTGAAAAATAGTGAACAGGTAAGAAAGGTTGTTCAAACCTAAATAATAGGAATGTGAGAATTGACCAAAAAGCCGCACATGAAGCATATTTATAAGACAATATGAATGAAAAAGAAAAACTGCAACTCGTTCAAACTCAAAGACAGAGGAGAAACATGAAAGAAGAGAGGGACAGGACACGATTAAGAATAGACAGAAAGTGCAGGAGTGAGAACTGAGGAAAGGGTTAATGAGCATGCAGAGGGTGGGATGAGAAGACACCCCCACCCCTAGGAAGACCTCCATATCCTCTCCCCCTCCATTCCTCAACAAGACCTCCACCTCCTGGTCCATCCAGAATAGGGGAGTCCAAGAACGTCATAATAAGAGGAGGTCCACATTTGGAGTTTCCCTCCTGGATGGCAGTGATTAGATTGAGGGCTCTCTGGGTGGGTTAACCCTATACACTCAGAATAGATTAATTCACACTGAGAATGTAATTTTACTTTATCAATGCGGCTATAGAGGGGGCAGCTTTGAGTATCAAGGCAGCCCCAATCTTTGTCAAACCACCCCTAGTAGCACCATAACCACTACAGTGTACTTTCATTACAGTTCCCTTTTAATGCCAGGATATATCGTATACAGTAGTTTAAACAGTTGTATGTTTTGAGAAGTGTACCCAGCTCTACCCAGCAGGTCAGTCTTCTTTCATACAGTCATGCCTGTGGCGGGAGGGAAGGGGGGAGCAAGTTCTGGACAAGTTTTAACGCTACCAGCTGAAGATACATCTGACAGGGTTAATCAGAGATTACAGTCTTATATTACAGAACACATACTATTATATTAGATTTTCTTTCAATTTGAACTAAGGCCTGGGGTATAGATATAATTATTACCCAATTTAATGGGTCTTGTATTGTTGGTAGTTCAGCATTGGCTTTCTAATGAATGTCCTCTTTATGGCTTACTGTGCACAGACACCCAAAAGCAATATCAGACGTGGGAAGCGGAACGTGCATGTCATAAAAAAATAATAATTATTGCTTATATATTTTTTCCCCAAAGAATAATATGTTGCACAGGCAAGTCATTGTTCAAACCTAATGATGGCGTTAAATGCTAAGTCATGATTCATTCTGCAGCTGTACTACTTAATATATAATAATTTTTTATTCCCTCCCATCAAGCTATTTATATCAGGTCATTATAGTTGTTATTTTTTTTAGGTGGTACAAACAGTTTCAAGGCTCTTCCATTTTAAAGTTTAGATTTGGCTGACTCAGGGACGTCATAAGAAAAAAAAAAAGCGTGCATAGAATCGACTGCAGATTTTTAGGGGTTACAACAAGATTTTTGGTGTATGGGAGATGGAGATTTTACATTACAGAGGTAAATCATGTCACCTGTGCACCAATCACTTTCCACCCATCTCCTGATATCGCCTCGTAATGTTAAATATATGGTGCTACTTCTGTGTATAAATGAGAATTTAGTAGATCCATTTTCCTGGAAACATTTGTCTGAGCTAAAGGGAAAGGAAGACAAAATATCCAGGCCATTGTCAGTGTAATGGGTGCATGTAAGCAAACGTCTGTATATGAGTGAGTATATGTATATCATGTAATTGGAAATTCACACCGGTAAGCAACCAGGGCCATGTTGGCATGGGGTCTGGCAATGGTTCACAACACAGGGGTTGTAGATTGGAGCATGACAAACCATTTCTGTGAATTAAAACACCTAAATATGTGATGGGAAGTCTGAGGGTACATTATTAATGGAGTGTAGAAGCAGGCAGTAGTAGTTTAGAGGCTTTGTCAGCCCAGAACTGTGTGGCTATGTGTGTGCGATACAAGTCTGTGATTTCAGTATTCTCCAGAACTGGACTGATCCACTGGGACATTTCCAGTGGACTGCAGTATCTGGTACTAATAAGGCTGCCAGACTATAATTCTGTATGATGTGCCTGGAGAGGTGTACAAGTGACCGTAGGTTGAGATGGGATAGTGCTCATGACATTCATTGAAGCTGTCATTAATGGCAATGAAGTCATAGGAAATGGAGTCTGTGTCTCTCAGTCACGCACAGATCGCTGTGAATGTCCCATCGAGACATGACACATGGACTTTGAAGAGAGATATTTCATGTCACGCATTAAAACTCCGGCAACCTCCGTCTGTCATATCCAATACTCTTTGTGAGTTAGACCAGTCACACTGATATCTGACTTTCATTTTAAAAAAAGATCATTAGTTTGTGCTTGTGTGTCAGGCCAACACTCGCCTGGATGTAGGGAATTATAAAATGTTGGAGAGCAATGATTCCTCCCTCTATTGTGATTGGGGAAGGATGTAATGGAGTGGATACTACTGTAGTGACAGTGATGTGGGATAAAAAAGATGGTGACACATGAACTGCGATAGTGTTATGGCCCTTTACACCCTACAATTGGGAGGGCAAAAGAGAAAGACAGGGAACACAGGATTTAAATAGAGAGACTGCTTTTTGAAGTAAGATTCAAACGACTCTTGCATCTAAACCAAATAAATTCTGATTTAAAAAAGCAAAGCTAAAAGCCATGCGCCCTCCCCAGGCTAGGCCAAACATATTTAATGGAAAGCATGTCATTGGGAAAGAATACTTTAGAATCTTGCTTTTGGTGATAGCTAGTGAGTTTATACCCTTTAACATCAATAGTTACTCAACTCAACTCGGAAATATGGGATTAAACGCTAGCAAACCTGTGAAGAAGAGAAAAGTGTTATAGTGTAGCAGAGGATAGTGACAAAAGCAAGCTGGTTTGCATAAGGTGCCCTGTCTGTGCCTTTCAGACAGTAGCTGAGATATATAGTTTTATTTGTTTACTATTAGAGGCCTATCAGTTATAGACTCAGGTTTTACCTTTTCCCATAAACTCCCGCAGATATGTTGGAAAAGTAGTATATCCCTAATGAGCACTTTCACTCATTGCATATGATGAGAGGAACTGATCAATTAGCAAATATCCATTAACAATCATCCCAATTCATTATTTTGTGTTTATGCTGTGGCGGGACTAATTTAGAGCGGGTCCTGTTGCTAGAAATGTTATCCTACTAGCGAAAGGGTGGGCAAAGGGTAGATACCTATCTGTCGTACAACTCCTACAGTGCAATGCCAGCAGAATATCTACCATTTGTCCATCTTTGCAGGGTTTTATTTGTAAGCAATGTTTGTGTGTTTGAATGTAAGCATGTTTTGTACAGAGTACATGTGTGCATGTATAGGTGTAATTGTATATACTGTTGCCATCGGAATGCGGTGGCGTGTTTGTGTCTAATGTTTGTGTTTCAATGCAGGGGTGTGTTTGTATGTAGTGTTTGCTTTTAAATGAAGGTGTACATTTGTGTTTAATGTTGGTATGTGAATGAAGGGGTGTTTGTATATAATTTAGGTGTTTTAATATAGGGGTGTGTTTTCAATGTTTGCGTTGTAGGGGTGTGTTTGCATGTTGTGTTGGTGTTGGATTTCTGAGATGTATGCATATACACACATACATGGCAACATACATACATACTAACACCAATAAACATACACATTTACACACACACACACTTACAGATACACACACATATAAACACAAACACACAGACACACACACAGATACACACTGACATACACATAGATACACATACCCTGACACAGATACACACACTGACACACACAAACACCATGACACATAACTGGCACACACATATACTCACTGGCCCAAATACATACACACATGTGTGTCAGAATGTTTATGGCTTACCTGAATTGGCTTTCTAATGAATGTCCTCTTTATGGCTTACTGTGCACAGACACCCAAAAACAATATCAGACGTGGGAAGCTGAACGTGCATGTCATAAAAAATAATAATAATTATTGCTTATATATTTTTTTCCCAAAGAATAATATGTTGCACAGGCAAGTCATTGTTTGCATTGACTCCTATAGGATACAGGAAAGACAAGGAACTCAGTTTTAGAAAGATTGAGTTTCAGAAAGCAGGAGGACATCCAGTCAGAGATGGAAGAAAGGCGAGCAGTGACACGTTGCAGGACGGCAGGGGAGATGTCCGGGGAGGAGAGATATATCTAGGTGTCATCAGCGTACAGGTAGTAGTGGAATCCAAGAGAGGCTGTATTTAGAGAAAATAGACCAAGGACAGAGCCTTGGGGGACACCAACCGAGACAGGACAAGGTGAGAAGGTATCATTAGAAAAGGAGACACTAAATGAGCGTTGGGAGAGATAAGATGAAAACCACAAGAGGACAGAGTCACAGAGACAAGTGATAGGCTCTTAGAGGTTTGTGGCACAAGACCGGGCCCTTTTCAGAAATACCAATCGGGTGACCCTAGCTGCATGGGTCAACAGATGGGCCATTTCTGGGTGCGGGCCCCGGTGCATCTGCACCAGTTGCACCAGCGGTTGTTCCGCCACTGTTTATGCATCAATTCGGTGGAGGAGAGACAATATATGAGATGTTTGAGAGCCAAGAAAGAGAGCTAATTGCAAATTGCTGCAGTTATGGCTCATGGTCCAGCAAATTGAGATGTGTGAGGGCCAAGGGGGAATTCTAATTGCAAATTGGTGATCCAATGGGTTTAGTTTCCAGTCCAGCACATTGAACCGCAAGTGAATGCCAATAGTGATCTGCTCCTGTCCAAGGTGCTGCCCACAATGAGAATGCATGATTTTCCTTATGGTAATACCGGCTGCAAAGCTATATGCTGCCAGAAATGTTAATAAGCATTAAAGGCCACAGGCAGATGAGTTTCATAACAGATAAATGTAAAGTCATGCACTTTGGAATAAGGAACCCACAATCAATTTATACTTTAAGAGATAACATGAAAAGAAAAGGATTAGGGAACAATTATAGATAATAAATTAGGCAACAGTGTACAATGCTGGTCTGCCTTTGGAAAGGCTAATAAGATGCTATTATTTGTAGAAAGGGTTATGGATGCACATGATCAAAATACAAGTTTTCCTCTTTATAAATCAATGGTAAAACTCCACATTTTGAGCTTCCATTTTAAAGACAGAACTAGAAAAAGTGAGGTGAGCTACAAAATTAACATGGGGAATGGATAACATTAGTTGTGAACAAAAGCTAGAAAAACTGCATTTGTTTTCTAAAAAAAAAAAAGGAGGCGCCTCACTTGGGATATTATAGCACTGTATAAATGTATACAGGGTCAGTACAAAATTCTATATGTAACCTGTTAATTAGCAGAAATAAACAATAGACAAGAGGTCATCAATTGAGACTGGTAGAATGGCATTTTTACAGTAGAGGAAATGGTCCTTTACAGTAAGAACAATTAAGATGTGGAATTCTCTACATAAAGAGGTTGGCCTGGATGTTTTTATGTAAAAACAGAATATTCAGGGATATAATTAATATGTATGTGGGTTGTTGATCCAAAGAGAAGTCTGATTGCCATGATAAAGTCAAGAATGAATTTAGCCACAATTATGTGGCATTATTGGTCATGAATTTGAATGACTTTAGTTTTTATTCAACCTAGATTACTATGTCTCAAAGCCTCAACATGCCGCTTTGTATAGCTTATATGTTTACAATGCATTACGCATCAGATAAACTGAATAGCTAGCAGTTCTGATTTTATTTAACAGTTATATTTTCTTTTTGGTTTAATAAGTAATCTTCAGAGCAACCACCCCCAATAAGAATAGCAAGAAAAGAGTAGGAAGTACAGTGACCATAGTGTATTCAAATACAGCAAGTATTTTATTTATTGTCATGGAACAGATGACTGGCTGCTAGTGGGTGTTAAAATGCACATAAAGTCAAATTACTCTAAACAAAACTCAAATTTGTCAAGGCTTTTAAGAAAAGCAAAACAGCTGTTTTTTGTTCTGTGAAATGTCCATTAATACTTTAATAGAAACAGGGCTGGATTTACCCTCCTTGCTGCCTCAAGGCCAGTTTCCTCAATGCACTTCCCACCCCCTGATATAAATATATATATGTAAATGCAAAGGTTTGGGGTATTCGAAAGGATGCATTAATGTGACTAGTTAGGGGTATGATTGAATGTAACTAGGTGGGTGGCTGGGAGAGGGTGTGTGTATGTATGTGCTGCTTGTGGTGTTGCGTGTATGTGGGTGGCTGTTGCTTGTGTTGCATTTGTGATGCTTGTAGTGTTGCTTGTTTCTAGAGTTGCTGCTTGTGGGTTTGTGCATGCAAAGGAAACGCTGCTCATTGTGTTATGTGTGTGGGGGTCTGTTTGCGTTGGAGTATGTGTTTGTGAATGTAAATAGGGGCTGAATGTGGATAGGGGCTGTAGTGTGTATGTTTAGGGTGATGTGGATCATGTGTGTGTTAATAAGGATAGGACCTGTAGTGTGTTTGGGGAATAGAGGCAGTAGGGTTTATTTCGGGGATATAGAAGAAAATTGTGGCTTTAGAGTGTATGTAGGGAAATTTGGGTGGTTGTAGTGTATATGTGCAGATTATAGGGGCTGGAGTGTGCGTTTGGGGGTGATAAGGGCTATTTGTGTGTTGAGGGGGAGAAATTGGTTGAAGTGGGGATATAGGGGCTGTGATGGGTAATATAGGGGTCATAGTGTGGGGATAGGGGCTATAGTAGGGGGTACAAGCTATAGTAGGGGTATAGGAGCTGAAGTGGGGGGACAGAGACCTGTAGTAAGGTGGTGAAGGCTGTATTGGGGGGATAGGTCTGTAGTGTGAGATAGGGTCTATGGGGGATAGTGGCTGTAGTGGAGGGATAGGGACTAAAGTGAGTTGGTTGGTGGCTGAGTTTGCGATAGGGGCAATAATGGAGTGTATGGGTGATAATATGGGGTTATTAGCTGTAGTGAGGTAGATATTGACTTTATTTAAAAAAAAATTTAATAAACAAAACAAACAAAAAACTGATGTTTATTCCTTCCCTCCTGTGGTTTACCTTGGATTCTAATCCCTGGTGATCCGGTGGAAGATGTTGCTGTCTGCCTCCACTCCGGCCAAGAAGATTTCCCCTGTCGTTTTGGCCCTTTGGCAGGAGAATGGGCTGGCTCCTTGATCTCCTCACCGGCTGTGCGGCCCCTCTCCTACCTGTGTCCTCGGTGGACTTAATCCAGCCATGAACAGAAATAGTGCCCTGAGTCAGATTATTTTAATTCACATGATATTTAGGAACAAGCCTTTCTGATACACTAAACCAATTCAGTAAAATACAGCCCTCCAAGGTCAATAAGGGGAACTGTGTCCCAGGTCTTTTACATGGACATTTCATATTCTCAAGCTATACTATTTTATATAAAGACAAAGCTATGTATTTAGATGGGAATTGTTAGAAAATATCTAGAGATTTAATAATTCCAAGCTTCCAGAGTTATTCACTAAGACAGGCTTTCAGATCATTCTGATTTTGGCTTGACAATCCTGATTTTAGTGTCCTCTCCTGCCATCACAGATTTGTTCCCTGGTGTCCTCCTTTTTGGAACACCAGGGAATTGTCCACAAAAGCATAGTGTGAGTGCATCACTAGATGGGCTCACGCTACGCTAAGAGCACGTGGACCACGCAGAGAGCACTCAGGGATCATAAATGAGAAATCTATCGTTCAGTTCAAAGCTTTGAGATTTTGTGACCCCTCAAATCTTCTTCTTTATACTTTTCCCAACAGTTTGATGCAGACAGAGAAGAGAATTGTATTTTTGAAGATATATGCTGTGCCGTGCAAGGCCTTCTCTTCCCAGAGTGCATGGGACTACAAGGTGAGCTATGCTAACAGGTTACTTAGATATATAGTAATATAGGTTATAAAAATGCTCAAATATATTTAGTTCAGCCTTTCAGATCTGTTTCTGTTGTTGATTTAGGCAAAGATGAAAACCACAATTTGAAACTATTTCTATATGTGCAGCTAAAGGAAATATGTTAAGAACCTCAGTGGTTATGGTACTGAGTTCTTCTATTCCTTTCCCAGTAGCTGAGCATAAGTGATTATAGTTGCAGTTAGGGTGTAGAGGAACAGTGTAGATGAATGCAGCTTCCAAGATGAATCTCCCCAGCAATTAAAAGGTTACCCAAGCATGAGCCTAGACTTCATGAAGGGTACAACAGGAATAATGTTTTATTGATGCCACACTGGCTTTTATGGAAATCCTTCTGCAAGAGGACCTCCCACAGTAAACAAAAGTGACAACCAATCATAGTACAGATTTACAGTAAAACCTTCCCTTCCTCTGCCTGGGAGATAATAAGTTAAAGAATAACCCAATTATCTTCAGGCAAAGGGCACACAATTTCCCCAAAACTTAGAACACCCCTCGATACACATGGTATCCCCACAAATGTCATGTTCCTGGATAGCCCCAATCTGGGAGACCAACATATTCAGATTTCACCCAGATCGGTTCAGGGGTTCTCAAAAAGTAAGGAAGTCTAGTTCACCAACCGCACACGAGGCTCCTGCCCAAAATAGTTCCAAGAGTTCAGTGTGTGCGGTCGGTCAATTTAGAAAAAGCCAAATAAACGAATAAACCCACGAACTGAGCCTCCTGGCTCCTAGGAGCGATTGATCCCCGTGTTCGTGGGAAACAAACTACCGAACGGCGCTCTCCTGGCTGTTCGGCAACAAAAGGAAGCAGGCGTTTGTATGTTTTCAGCGGTGTTCGGGAAGTCGATTGTCCGATTTTAGTTCCAGACACTTGACGACCAAGTCCCACTGCCTCCTTTCATGTAAACAAGATGGCCGCCGTTTTCTCTTCCACGTGGCATTCGACTATACGACCGGCGGCCGCCTAGAGAGCGCTTAATAGACAGTTCCCTTTGAAGATAATGAGCCAGGAGGGTGGTCGGTGTTCGATAGTTTAATCTACAGAACCAGTAAATACAAAATAACCAAAATAAAGCAAAAAAATCACGAAATGAAGAAGAAAATACCGAAAATGAGTCTATTTTCTTCACAAAATATATTTTGCTGCAATTTTAGAAAATCTTTATTAAATCATAGTTTTCATAAATTAAACTCCTTAGAAAGCTACAGAATCAGTGCCTTTGTCTGCCAATCAAAACCTGTAATTTTATCATTTTAAAGGACACTCTAGACCCCTAAAGCATGTTAGCTTGCTGAAAAGCTTTATGTGTGAAGAGTATGAACTTGTTTTTTCATTTTGAAAAAAGTGCAGATTTCAATAGAAATTGACACTTTTATAAATGATACTGGTTACACCCCTTGGCTTTTCAAGCAGACAATAACTCCTGTTACTTCCTGGTTTGATTTGCTTATTTGCACTGAACTCAAGAAGCAGCAATTACACAGAGCACCTGCCTTGCAAAGACTTCTTATTGAGCTGCATTGGGACTTTATGTGATTGGACAGTCACATAAAGTCTAGGTGGGGTTAAAAGGGGAGGGCTTGCAAAGACAGCGGACAAGAGATCTGCTGTTTTTGCAAGCTGTTTTGAAGATATAGCTCCAATCAAAAAAATGCATAATTAAATGCATGCACTTAATTTTTATTTATTTTGTATTTGGGTAGTGCAGTGTCTCTTTAAGCTGATTAATTATCAGCATGTCAATTAGTAGGAATGGAAACAAATGTTAGAATTATCTATTGATGAAGGGTGACCAAGAAAACATGGTTGACCGTCAAGGTTAGTTAAACTTTTTTCTTTTTTACCAATGTAATGAAAAAGTGGATAGATCTTTATGGTGATAACTATATAGATAATTAAAAAAAAAAGAAAAAAAGAAAAGAAAAGTGCTAGCCAATTGACTTGCTGAATGAAGGGGGTTTTTCAATTAAGTGAGAATTCAAATTTAATTTCAAATTTAAAGTGAAACTGTCATGGTTAAAACAACTGTAGCTCTTTTAAATGAGCTTGAAATTCCATCTACATGTTGTGCTAGAAGTTTTGCTAGTAAATGTACAGGTTTGGAGAAATACCTGGAAAAAATATCTCCATCTGCTATACTTTAGGTTCCGCTACTCTGGCTTTCAATGTGAAATTCACCTTGAATTCACACTTTAAGCCTGAAATACCTACGTTTCGAATATTGCCAAGTTGGAGGATTTAAAAAAAATAAAAATCACTTTTTGCATAAATTTAGCAATTTCATATTCAATTCTTTACAATTCAGGGTGTAGTGAATTGACCCTCACATTATGTGTGCTCTATATATAGCCGAACTGAACACATAGCTGATTTAGAGAATTTGTCCAGTTCGGCTACTCTGCCTTTAAATTTAAAATTTACTTTGAATTCACTTTCTTTTCTCACGTTAGTGAATAACCCTGATAATGTTATGAACTAAAATGTTTGATGATGAAGAAGCTGTAACCACCAGAGATTACGCGGAAAATCCATTTACACTGTCATCTATGGGGACTAGAAATGAATGTCCTTTCCTTAGGACATAATGCTTTATTTATTGACCTTTCTCCCCCCCACCCCTTCCCTCCCTCTGCCATTCCCTCTGTGCTCCAGATTTCTCTCAGCAGGCTTTCCGTCTGTCTTCTTCTAGCAAGGACCACAGGAAGGACAAAAAAGCTACAAATGTGACAGAACAGGTAACTGCCATTTCTCTCACATCCCGCTAGGGGGCGTCAGGCAGCAGCATAAATACTTACATGTCAATATCTGTTATTTTGTACATAAAAATGTGTGTGGTATAAAGAATACAACATAACACTCTTTGACATTATTTAATAACACACAGCATGACTCTCTATATTTGTATATCTATCAGATCTTAGCAGTAGATATATTTCCCTAGCATACGTGCTCAGAATACAGGGTAATAGCAGCTGTAAGCCTGTGAATTGTAACTGCAAATAACCTTAGCGAGAGACATTCGTGTGTCTTAAGAGAGACCCATTCAGCTCTCTCACTGAGACGGTCTATTTGATCTCTACTTTAAAATAAATAAATTAATTGAAAAAGAAAATGATGAATTGACTAAACATTTCTTCAAATCATGGCAACCTTCTATTAATTTGCTAGAAATGTCTGTTAAACGTAAAATTCTAAATACCTTCCAGTGAACGGAATGGTAGCTGTTTAATAAACCTCTGATTGTTTTCTAAGTTTGTGTGTAGGTCTGGAGCTCACTGATCCTTATTCCCGGGTCCTTGATATTTATTCCACTGCCTTATTGTCTTTGGTTTCTCTCCTGTACCAGTCGTCTTGTCTCCCCTACTGACGTAATGATCGACATATTTTGTTTTAGATTGTAGTTAGTTTTTTTTATATTTTATAGTGACACCTATTGGATCCTTTACTCATAACTTGCCTTTATAAGTGCTTGTATGTGTGTAAAGTGACAATCACAACCTAAAAAATAGCTAAATAGTGTTACAAAACATCTACAAACAAAATATAATATAATATATTTTTATCTTTAGTAGAATTACCCCCATATGCTTTATACTTTATTAGTGCTTGTATGATATATACTCTGATGTATTCGTGTAGTATGACATGATCTTTGATTTTATTATGTCATGTCTCTTGTGCTGAACTGTATTGTTCTCATTTTTCTGTCGTACGTAGTGCATCGCTGTTGACTGAAAAAAAAAAATCTAATAAAATGTTTAAAACATAAAAGTGTATACAAAAATATTAAGTCATTTTGTAAACCTCATCCAACAATATTAAGTTGAGGCCATAGTTAGAAACCCCAAATAAATATAAAATAATTGAATCACAATGCCCTGAGCTTAGTTAGTTAACGAAGTCTATATCAATGACTTTTCCCTACATCATCCCTCGTCTGTATTATTGTTTTCAATTTAAATCAGTCACCTGTAGCTTTTCTACATAACATTTGCTAGATCCCAGCTCGTTCATTTTGTAGCGGTCTGTGTATAATGTACTGTTTTGTCCCCGCACCGCACCCCAAATTGTACTGCGCTACAGAATATGTTGGAGTGTTATAAAGACCAGTAATAATCACATTTTATATGAATTACACAAGATTTTTCGGTGTAGTTAGCCCAACTGTCTGTTGTTGTTTTGGTTTAAAGTTAAACATGGACCTTCTGTGTTAAAAGTGTGGAGAGTTCCCAGGTATAACTGAAGGAAAGAATTAACATGTTTTTGATGCTGGTAACATTTCAGATTTTCCTAAAAGCAAGGATTTCGATACTCTGAATCTGCTACATTTGGATAAGAAACAGAGTTGCTAATGGTGCTGATAAGTCTTATTTGATGGGGGGTTTTCTGAACAATGGATTTATCTGTTCTATCCAACAAAGCTGCAAGCTACCTTCTGATGGCTGGTTGCAAATTTATTTTTGTAATAATTATAATTTAAATCTAGAGCTTCAATCAGATTATTTCTGCTTGGAAAAGCTGTCACACGCACAGAATGTAGAAATATGACTATATGACATTTCTGCAATAAAATATGTTCTAAACAGATGCTCGGTAAGAACAGAGGATGTCTTCAGCCAGGACAGGGGGTTCTGCCATACTACGCCCTGGCACATGGAAACTGTAATCAGTCCTGCCTGGTACATATGTAATTGAGAACAAGTTAAAGGGACACTCTAGGACTAGGTGCATTGCAGTGGTTATAGTGCCTGGAGATTCCTGGCGCTATCCTTCCATTCAGCGTAAAGTGTTTTTGAATGCTCTAATACTAAACAAGAGTCCCCAGCATAATTATCTCTGTGCTGTATTAGGTAATGAGGAAGCATTGGCCAGCAATGAGCATGTTTATTGGTTGCGAATCTCAGTTGCCAGCTTTCAGCCTATCAAAGCTTACCATTGCTGGTATGAATTGATATGGCTTGGAAAGTGTGTAATCTCTGCTTTAGCAATACCTCCAGTGGGGACCAGGCTTTGAGTGCCCAGGGATCATCATCACATATTTAAACTGTTTAAAAATTGTTTAACAATATAGCAAATTCTATAGTTTTGCACTATAACAAATTAAATGAGATGAAATGGTTATAGTGCATTGAATGTTCCCTTTAAACGGTTCTCAAGCACCAGTGCCACTTTGTTTTTTTGTAAATGCAGTGTTTCAGTAGGAAACGCTGCATTTACTTAAATATTTTATATTATTATTCTTATTATTAAAGCAACAATAAATTTTGTAGCGGGCGCTGTACAATGGGTGGACTAACAGACACGTATTTGTAACAAGACAAGTTGGACGGACAGGAACAGAGGGTATTGAAGGATATAGATTTTAAAGTGTATCTTGAATGCAAAGTATAATCATTATATTAATCTTGATAAAATGTTCACATTAGAGCTTCTCCATAGAAAAGCATTAAATCAATTAAATCAATGATTTAATTAAGGTGACACAGGATTGATCTGTATTTAAATAATATAATGCAGATGACACAAAATAATGTTTATTAAGGGGCAGTTCCTGACCTTAACAGGGAGCAGACGCCATTTCACCTCACTTCCGTACTATTCTCCCTTGCTTTTTGGGGAGCCTCATTGAGCATGTAAGAGCTGATCGCCTGCCTTTACACTTATGAACTCTGTCGCAACGACATATGCCGTTTTTACACACTCCTAAGTCGAAGCAGAAAAAAACGCAGATCTAGGGCCTACTACCTACCTCTGGGCCTCGATTTGGTGACCGCACTTGACAGCCTGATTCCTGCTGGAACTCCTGAGTCAGGGTCCGCACGCTGCACGCCACGGCCGTTGCTCCAATCCGACATGGCAAAGATGAACCAGCGTCCCCAACTTGAATTGCCATCAGGGTCGAGGGATATCGGAGACCTGCTCCAGCGACAGCCACAACCCAAAATGGTGGCGCCAGAGGGCCATGCGGCCTCAGTGGCCTATATGGATTACTCATTAACCGACTCACCAAAGCGGTACCCAAAACAGGAGCATACACCACTGGATACCCATGGAAGGTCTAAACCTGCCACCAAACAGGACTTTCATAACCTTGCGGCTGAAATCAAGAATCTCTTGGCTGCTGATGTGGCGATCATTAAGGCTGATATGCAAGCCATCGCCGACAGAACGAAGACCTCCGAGGAGGATATTGTGGGCCTCAAGCAGGGACCAAACGTAATACAGGACTCTGTGCACCAACTACAGGCATCTCAACTGGCTTTATCAATTAACTATACGACAGGTCATGCCGTAATCACCTCAAGATCAGGGGCACACCCGATGCAGTTACACCCGAGGAGATCATACACTATGTACGGCGCCAAGAAGTTCGCCCTCTGGGCAAATAATCAGCTCTCCTTCATTCCTTGGGCCTACCAGTGCCTTCATCAGACCTAGGTGGACTACCGAGCAGCTCGATACGAAACCAAGCTACCACTGTCCCTCCTCTCCCTGCTCCTAACCCAATCCCAACATCAGGGACTTGATTTACACAGGGATCGTAATACTACAGTGCGGTTCAAAGTTTCCTTTTTAATTTGTGCTATTAATATTACTGTGATCTTTTGTTTTATTCAGTCTTAACTGTCTCAAGCTGCAAACACTGCATCTCCTCCTAATAGGTAACGGGGCTTAGCCCTGTCTTATGGGCGTCTAGTTTCACATTCACCCCTTGCTGAAAAGCTTTATGTGTTAAGAGTTTGTCCTCTTTTTTTCATTTTACAAAAAGTGCAGATTTCAATAGAAATAACACTTTTATAAATGATATTGGTCACACTCCCTGGCTTTCAAGCAGACAACAGGTCCTGTTACTTCCTGGTGAGGTTAGCTCAATGGAGCTATATTCAGAAAGCAGACAATTGCCCAGAGCACCTACCTTGCAAAGACTATTACTATAATCTACTAAACTTTGATTTCTTTTATTATTATTATTATTATTATTATTATTTGGGCAGTGGAGTTTACGCTGCATTAGAAATACAAACCTGTATTCCTAGTTGACAGCTCAGGTACACAACACAGAGTCTGCATTTATTAAAGAATGGCAACCTTGGGAGGAATATATAGAATGATATTTATCTGATTAAAAATCGATCCCGTTCCCCCTGCAAAGACACCAATTCCCTTTATTGTGTGTCTTTTTTTTTCTTCTCTATTTTATTTTTATTTTTTTGTTTGTTCTGTTGGGATAATGTAAATTTTGGAGTCAGGAGAATGAATTAACCAAGATGGTATACAGTAAATTGCACATATATGTTTTTGCATTGAAGTACCAGGAACAAAGTGTAAGCTAGACATATACTTGTTTATTGCATTGTAATACAACTGTTGAAACAATATTACAGTATTATCTGCTATTGAACAATTGTACATTTACGCAACGCATTTGCATTGTAATCCTCTACTGAAAGCATTTCTGTCTGCCTGTACTCTTAAATGAAGAATTAAAGAAAAAAAACTGTATTCCTAACGATAGAGTGCCCTAGTTCAAATTTATATTGTAGGCCCCCAAAAAACTGCAATAAAAATAGTAAAAAAAGAAAGGTTTTACTTACCTTTTTTGGCACAGAGACTCACTAGGTGCTTCTGCCCACTCCGCCACCCGCGGAGGCATCGTCGTCTTGCCAATGATCCAATCCAATGCTTCTCATAGAGGATCATTGGGGGACGTGAAGTGCATGTGCAGGGAGCACCGAGCGTGCAATCAATCAAATACTTTGCCTAGGAAAGAATGGAATGGAATGCTTTACAATGAGCAAGATTTCAGTCACATGACCAAGTTTCAATCGGTTGTTGCCTTGAAAAGGCTTCTAGTGCACTTAGTGGTCCTTTAAAAGAGGTGGATCCAGTAAGCTAAACAGGGAAAGGAACACATCTACCGTTAAAAATAATATACCTTCCTTTGATTAACATCTCCAGCATAGTTATAAAACAACCCAGACAGTTTAGATAAAAAGCTTTGTGAATGTCTGATGTTGATAAAGCTTCTTCGCATCTTGTTTTTATCTTCTTCTCTTGTGTAATTATACCCCACATCCTTTAAACAGTTCTCTCTCTAATTGTTAAATTGGTTCAGTGAGCTATTCTTCAACTGTAAGTAATTTCTCTGAAAGACCAGGCCCCAGGGAGAGTGCACAGCTTAGCGGACAGTGTCACATGTATGAGTGTGGGATGGATGATGCATGATTGGCTATGTGCTACGTGGGGGAGTTTGAGATGTGAGGAAGTGGGTGGTGACAAAGTAGACTGACCTCTACTTAGGAGCCGGGCCAGCAACAAGTTTTCTTGATCCTCCTCCTCTTGTTGTTTGGGCCTGTTGGATTTTCGGCCTGTGGCATGGACATTTAAGCAATCTTGTCTGCCCTCAGGGCTGGTGCAGCAGCAGACGGTGGCCGGCAGCTCCGTGAGCAGTTTGGGCACCAGCTCCAGCCACAGCTGCCTGGCGATGCGGTCCCCCCTCCCAGCGTTGTGCCTCCTTCTAATCTGCCCCCCACGGCACCCTCCCTGGGTGGCCGTTTCAGTGCGGGTCGGCACACCCACCCCCCGGCTCGTCTGAGCCCCAGTGGATCTCCTCTGGCCCAGTACCGGAGCCGCAGCCCGGGCCCGAGGCGGCAACAGGTCTGTGCACTGGAGCCACGTGGTGCGTGGCCTGCTTCTTCATCGGCCTTGCTGGTTCCCACCCCTGGTGGCCGGGCAGCGGCATCGTGCACAGGCCGCAACCTGATGGGACCTGGCGGCAGGATGGTGGACCTGTGTCAGCAGCCTCCTGTCCAGAGGAGTGGGCTCACCGTCTCTCTACTGCTTCCTCAGGCTCTGAGTGCAGTTGGCGGATCTGTCCACCAGATGGCGTCTGGAGCTCCTGTGGCCATGGAGAATGCTGTTCAGGCCATGGAATCCACTTCCCAGGCTTCTGCTCTGGTGCCGCCAGCTGGTCTTGAGGCACCGTCAGGTGAGTCTCATGTTCCTGCACTTGCTGGGGCGTCCACGCTGGGTGGGTTCAAGTCGGTTTTTGAGGGATCTGCTTTCTCAGCGGGAGCAGGGGGCACTAGCACAGGATGGTCAGTTGTGTTCGGTGTGGTCCCCGCCTTTGACCCAGGCTGGTCCGTCGGCGGGATGGGGGCGAGTTCGGTTCCCGGTGCAGCGGTTTGGGTTGATGTGGCGACGCCCCGGGAGGGGGGGGGGGGATGACTTAGGGGTACTGGATGGCACGGCGGGGACGAGGCGAAAGGGGCAGCATAAATGTGCTGGTCGGGTCCCTTGGGCTTACATCTCAAGCCTGAAATTAGGGAAAAGATATGGAAGGGGGAATTCGTCAAGATATTTTCCCTTTTGCCCTTTGGCAACTGGGTTCGGGCGTTTTCCATTTTGGCGAGCATGATTGGGGAGAAGGCTCCCCAACACTGCTCGGCACTTTTTTGCTATCAGGACACCATTTGGAACGCTTGATCGGACCTATGGTGGCCTGGGTTGGTGGTGCTATGACGAACAATTTCGTCAGCGGCTTGCAGTCAACCCCTTAAATCAAATGGACATTGGCCTCTCTCTGTCCATCATGACTCGCCCGGCGGCACACCGAGGGGGAACGTCGTCCTCTCTTGGGGGGGCTGGTGGGGGGGGCAGCTACGCCCCATCAGCCTCACATCGGCGGCCTGGCTGTAGTTGGAAGTTCAACGACAGCCAATGCAAGTGGGGTGCAATATTCCATTTTAAACAAGAGTGCTCCCATTGCGGGGGTGCCCACTCGGCATCCCGCTGCTTTAAGCGGGGAAAATCTGGGGACAAAGGCAACATGGGGACTAAGGGCGAGGACGCCAGTAGTCGTGGATGTGATGCGCCCCTGGCTCGCCCATTACAGGAGCCGCCGGGCTGCCGGGTTGCTGCCAGAGGGGTTTACCCAGGGGTTTTGGATTCCCTTCTTGGAGCGCCCCTCCTCCGGGGCTGTTCGGAACTTGAAATCTGTGTTTGATTTTCCTGAAGTGGTCCTCAAAAAACACCGAAAGGAGGTTTCGTTAGGGCGGGTGGCAGGGCCGTTTGGGGTCCCTCCGTTATCCAACTAGCGGTTGTCTCCCTTGGGCGTGGTGCCCAAGAAGGAGGTGGGAAAATGAGTCACCATTTATCTCACTCTCATGGGAGCTCGGTGAATGAGGATATCTCTGCCAAGCTGTGTCGGGTGTCTTATGCTTCCTTTGACGCATCGGTGCGCATGGTCAGGGCCGTGGGCCCTGGGGCGTTGCTGGCAAAGGCAGACGTGGAATCGGCGTTTCGCTTGTTGCCAGTGCACCCTGATTGCCATCACCTCCTCGGTTGTTGTTTCGAGGGCCAGTACTACGTGGATATGTGCCTCCCGATGGGGTGCTCCATATCCTGCTTTTACTTTGAGTGCTTCAGTACTTTCCTGGAATGGGTGATGCGGCAGGAGTCGGGGATCGACTCGCTGCTGCATTACCTTGACGACTTCCTGTGTGTGGGTCCTGCGCATTCTCTGGCGTGTAGGAGCTTGCACGCAATAAGACGGTGGGTCCGGTGACGTGCCTTAGCTTCATGGGCATCGAGACAGACTCAGTGGCCATGGAGTGCCGGCTGCCTCTGGACCAGGTGGATGGGTTGCGCCAGGACGTGGCGATGGCCCGGGGCTTGCGGAAGATCCAGCTTTGCCAGCTGCAATCTCTGTTGGGGAAGTTGAACTGGATCATGCCCGTGGGACGGATTTTCAGCAGGCGCCTAGCGGCCGTGACCTGTGGAGTGGCGAGGCCTCGGCACTACATTCGGCTCACACGGTAGTTACGGGACGATATAGACGTCTGGGGTACGTTCTTGGCAGAGTATAATGGGAGGTCATATTGGCAAGCGCCAGAGGTGTCCGGTGCGGATCTCCACCTCTATACGGACGTGGCGGGTTCCGACGGCTTTGGGGCAATACTGGGGGCGCGCTGGTGCGCTGACATGTGGCCAGAGGACTGGTGCTCCTGGCGCAATTGTGCAATCCCGCAGCTGTGTTTTTCAGACTTCGAGGAGCGGCTTTTTCACCTGGCCTTTTCGTTTCTTTTATCTGGCCTTCCTTGAACTTTTCACCATAGTGGTGGCATTGGAACTCTGGGGTCTGGACTTACGGGACCGGCGGGTTGTCTTTCACTGTGACAACCTGGGGGTTGTACAGGCTATTAACCAGCTCTTGCCTCCTCCCCGCCGGTGGTTCGTTTGCTCCAGCGCTTAGTGCTACGGTGCCTGTTTCTTAACGTGTCATGTAGGGAGCTACATATTCCTGGGGTTCACAACATAATGGCGGATGCTCTCTCTCGTTCGCAGTGGTCGGAGTTCCGGGCAGTTGTACCCCACGTGGACGAGGAAGGGTGCCGGTGTCCGGTGGAACTATGGTCCCTGGGCTCAGGAGGCTGATAGACCTGGTTCGATGGTCTGTATCAAGTTCCACTTGGGCCAGTTACTCGAAGGCATGGGCTGAATGGCTCGAGTGGGAGACAAGACTGGGGGTTTTCCAGGATATGCCTGCCCGGTTGCAGGGTCTGTTACGGCTATTGGATACTTGGGTGTCAGCGGGCATGTCGCCTTCGGCGGTGTCCTCGCGCCTGGCTGGGTGGAGTTTCTTTTTTAAGCTGCAGGGGTGGGGGGACGTGACCAAGGAGTTTATGGTGAGGCAGGCGGTTAAGGGGCTGCGGAAGAGTTGGGTTGCGGTGGATACCCGGAGGCCGGTGTCAGGGGCGCTCCTGGCGCAATTGTGCCAGGTGCTCCCGCAGGTGTGGTTTTCGGACTTCGAGGTGCGGCTTTTTCGCCTGGCCCTTTCGTTTGCTTTCTTTGGGGCCATGAGAATTGGGGAGTTGGTGTGTCCAAGCAGTGCGACCGTTGGGGGATCCTCTTTTCAGATGTCAGGGATGGGCTGGACTGGGTTTCCTTTAATATTCGCCGCTCCAAGACTGATGTGTTTGGAAAAGGGCAATGGGTTCAGCTGGCGGCGGCCCCGGGGTTGGCCACCTGCCCAGTCCTGTCCTTCCGGGATTTTTGCGAGGTTCGCCCTGCTCTGGCTGGCCCTCTACTAGTGCACAAGGATGGGAGCTTCCTCTCCCATTTTCAGTTTGTCCGGGTGTTTCGGCTCGGGTTGGCTGCGTTGGGAGTGGAGGATGCGGAGTTTGGTGGGCACTCCTTCCGGATTGGCGCAGCAACGGAGACTTCTTGTCTGGGTATGCCGGATCAGGAGGTGCAGAGGATAGGGAGGTGGGAATCCAGGTTTGTTTCTTATGTGTTTCTTATGTGCGTCCTGCCAGTCTTCTGAGCTAAATACTTTGTTTTCCTCCCCAGGTCTGGTCCCCTTCAAGGTCTGGGTGATTGGCCACTCCTATATCCACTGGGCACGGCAGAGAGCGGCAGTCCGGCCCGGGGGGGAGCGTCTCGGTCTCACACCTGTAACTGTGGAGGTATGGTGGTTTGGGGCCAGAGGCATGAGGTGGGTCCAGCTCCTCCCTGACTTGGTCAGGCTCTCCCGCCTGCTTGGAGCTCCATTGGTGTTGATTATCCATCTGGGGGGTAATGATCTGGGGACCTTGCCTGTGGGGGGTGTGGTGGGCATGGTTAGGAGGGACTTGTCCCAGATCCTGATCCTGTTCCCCAACGTATCCCTAATTTCGTCAGAGGTAGTGGCCAGGAATTTTTGGTGGCAGACCCACAGCCAGAGTGCGCCGGAGCGCAGCCGCAAAAAATGTAATCGGCGGATTGCAAAGTTTGTAGCAGGGGTTGGGGGATCTCAATACCTCACCAGGTTTTTGAGAAGAACATGGTGAACTTGTTTCGTCCGGATGGGGTGCACTTGACGGAGGTCGGGCTCGACCTATTTAATTTGGCACTTTAGGAAGCTTTGGAAAAGGCATTGGGGGTTTTGGTGGGGGCCCCCACTGATTTTAGGCTTAAAACAGCGGGGTTTGTGGCAAGGGCATGTCCTTGCCAAATAAGGGATGGTTTGGTAGATTAGATGAAAAGGGGGATAATGGCCGGGTCTCATCCTCCCCCTGTCTCTTATGGTGAACCTGGAGGAGGTACCAGGTTGGACGTGTCCCCACTGGGTTGTAAGTCGACTGGTGGGGAGCATTATAGTTGGGCCCTTAAAACCGGCTGGTGGGGAGCCCTTATGCCTAGGGGGGAGGTGAGAGCCTTTGGCAAGTTAGATTGGCATCGACGGTTTCTTTGGTTACTGTATGACTCTATGAAAAATGTTATGTTAATTTATGATATTTATTATTATGTTAAATGTTTAAGGAGTTATACAGTATTTGGTTATGCTAATAAATGCTGTGGCCTGTTTTTCCCAAGAAGTTGTATATTTGAAGGGGGTAAGTGATGGTTTTTATAGGGGGGGGATGAAGGGAATGCTATCCAATGCCCACTATGTCCATACATGTCTTAGACTGTATTTCCTTTGTCTAAAGCAGTCTGCCATTGCATAGTGCCTTAATTCACCTGCAGGTGTGCCTTGGACACAATGACTTTAGGGCTGGTCAATGCTGAATGCAGTCAGTCCTAATTGTCCACAATGAGTGGACTAACAAAGACATGTTTGTAACCAGACAAGTTGGACATACAGGAACAGAGAGATTGAGGGCCCTGCTCAATGAGCTTACTTGCTAGAGGGAGTGGGGTATAGCTACACAAAAGGTAAGGGAACGTATAGAAAGATAGGTTGCTAGGATAGTATTCACTGAGGGCATAGTGTTAACATAGTGAGAGCATTAGAATGCGTATTCCTATCTCGCAATTAATGAAATAAGTCAATTTAATTAGAAGTATACATACAGCTCTATTAAGGCTTCAAGTAAATGTGATATTTAAAACCTGCTGATGAGAGTAAAATGAAAAAAATAAACCTGGAACCCTTTCTACGTTGCTAACAGTAGTGACAGTCCCTTTGCTACTATCATCTGGCCGGGAACAATTAGCTGCAAGGTTGAAAACTTACATTTATCTGAAGTTAATTAAAAAAATTACCATTGAGTTGGGTAACAATTCCTTTAAGTCTTCAGGATGAAGTTAAAAACTAGTAATAGCTAATTGTATCCTTCCTGTTTAATACTTTAATAAAATTAGTATAGAAAAATCAGTGTTACTCTGCAGTATAAAAACCGACCCATGCTACTCTGCAGTATATAGAGCTCTGCAGTGTATAGACAGATTCAGATTACTCTGCAGTTTATAGAGATATACTGCTCTGCAATATATAGACAGATTCAGATTACTCTGCAGTTTATAGAGATATACTTCTCTGCTATATATAGACAGATTCAGATTACTCTGCAGTACATAGAGACAACTAGAATAAGCTGCAATGTGTGGACAGATCAACACTGCTCTGCAGTAGATAGATAGATTCAGGTTACTCTGCAGTGTATAGGCAGATTTAGGTTACTCTGCAGTGTATAGACAGATTCCTATTGCTCTGCAGTATATAGACAGCTTCAGATTGCTCTGCAGAGTATAGACAGATTCAGATTACACTGCAGTGTATAGACAGAAAGATACTGCTCTGCGGTATATAGACAAAACCAGAGTATTCTGCAGTATATAGACAGAAAGATACTGCTCTGCAGTATATAGACAAAACCAGAGTATTCTGCAGTATATAGACAGAAAGATACTGCTCTGCAGTATATAGACAAAACCAGTGTATTCTGGAGTATGTTCACAAATCTACACTGCTCTGCAGTATATAGTTAGATGCAGATTACTCTGCAGTGTATACACAGTAGCCTGCTACTCTACAGTGGCAGTCAAGCAGTACATAAACATATCCAAGTATCTCTGCAGTACCAGAACAGATTCAGGCTATTCGGCAATACACGGTTAGATTCAGGCTATTTGGCAATACACAGACAGATTCAGACTATTCGGCAATACACGGTTAGATTCAGGCTATTCGGCAATACACGGACAGATTCAGGCGATTCGGCAATACACGGAAAGATTCAAGGTTATTCATCAATACGCAGACAGATTCAGGCTATTAGCAGTACACGGACAGATTCAGGCTATTCGGCAATGCACGGATAGATTCGGGCTATTCGGCAGTACACAGACAGATTCGGGCTATTCGGCATTACACGAACAGATTCAGGCTATTCGGCAATGCACGGATAGATTCAGGCTATTCGTCAGTACACAGACAGATTCGGGCTATTCGGCAGTACACGGACAGATTCGGGCTATTCAGCAATGCACGGATAGATTCAGGCTATTCGGCAGTACACAGACAGATTCGGGCTATTCGGCAGTACACGGACGGATTCGGGCTATTCGGCATTACACGGACAGATTCAGGCTATTCGGCAATACATTGACAGATTTAGGCTATTTTGCAGCATACAGACAGATTCGGGCTATTCGGCATTACAGATTCATGCTCGTTTGCAATATGTACAGCCAGGCGTTCATTCGCCAGCATGCTACTCTGCACCGTACAGATATTCTAACCTGCAGTTCATTTACAGATCCATGTATTCCTGCAATACATAGACAGACAGATTCAGACTAAATAATTATGTTCCTATGCATTATATAGTGAGATCCTTGTTACCCTGAATTATTAAGCAGACAGACCGATTTTAGAGACACAAATTGTATACCTTGTTTACATAGTTCTGCACTGGCAGGATAAAGTTCACTGAGCGCTTATGCTTAATATCCAGGAGAAAAAAATCTATAAAAATGATTATAATGCTAAATAAATGTGTAGTAAGGTTGGGTTACACAATGTAACAACTGATAATTATTATCAGCATGCGTATACATTGTACGCTCTTGTATATACAGTAAATGGGTTAAGATATTGCTCAGCAGCTCGGCTCATTCTCCTATCTGAGGCTCAGTACTTATTCTTTCTCTCCTCCTCTTTCCCCTCCCTCATTCCTACGCTCACATTAATATGCAGGTCACATCTTGGAAGGCTTCTGTCCTTTACAGTCTGTGATATGTAGAGAAATCCTTCTCCCAGCATACACTGCTCCATACAGCTATATATAGAGGCAGAAATACCCAGGGCAGCTGCCTGAAGATACCAAGCCCTCTCCTCTCTCTGACCATTGCTGTCTCCCCCTGCATAAGCACTGACAGGTCAGTACAGAGACAGCAATCCCAGGCAGCCAGTGGTTGCATTTTATTTTGCTGGAACCAAATGATGACTTGCTGTTTCATGTTATGTATTAACCTGACCTTAGATTCCTTTTTAATGCAATTATTGAGCTACAACACACACTGGCTGCAAATAGAATTCGTAGTACAGTCCCGTTAATAAGTGCATGAGTTAAAAGTAGACGATGTGTATTCTGGAGATCCACCACCTGTTGGTCTCAGTCATGCTCTGCTTGGTATAGGCATTGAGTTTTTTGCACACAAGCATTGACCGCGTGAAATGGACCATAATTAATCACGTTTAATTCAGAATAACGATTCGCTAATAGGGTTGGACAACAGACATTTAGGAAGGGAATGTAGAGAAAAGAAGAATCCATGAAGGTTATGGGGGAAGTGGTTTCATGTAAGAAGGAAAACATAAATTTTTCGTATAGACAACTAAGATTGGGGATTCAAGGGCAACGTACGTTGATTTCCTAGAATTCGCCAAAAAAATAAGTAAATAAATAAAAAGTTTTGAAAGTGCCAAAAGCACCATAAAAATTTAATTTGGCACCGCAAATGTTGACCTAAATAGCTGATTGCCTTTGGGGTCCTGTACTTAATTCCTACCCCTTTGAGGCAATTTGTTTTTTCTATTTTATATCCTTGTGCAAAGGTTGGACTTAATGGAAGAATATGTAAGTTTGTGGTTATATGGCGGTAAAGGAAGCAGATGTAATAAGGTTAGATGGTTGCAATTCATGGAGACAACCGTCTCTTTTTTTTTTTTGTATTTTCTATTGTTTTCATATTAATGTCTAAAGCATTTTCCTTTTGGTGCGTAAGGACAGCCTAACATATAGTAATATCGTTTTTAACTTAATATGGATATGGTTTAGCATTAGGATATTCAGTTGTAACCAAGCCACAAGTACTGGAAAAAGAAACATACATTCTGCATTCATTGAAACCCCTTTTTCATGGGTGGTTATGGCGGTACGGTCCTCTTCTCTACCAATTTCTGGCACATACTTTATTACGTCATACTAATACACCCATTAGTGTTTTGGAAAATGCTGACAGGGACCTTTATGCAAAGGGTTGTAGGGTTGTGCAGAGTTTTCTGGTTCTTTCCTAGACCACCAATATGGCAGTTGACATTCCCATCTTTGAATGGACATAGTGATGGAGAAGGAGGTGTCACTTCTCAAATATTTAACTGCACAACATCTGTTTTATTTATAAAATATTTATGTTTATTTGTTGTATCAATTTAAGACTATTCAGACTATCCCTTTAAATCTCATCTGACTACACTGCAGTAAATTAAAGAAACCTTTGTCTTAAAAGTTTTTAAAGAGAGATAATGCGTTGAGTCTCACTTGGTTATTTAAATGCCCAACAATTCACACTGCAGTGAACTCAGAGTGAACTTAAACTTTTAGAACAAAGCAGCCAAACTAAAAACATAGGTGACATTTTCCAACTTAGATATTTTAAAATTTTAAATTACTTTTGGATTCCTTGCCATTCACGCTTTACAATGTTAATCAGTGAACTCAGAAATGTAAGGCTGGAGTGGCCAAGATGAGCTTTTAGCTGAGTACGATATTTTTTTCCAAATCTGTTATTTTTGCTTATAGCACCATTTGGATCCTAATCTGTTTACTGAATACCCCTGTTGGTGAATAACCCTGTGAAACCTTTCTCTACATATTGTATTCATTCACTAAACATTAAGTTCTGGTGATGCTCTTGGCCTTTGAATACTGTCCAAGCAGAGGACGAAAACAGTTTCACTCATACCTGGGAGTACTTTCTCAGGACTCTTGACCCCATAGCCACTGTAGTACTCCTTAGTGGATATGGTACTAAGATTGACTCATTAATGTTGTGAATTCCAGATAAGTGACAGCTCTCCTTTAAAATTAGATTTTGTTTTGGTTTTGTGTGTTTCATAATTGGAACTGTCACTTGTTCCATTTTTGCACAAACCAATACCTAATTGTTGGCTATTAATTGTGTTTTAATTTATTTATTTTTTAAATTCCAAGTTTTTTTTTGTTTTAATTAACGTTGTGCGCCTACTTGTCCTGACACAGTCAGAGCTTACCACATAAAATAATGTAACCCCTGCAGTGTTGCATGAGAACTTGTATCGCTATTGAAGGAATGCCCAGGGTATGCATGCCCTATGGCATGTCTCTGTAGATGCCCAAGCACACATGAGCACTACAAGGGCACCATGGCTCGATGATGCCATCCCTGCTACCAAAGTGTTATGGTAATTGCTTTCTATAGACTCTGCCACCGTGCAAACCCCAGGCTGAGCTTCAGTTAGCACCAGTGAGAGGTCCATTCTTAGTTCCTTAACCCCTTAAGGACACATGACATGTGTGACATGTCATGATTCCATTTTATTCCAGAAGTTTGGTCCTTAAGGGGTTCAACCTTTTTAGGAGGACCAAGTGAAGTGCGTCTCAAGTCAATATTATTTTATTTATAAAATATTTTACCAGGAAAGATACATTGAGATTTCTCTCTTTCAAGTATGTCCTGGGTCCACAAAACATTGCATTGTTACAATATTGTACAATAAAATACAAAAACAATATTAATACACAGTATATACAAAATTTAACATAGAACAGGTAGGAAATATAGAATATAGGCTAACTTTGGAACACTGTATGCTATTGAACTAGAATTAGCCCTATTAGAAATATAATTTTTCACAAATATATGGGATACTAACCTTAACAACAACTTTATTAAATGTTCAGTAGTTTGTATACTGTGTGTGAATAAAATGTGTATGACAGTAATTTGATCAGGTGTTCTGATACTGTCCAGTGACCGCAGATCATGCCGGTATTATATTGTTTAAGGGTTTAATATGATGCTTTACTCACAGACCTGCAACTCTTAAATTACTGCTGAGCTGGAAGCATACCTTAATTTCCATTTATTCGAATTGCTAAAAATTCCCCAGGGTTTTGTTAAATCTAATTACACCAGGCTAGATCTTGCAGTGATTATCTGTACATTGCGGTATATCCAACATACATTCAAACTGGCATCATCTAATTTTAAGATTTCAATGTATCTGTGTTTTTAATTTAGCAGAATCTGTCTGTCTGCCTGTCTGTCTGTCTCTCTCTCTGTGTCTCTCTCTGTCTGTCTCTCTCTCTCTGTCTCTCTCTAATCTAATTACACCAGGCTAGATCTTGCAGTGATTATCTGTACATTGCGGTATATCCAACATACATTAAAACTGGCATCATCTAATTTTAAGATTTCAATGTATCTGTGTTTTTAATTTAGCAGAATCTGTCTGTCTGCCTGTCTCTCTGTCTCTCTCTGTCTCTCTCTGTCTTTCTCTCTCTGTCTATCTGTCTCTCTCTCTGTCTCTCTCTCTTTCTGTCTATATATCTATTTATATATTTGTCTGTCTGTCCTACTTTATCAACACAATGTATTTACGTGATTTAAGGCAAACATTTCCTGAATAATATAACATTAAGAAAGAGAGGACAATTTGCGTACAGGGAATGTAGGGGAGACTAGGGAAAAGTTACACAAATGAGTTGCATGGTGCAGGTGAAGAAGGTGCAATATACAGGAAATTACCTGAGTGGTACAGTAGAGTAGAGGAAATGTGCTGGAAGTAAACGGGATTGCACTAATGAGGAAACATGCGGAAGGGAAAGTGAAGTAGTGCAGTAGTGTCAGGGAAAGATGCAAAAAATATGAACTGAATGGTGTAGTAAAGTAAGGACAATGGAAATTGGATGACTGTTGCAGTAGAAAAAGGGAAAAGTACAGGAAGTGAATAGAACAGCGCAGTATAGGAAATGAAAGTATGAGCAATGGATTTAATAGTGCAGTAGAGGTGAAAGGTACAGGGAGTGATTGAATGGTGCTGCGGAGTAGGGGAAAGGTACAGACAGAGGAGGAAACAGATGATTGTAGTAAACTTTGTACTTTCAGTATCAACACTATAAGAGACGTCACAGCTTGATCTAACCCTTTCTTTTCCAGGCCTTACTGTTTTTATAAAATCAGTCACAGGGAACAGGAAACTAAACACAGACACACCACATTACATCAAACGGCAGCACAAACACATCACACAAAAGTTAAGTACATGCTTTTTGCATGTATGCAAAACGGTATGGTACACCCAGTTCTTTCCGTTCCTAGCAATATCTGTGAAAAATGTGTCTTCTGCATACTTTCTTCATTTGTTTAATTTTGTGGGTTGCATTATTTTTGTTCAAAAAATGATACTTACTTGCAAATAGAAAGCAAATACATACAATGTAGAGGGTAGGTCACACTTAAAATACGTCTGAAAGAGATAAACAAAGCACGTAATAGTGTAATATTGTCTAGTAAAATGGAATATTGAGGAAGTGAAGTCTGGTACTCACAAGTCTGGAGCCAAATCTCATATGGCTCCCATGAATATCGCCTTGGGACTATTCAAAAGGATGTCCCACTCCTACTTCCACATGAGCTGTTGATTGTTCAAATTGGAATGAGGTCCAGAATCCAATGTGGATCTTAGTAAAAAAAGTACTTTTATTGTATATAAAAAAAATAGTAAAACTTCATTATTTTGAAAAATAATTAAAAACACAAAATATACAGCTATATACTATATATATGAGTCCTGCCAAATGGCTATAAAGTTCAATGGTCACCGAAACGCGTTTCGCCCCTCCGGGGGCTTTTTCAATCGGTATAAGTAAATGTTCCTTGCAGTCAAACGTTCATTTATCCCCTGTGTGCCTTTACTTCCGGGTTCCGGCTGATTTCTCTTTGGAACGCATCGTGCGTTCCAACTGCGGCTGAAGTTTGCGATTCCGCTTCCGGGTTCGCGGTTTCACTTCCGGATTGGGGTGATGATGTCGCTGGAACGCAACGTGCGTTCCAAACTTCGTTACGTTGCGTTCTCAGAGATCACCTCCATATTATCGGGACGCAAAGCTGAATCAGCTGTGCGTTCCATAACATGATGGTGAGGCACCAGAATATCGTAATATATACATTCTTAAAGAACATAAAGTATTTTACCTACATAAGATATTCAATACCTGTGAAAAATACATGCACTGTGAATTAAAATATATATTTCAATTCACAGTGCATGTATTTTTCACAGGTATTGAATATCTTATGTAGGTAAAATACTTTATGTTCTTTAAGAATGTATATATTACGATATTCTGGTGCCTCACCATCATGTTATGGAACGCACAGCTGATTCAGCTTTGCGTCCCGATAATATGGAGGTGAGCTCTGAGAACGCAACGTAACGAAGTTTGGAACGCACGTTGCGTTCCAGCGACATCATCACCCCAATCCGGAAGTGAAACCGCGAACCCGGAAGCGGAATCGCAAACTTCAGCCGCAGTTGGAACGCATGATGCGTTCCAAAGAGAAATTAGCCGGAACCCGGAAGTAAAGGCACACAGGGGATAAATGAACGCTTGACTGCAAGGAACATTTACTTATACCGATTGAAAAAGCCCCCGGAGGGGCGAAACGCGTTTCGGTGACCATTGAACTTTATAGCCATTTGGCAGGACTCATATATATAGTATATAGCTGTATATTTTGTGTTTTTAATTATTTTTCAAAATAATGAAGTTTTACTATTTTTTTTATATACAATAAAAGTACTTTTTTTACTAAGATCCACATTGGATTCTGGACCTCATTCCAATTTGAACAATCAACAGCTCATGTGGAAGTAGGAGTGGGACATCCTTTTGAATAGTCCCAAGGCGATATTCATGGGAGCCATATGAGATTTGGCTCCAGACTTGTGAGTACCAGACTTCACTTCCTCAATATTCCATTTTACTAGACAATATTACACTATTACGTGCTTTGTTTATCTCTTTCAGACGTATTTTAAGTGTGACCTACCCTCTACATTGTATGTATTTGCTTTCTATTTGTTGAGTGGTGTAAGGGGTTTCCACTCAGGGGGTTTATAGCTTTATTGCTATCACACTTTATTCTATTACCTCTCTGTATATATTTGTTTTTTGCATTTTACTTGCAAATAGCACCAAGACTTCCACAGACAACTCAATGCATGCAAAAGTGGAATAAAGCCACCACACAAACTGCTGTGATTTACTTAATGTATTTCCTGATTTCTGCACTTGGCAGAAACCATCAGTTACGTCACGGATGACATTGAGAATGAGCGCTATGCCCGTAGTACTATCCACATTGGTAAAGCTGCTCTGTGTGAGTGAGCAAATTCCATGTAAAATTCACTCAAAAGTCATGGCCGTCCTTAGTAAAAACCTCTTAAAATGCACAAAGCGAAATTCACATTTGTTCTTAAATAAAAGGCATATTTTAGTGATTGCATCCAAATCACATGTAATTTACATAGATAAATTATTTGCAGATGTAAAATCACATGTAAATTCTGTGATACATCTTTGCAGAGATGAAAAAATTTGGCTAAAAAAACAAGAACTGTGTTTTGTTCGATAGGATTTACATGGTGTTGACAGTGTTGTAATGATAATCTCTTTACTCATATTCCATATTTAACACAGCTTTAGGTCTAATGACCTATCCACCGAATTAGCTAATGCTGAACTGTGCTGCCATTTAGTTTTTAGATTCCGAAGCTGTACAAGTTTACCATATTTTTATACTTCAGGGACTACGTTCATCTCTCCCCTGTGGCACCCAAGACATTGAGAACATATTTATTTGTTTCCTGTAATGCTGAAGTCACACTATATTTAACCTTTTCAGTACTGGCATGTATTGATATGTATAGAATGAAACATTTCTATTTTACTTTATTTTTTCTTATTAACTGCCCCATATAACTAATCAACCTCCCCTATCATGTCAATATGACAATGCAGGCTTTCCTATTTGGAGTGATGGCTAATTATTCCATTTGCTGAACAACGCTGTCACTTAAAGGGACAGACACTCTAACCACTTTAGCTCATTGAATTGATGATGGTGTTCATTGTTCAATAATTTTCAAGCATTTTAAACACTGATTGAGGGTCCCTATGCAGCCACAGCCCTGCCCCTGTATATTGCTCCGATTAATGCTTCCGCAGCAGCCAGAGTATTGATGGGCGATAATGACAGGCGGTGAGAGATCTCTCTGCCAACCGCCTACCACCCATGGCTGGTATGACGTGGCATGGTTAATGCAAAGAAACCTCTACTCTCCAGCGGCAGAGCCATGAACTCCCTGGGGCCTTTATTCAATGTTGGCAGTGGACAGTGGGACGGTGCCAGAACACTCCAGGTACATTAACCATGTCAGTGAAATGATGTGGTGGTGGTGCCTAGTGCAGATAGCCACGAATCCACCTTAATATAATGGTTAGATAAGGCCATATTTATCTGAAGGTATTCTGGAGCAAATTGTACATTTAGAGACATTCTATTGGTTTCCATGGTAACTGCTCCTTATTTAACACTCTGACCCAGAACATCACCTGTTTTTGCTTTGACATATACCAACTGTTCTTTTCTGTTATGGTTAGCCAGCAGTAGAAAACGTACTCGACATTAGCCAGACTGCCATAGGTTAGCTGCCACTGCTATATGTAGTTAGCGGTGCCTGAAAGTTGTCATTACTTAAAACATCACATTGCTACTGATTGGTAGAAAAAGCCCTTTGTATTATACATTGCTCCTATTAATTTGCTACACAAGCTTCTGGCAGGGAGATCAGCTCTCGTGAGTTACTCATATCTATTGAGCGTTAAACGTTAACTAAGTCCCATATGATAAATTGACATTATATGCGAGCACCTTTAGATAACACGTTTCCCCTCCTAGGTGTCTTCACTGCCACTTCTAGAACTAAATATTTCACAGGTGTGATATAGACTGCACATTGACCTTATAGAGGTGACAATTGCAGAGCATTATAATTATTATTTATAAAGCGCCAACAAATTCCATAGCGCTGTACAATAGGTTGACTAACAGAGAACAAGATGAGCTGTATTCAAAGGAACAGAGGGTGTTGAGGACCCTGCTCAAATAAGCTTGGATTCTAGAGCAGTAGTTCCCAACCAGTCCATCAAACTGAATGGATGTAAGGTCATTGTAGTAAGCCTCTCTGAAAGCTACTTATTTTGCATGTATTAACCTATTTACTTCTGTGTTCTGTCCAGAATAATTGTAAAGATTTAACATTTAATTGAAATATAAAATTAGGCAAATTATATTTTTGTATTTCACAGATCCTTAATTACTGTATGAAGCCCGTATTATGGTAAAATAATGCCTTTGGACATTAAGGTCCAGTGGTTTGTAAATGTTTCCATAAGCCTGAGGTGGGTTTTTTCATCGTAATACACACTCACACTGTTATGTTTCTTTTATATTAGGTGATATTTTTATCCTAGTGTTAGTGTTAGGACTAGGATGTTAAAGGAGCACTACAATGCTAGGAAAACAAACCTGTTTTCCTGGCACTATAGGGTTATTAGGTGTGTGTCCCTCCCTCGTGGCCCCCCTCCCGCTGGGCTGATGGGGTTAAAACCCCTTCAGCCACTTACCTTAATCCAGTGCTGGGCTCCCTCAGCGCTGGTGACCTCTCCTCCCCTGCTGACGTCAGCTCCAGAGCTGCGTGCACATTCAAACTGCCCATAGGAAAGCATTACTCAGTGCTTTCCTATGGGAATATGAATTCACGCTGCGTGAGTTTGATGCAATTTTCACACTGAGAATCGCGGAAGCGGCCTTTAGTGGCTGTCCGGAAGACAGCCACTAGAGGCTGGATTAACCCTTCAATGTAAACATTTCAGCTGCAGGGTTAAAACTAGGGGACCTGGCACCCTGACCACTTCATTGAGCTGAAGTGGTCTGGGTGCCTATAGTGGTCCTTTAAGTTGGAGGGCTACGGGTAGTGTAGGGAGCAGACTTGTTTAATCCTTTTTGTAACAAATCAAGTTTTGTCCGAAATTTGGCCCAATTTGGAAGTGTCTGAATTTCCACAACCCAAAGCTAATAGATCTATAATGAATCAATTAGCTTCAGATCCATTCAGTTTGATGAGGATTTCAAATTTGTAAGTTATCTACTAAACAGCGGAAAGATCAAAATTAAGTCCCAGGCGTAAACTACTTCAGCTGCTGCCATTCATTTAAGCTCAGGAAGTACAGAAGCCCCACTAATCTCATGCAGACTGGGATTTGTATGCCTTGGTTCTGCTTGAGATAAGGCTCCACAGACTGCACAGTGGTGACCTATGCAGTATAATCCATTAATTACGAGGAATTATTATACTGATGACATCATCATTGATGCAATATGCAGTACAGGATTCTATAAACATAATCTGCTTGTTTACAGGACAGTAAATATTAATTATATTAATTAACTCTGTTTTAATTATTAATTATATTAACCATTAAGTTGTAATAACGTCTGGACATGCATTGCTCAAAGATGCCTGTTAGTACACTTAGATTGACGGATACCATGACTGATCCATACATAGATCCTACAACGGGATGGGAACTGATGACATCATGACCTTATTAGGAAGGGACTTGCAGACAGGGTGTAATGTGACCTTTTATAAGGTTGGATAGGTGACAGAGAGCAAAGGTTCTTGGTGTGTAGAGCAGCTGTGAGACCATCTCCACCCCCCCCCTCTCCCCCCATACCCTTCTCCCAGTAACACACGCACATTTTACAGACATAGAATGACTTCAATCATTCCACTAATTTATAAATGCCCCTTTGCCCAGCACTGTATAATATGTTTGTGTTTTACAGACTAATAAGCCAGTAATCAGATTTATTAGCTAGATTTGTGCGCAATCATAAACAATCCACTTAACAGCGGAGCTTGTATGGTAGATCAAACCAATATATTGCAATTACTTTAAGTTGAGGAAACCTTTAAATAGATTTTGCATCATTAAATAAAGTTAAAATATTGTATCATTCATTAGAAAGCCATAAAGTATTCCTTAATTTAGAAGCTGATATGAAAAGCTTTGCCATCTTACAGAACTAAAACTCCCATGATGCTCTCAAATCTTTTGACTAAGAAAACTTTATGAACGCTGACATTTTGAAAACTCCTGAGGTCTTTCTTCTCTAATATCACCTTAAATTTCCAGTCATCTGTAATAATTTCACCAGGCACAAAATGCAGGGTATCAGAAACATTCTATTAGATTGTGTCTGTTGATTTATGTTGCTAAAACAAAATATGTGCAATATACTTATATTAAAACATTCAAATTGAGTTATGTTTCCCAAAACCAATATAGGCAAATAAAAAGAATGTATTAAACGATAATGTAAATGTGAAATGTAAAAATCTTGATGCAGTCCCTTTAAATGTAGTGCTTTCTAAATTAATCAGAGTGATATCACAGCTGTCTATTAAAGGGACATTGTAGGCACTGTAACTACTTCAGCTCATTAAAATAGTTACTGTTTGTTTTACCAAAATGAGAAGGCCAGCAGCAAAGGCTGCAGGTGTCTGGGATATCCCAGGTAAGTTGTCAAACTTAATTAAAACTGTTTGACTAATTAACATGGGATGGCGGCAGGGAACTACTGGGACTATAACCACTATGCCTCCCCTGGATACAAAATAACAAATAACACTGACGTTTATTCACTAAAATTAGAATATTGGACTGGGAGATGTAAAACCAAACTAGAAAAACTGGAGAAAGTAGCCAATTCAAAAACTTGTTTTCCTGGCACTATAGGGTCATTAGGTCACATTAAAGAAACTGGCCTTAGGGCAACAGAGAGGGTAAATTCAGCCCTGGTACTACAAATATGTTATCGAAAATCTTTTGTGTCTGCAAAACTAGGTGACCATTGCTGTACATGCTGCATGAATGCAGGCATGAGAAATTAAATTAGGTTTTTTGATTCTACTGTTACCGGAACTGGACCTGTTATACATCATTAGTGGAAGAGCTGGGAAGAGCACATGGGGTAACGATGGTGGCTGCTTAGTCTGAATAGCCTATATGATTTATAGTGCGCTGTGCGTGAGGCTGCGGAATTAAATATCACCCTGTGTATATAGGTACACTGAAAAAGAGCAGGTGTAAATGTCAGGACCCTACATTCTGCCCAGAACTGCATTTAGCCTGAGTTCAAATGTTAGCCTTTGGCTAGCAAAGCATGCTGGGAACTCCCTAACCCCTTATTTATCAGACACACATACCCTCTCTGTATAAGAATAGAATCTTGCATTGACCTTTGCTATCTGTATGATTTGCAGGGAGGATTTGTTACAAACATATATTTATATACACAAAATCCAGCACACTCACCTATCCACTAAACAGCAATATATATATACACGTAAAAGAGCTCTTTTCTCAGGACTAATGAAACATATCTTTTACAAGCCTTACAGTTAGGAGGTTTAATAAAAGTTTAGTAATTGGCAAAATGCCTGTGTTCTTCATTGGAGCCTATTTACCAGCTTCAACATTGTGCTTCAAATAACAAGAGTCATTTTTTATCAGAGTGAAATCTCTTCAACTATTAATTGCTTAATATATTGTACCCATACAATCCAATCTAATGTGTAAATTCTTAGCCTATGCACCTGTTATCCCACAATGCTTCACAACACGTCACTGTAATTTAAATGTCCTCATTTAAAATTTAGAGTTTTAAATGCACAGCTTTTAGTCAGTGTTCTAATGCGCATGGTTGTGTCTGTAATAACAGGCACAGAATATGTCCCTCTGCATTAGAACACTTTTTGGGATTATTATCCACATGTACCAGATATTTTAACATTCCCTCATCCTGTTTTTGCACAGACAGGTAAGTGTACTGCAGTGGTTATTAACCTTCTTTCAATAGTTATGTAATTTGCATACACAGAACTGAATTAGGGCTTCCCAGGGCGTGTGTGTGTGTTGACCACTTTACCCTCATTATTCCGATACTTGGAGTCATGAGTAAGTGCCGGGGAACAGCGAGGGTGCCCTTAAAGGAACACTGTAATGTCAGAAATACAAACATATCTTCCTGACACTATAGTTCGTATAGCTTTATTTAGGCCTCAGACACCCCTGTCAGAAGAATAAAAGGTGAGTTTACTCTTCTTTCTTCCAGCTTTGTGTGGGTCTCTTTGTGGCAGCCTCCGCCCTCACTCCACCTCCTTGGCTGGGTTCATCAAACTTGACAATCTCAGCCAATCCAATGATTTCCCATAGGAAAGCATTGGATGACTATTGCACATGCGCAGCAAAACATTGTGCTGCACCAATCAGCATCTCCTCATAGAGATGCACTGAATTAATGCATCTCTATGGGGAATATTCAGGGCTGCAGTATTGTGCAGAAGTGACCCAGGAAGCTCCTCTAGTGGCGGTCTGAGTGACAGCCACTAGAGGTGTTACTAGACAGCAATGTGAACACTGCCTTTTTTTCTAAAAAGGCATTGTTTACATTTAAAAGCCTTCAGGGACAGACAATATACACCAGAACAACTACATTAAGTTGTTCTGGTAACTATAGTGTCCCTTAAAGTGATATTGATAGATACCGCTGTAACGGATCAACGGGCAGACCAACTGTCTCTTCTCCCAGTAACTCTCTTGGCCCCTGGGAGAGAGACCGACTGTCACTTCTCCCAGTAACCCATACTGCTGCTGGGAAGTGAGACCGGCTGTCTCCCCTTCCAATAATGCGCTCTGCCACTGGGGAGTGAAACCGGTGGTCTCTCCTCCCTGTAATGTTCTCTGCCGCTGGGGATCTGGGCCAACTGCCCAGCATCCCTGTAGGGCCGATAGAGAGATCTCGGTCCCATCTCTACCTGCAATATGTGGGTCTCTCCAGGACCAGAATATGAGGTCCCCTACTTCTGCAGCTGGTAGTGAAGCAGGGGGTACTTCGGCCGCATTTTCCCAGCTGTAGGCTGGCAGGTCTGGGTCCGCCACCCAGTTTTCCCGTTCTGCGTCCATGCTCTGCAGCTGACACAAGTTTAGTAGCTCCACATAGTCCATCTCCAGCTCTCGTTCCATGGCAGCGAAACGGCGGAGGTCTTCTCCCAGTCCAATAGATCTCGGGCCCTGTAACATCTCTCCCCAGTAATGCAAGATAGCCCAGTACCGTGACTCTGCTGGACTGCCGAAGTTGACGTCTTCCGCTAAGGCCTACCACAACAGGCCAGGGCTAGTGTAGTTCTCCCCCTCCGGCTGGATGCCCTCTGCCCTCCACGTCTCTGGCTGGACGGTGCACCACCACAGTGCCCGGTATGAGGCGTCCAGGCTCAGTTCCCTTTCCACAAGCTACTCAAGTTGTCTTACCCGCTCCCCTCCGTGTTGGTCTCCCAGAAGCGGCATCCGCCAGGCCATTTGTTTCTCCAACTGGTATGCGACACCAGGAAGGCGCTGCTGCCGTTGATACTGGACTTCCTCCAGGGCATCGTACCATAATTCTTTCCGGGCAATATCTTTCCATTCCAATTCACTCTCTTACTCAGGTGTGTGTGCTGCCCAGGGGTCCACGAACCCCATTTTCCCAAATTTTTCTGTAGACAGGGATGCTGTATAAACACTAGCGCCGCCCTCAATTTGTAAATCCACGAACGGTGTCTCAGAGTTGCTTTACCTCGCACTAGGACGCCATCCCACTGCTGCCACCAATGTAATGGATCGACGGGCAACCCGACTGGCTACCTCCATTGAAGGATGCTCCTAGCGCTTCCTGAGGGCTCCAAGCACTCCAGCTGATACCATAACCACCGCTGACTCCTCCAGAGAGCAAGACAGGAACAAGCTCTTACAAGAGCTTAGTAGTGATATAGCAAGGGAGGATGACTAACATAGCAATCCCTTGTAGCAGATTCCCTCAATAAGAGACAGCACTCAGACAATTATGGATTACCCAATCACACACTGGTTACATCCCACACATCTCCTCCCCTTAGCCTGAGAGGTAACACAATTAGCCATACAGTTTAAAACATACTTTTTACCCAACTTTCATAACTCTAAAACTATACATCCAATATTAATAAACACTATTTAAGTCACATATTATTATTCAGCACATTTCAAATACAAACACACCCAAAAATCATTTGAATCCGTTCAGCCGTTCGGGAGATAGATATAAGTCACTTTTGACCGACCGGTCAATTTCACACAGAAAAATGTCTAAGTCTCATTCGAATGCACGAACGGGGCCATTCGTGTAAATAGCCCTGTCTAACAGTGCGTTTGAATTGTCGAATGCACTTCGATTCCAGCTGAAGCTTCGAAGTTCAGGAAAAGGTAAGGGTCAGCGATGTTTGTGCAAATGTGTAGCCGATTTTAGTTCCATAGATTCAGTGGCACGCACCGCTGACCGCGTTCGACTAAATTAAAATGGCCGCCGCCACGTGTTCGGTTTTCAAATGGCGGCCACTTTGACTACTTCGGCACTTCGACATCCCAGGGGCCATAGTCACATGGCAGGAGGCTGGCAATCAGTCTTCTCCAATGCTCAGTGGGGAGGTCGGTTTCGCCACAACCACAATACTCCATCTTTTAAAATCTCTGTTGGCTTAAGGAGGGCCTACTCAGAGCTGGAGCTCCAGGTCCAGACAGTGGCCTAACAGCTTTCGTTGCCTTATAGGTAAACTGGCTCTGTACCACTGGCAGATCCAGAAGGGGGGAGCAATGGGGCAATTGCTCCCCCCCCCCCCCGAAAACAACAGTGCCTTGCTCTCCCCTGCCAGTCCTGCTGGGTTCCTTCAAGGATCGGAGGGGAGATCAGTGATCTCCCTCACCGGTCCGCAGGCACTTTGCCGACAGCTAGCAGGGGAAGGAGAGATGACCCTTGATCTCCGCCTGCAGCTCTTCTGGGTCCTCCTCTCGCGAGAACAGAGTGTTGCCGTGGTTACTATGGCAACATCTCGGTTCTCGCGAGAGTGAACTCTAGCCTCAGGAGCTGCAGGCTAGAGTTCACTCTTACCACTAAGGATTCTCCACCGGACCACCAGGGATTGCAGGGAATATCCCCCCACCCTCAGCAAAGGTAAGAAGGGAGGGGGGGGGATATAAAAAATATTTTAATAAACAAAAATGTATATATTTATCTGCCCCCTATCCCCCAATAACTCCCCACACACAAACTGCCCCCCCAATACACACACACACACACACTGCTCCCCAATATATATACACACACACACTGCCCCCCAATACACACACACACTGCTCCCCAATATATATACACACACAAACTACCCCCAATACACACACACTGCTTCCCAATATATATATATATATATATATATATATATATATATACACACACACACACACTGCACCCCTCACACACACTGCACCCCTCACACACAATGCACCAATACACACACACTGCCCCAATACACACACACACACTGCTTCGCAATATATAAACACACACACACTGCTTCCCAATATATAAACACACACACTGCCCCAATACACACACAATGCCCCCCAATACACACACACTGTCCCCAATACACACACACACTACACCCCTCCTGCCCCCATACACATACTGCACCCCTCACACACACAATGCACTCATATACTCACACACACACATACACACTACTGCCACTATTCCCTACTTACTATTCCCTACTACTGTCCCTATTCCCTAAGGGCACCATGGCACTTCTGGCACCATGACCACTACAGAGAGCTGTAGTGGTTGTTGTGCCTGGATTGTTTCTTTAAATAATCTACACTGCCCCTCCCGAGATTAGGTTCTGGATCCGCCCCTGCTCTGTACGTAGATGGATTTAGCTCCAAGATGCATTATTCCATTGCAAAGTTAGCTCAGTGACCAATTCTTTAAGTATAAGGCCAATGTAATTAGCCTGTATTTGTGGATGGGACCAGGGACTGCTTTACAGAGCACAACAGTAATGTGATCCTCACCCCCCAACTCCGTCCCTGCAACTGTCCTATCAATTAATTAAACTGGTTTGCCCTTTTCAGGTCTACATTAAATTACGGTTCTGGCACTCCCCCTCCCCTACCCCCCACACCTTATTTCATAAGCTTTACTTTTTAGGTCAGGCTCACAACAAAATAGTATGTGTGACAATAAATTTTGTTAAACACCAACAATACTCTTTTCCCAAATGTAGTAGTGTTTCCATTCCATTGTACTAGGCAATACAATGCCATTACACTAAACATTTTATCTTGAGCGGTTGCCTGTGACCTGATGAATGATCCCTTGTTTCAGCCAATTAGGAGAAACAGAAATGCGTTGGAAAAGGCATTTCAGACCGAGATCCAGAGTGTTAAGAACCAATAGTATAGTGCTTCGTTACAGAGTGTGATGCTCTAGAGGAAAGAGATAATTGTTATGTTCCTTATTGCTTTGGAGGTGAATGGTATAGTATTCCACTAACCTTCTCGTGGATATCAAGAGGACTAAGATTCTGGAGAGATATTTCAGTAGAAACCGAGAATGGCAACTCTGATGTCAGAGTTTTCAGAAATTCGGTTTACGCTTTCATCTCATTAAATATAGATAGAAAGTGCATTACGGACTGATCGTATTGTCAACAGGAGCTCATAGCAATGAAAGTCAGCCAGAGAAAACACACGAAGACTGCAAGGTAGGATCTGTGACTTTACTGAGCTTTATAGTTCAATGGAATCTTAACACTGAGGGTACAGAGGGGAACTGAACTTTACTGTAGACAACGACCCAATCTAGATCTATCGTTTAAAGCGTTATAAATTAACTTTCAGTTATAGAGGGTTTTAATTTATATAGAGGAGGGTAAGTGGGATATTGGCTGAAGATGTCAGTATGGTAAGTATAAGTATATATTAGTATAAGAAAGTATATTTTTATTGTAGAAGTTGTATATGTATGGAAGGTGGTAGAGTCCATTAAAGTTTGGGATAGACACATTCCTGTCCTGAGCAGCAAGCAAAGCAAAAGGAAATTAGGATGGAGCTGATCCATTCTTTTTTTCAATCCATCATATATGGTGCTTTACAAATCAGCCATAAAAAAAGTTAAATTGGAAGTTCCTGCATTTGATGCAAAATCTCAAATATTAGCAGCTTCTGCAGTGAGCTTTAACTGTACCAGGAAGTAGTTCAAAATAAAGAAGAAATTCCAGGCAGGAGCTTATAGTCTTTTTTTAATCCCCTATACATGATGCATCATAAACCTATGCAGGGGAAAAAACACGTTAAAATAAATTTATATTTGATGCAAAATCTCAATTATTTGCAGCTTCTGCAGGGAAGATTTGCCAAACCAGGAAGTATCTCAGCTAGTTTTGATGCTCATCAACTTTTCTATAACATATCCCATTTGCAGAGCTTCTAGTACTGGGAGCCTTTAAGATCCTGTATAAATATTAGACATGTGCATTCGTTTTCGTACAAATACGATTTCATTCGAAAATTTGTGTTTTTTCGTATTCATTTACTAAAACGTAAATGAAAGCCCTACATATGAAAAATAAACTAAATGAAAGGGCAAATGCCGAATGCATTACCTTTTTGTTGCGTTTATTTAATAGATTCTGTGCTGCAGGGGAATTAACCCCCACAGCACAGAGAAAATAACACTGCGCATGCGCAGGGAAAAAAGCAAGGAGGGAGCCGGCAGCACTACCAGCTCCCTCCGTGTAATAAATATTAATTCCAACCCCCCACCCCGCATTAAAACCTATGGGGCTCACTATGACCCCATATTGATAAAAGGGAGGTTAAATCCTCCCAGATTAACCTACTCGCTGTTTAGGCAATATGCCCCTAATACATGGGGGGACCTGGCACAGATAGAGGCATGCGGGAGGATTTAACCTCTGCTAGGTCCACCCTTATTGCTCTAGCGACTGGGCAGCAATAGCTGCCCAGTCACTAGTAGTTTTAAATTTGCTTAAGCGACATGCCTCAACTCGCAGCATGCCTTGAGTAGGGGCATGCGGGAGGATTTAACTTTCCTTTTATTAATATGGGGGTAATAGTGACCCCCATAGGTTTTAATGCAGGGGGGGCAGGAATGGTTTCTATTACTAGGAGGATGCTGGTAGCGCTGCCGGCTCCCTCCTTGCTTTTCTTTTTTTTTTTCGCATACGCAGTGCTGTTTTCATCCTAATGGCCGAAAAAATAATTATTTTTTAACGAATTTCGTTCATAAAACAAATGGTTTACGGACGAAATTCAGGATTGACGAATGAAACTTTGATTTAGTACGAAATCATTTGCACGAAAGGAAAATTTCACTAGTGCAGATGTCTAATAAATATAGAATATGACACCCTTTAAAGGGACACTCCAGGCACCCAGACCACTTCTGCCCATTGGAGTGGTCTGGGTGCCAACTCCCACTACCCTTAACCCTGCAACTGTAAATATTACAGTTTTCATAAACTGCAATATATACCTTGCGGGGTTAACGCCTCCTCTAGTGGCTGTCTACTAGACAGGTACTAGAGGGCACTTCCTGGTCTATAGCACAGGTTTTCTGTGCTATAGCGTCGCTGGACATCCTCACCCTATGTGAGGACCTCCAGTGTCGCTAAAATCCCCATAGGAAAGCATTGAAAGCATTTTTCAATGTTTTCCTATGGAGAGGTCTAATGCGCGTGCGCGGCATTGCCGCGCATGCACAATCGGCTCCCGCGCCGGCTGACGTCGTTTGAAGTAAATTTAAAATTTGAGGCCAGAGTAATCACACTGGCTTAGAGAATGTTTCCAGATCAGCTAGTTTTCCCTTGAATTGAAACGGACTTCAAATTCACAATGAACTCTCACTTTAGTGAAAACACAGATAATTCTGCCTCCCTGCACTGTGGAGACAAAGAATTAATTCACTAAACACTGAATCGTTTTGGAACTTGATTTCAAAATTTAGGGTAAAAAAGCTGATTTGGAAAAAATCTGCACCTATAATCAAATTCTGGCTATAATAGCAGTCGTTTTGCAAATAGGTTTTAATTTACTACATTTCGGTGTTTAGTGTATTATTCTTGATGTGTGTAAGGTAAATACGGGACATTGTACAGTGATATTTGTCAAGGGCAATAGAATCCAGCTGGTAGCAAAATGACAGTTATTATTATAGGATTATAAAATTAGTTCTAAATTGAAGAAAAACCCGGGACTAACTGGCGCCCTGTGTGAAAACAGAAAATGCACCCACTGTCAGACAAAATCTAAATACTGCTGTTCTACAGATTAATTTATTGTTAATTAGATTGCTGACATTGTAAGTGCACACTAATCATTCGTTTTGTGTACATTCTAATTAGATAATGCTTCCTAAGGGGTGCGTAATGCCTTAATAGAAATGGCTTTTACATGAAATAGCAAAATTAAACGTGTTCTGATAGATACGTGGAAGTCGTTAGGCTAAGCTGTTTCTGTACTATGCTGCACTTAGAAGCTTTGCAGTTTAGAGGAAACAGGTAGTGATAACTGTATGGACAAATAGGCGGAAATTTCTGATTTATTTGTACTAAAAGATTATATGTGCTTTTCTTGGCTTCTTGGCTTTTTTAGAAAATGCTTAGATGAAACTTAAAGGTACACTATAGTTACCAAAACAATGTTAGCTGAATGAAACAGTTATGGTATATAGATTGTACCTCTGTAGTCTGCTCAATTCTCTGCTATTTAGGAATTAATTAACTTTGTTTATACAGCCCTAGTCACACCTCACTGTGACTTGCACAGCCTTCCTAAACACTTCCTGTAAAGTGAGATCTAATGTTTAAACGTCCTTTATTGCATACTCTGTTTAATGTAGAATGTATTATCTCCTGTTCTGTCAATAACCTTTTAGACCATACAGTACCCTCCTGTGTGTGACTCCGTTTTAATTTACAGAACAGGTAAAAACTACTAAAGCAAGTTAACATCTGATTGAAAATTGAACCTTTTTTACTGCAGGCTGTGAAAGTCACATTCAGGGGAGATGTGGCTAGGGTTGCATAAATAGATCTAACTCCTAAATAGCAGATAATAGAACAGTGAGACTTCGGGGGAATGATCTATACACCCAAACTACTTCATTAAGCTAAAGTTGTTTTAATGCCTGTAGAATTGCAACCCATGTTTGCTATAAAATGCAGGGGAAAGCAAACTAATGTAGCACTTTTCATTGAAAGAATATCTCTCTTGTTGAGAAGTATGACCCTGGTATACAGAAATTGGAGTGGGACAGAGAGTAGGCACACCAACCTCTCCTAATGTCCGACCTGACAAGCGGGGAAGATCTGATATGTAAATATGGTTACTATCTCTCTGTTGGAGCGAGAAATGGTGGGAAAGAGGAAAGGCTTTACGTGGCTAGTAATAGATCGAAATTCCACTTTTTGTGAAATGATTTGGGGGGTATTTGTACCAGCAAATCGTTTATCTTGTTTATCTTACCAGAGATAGTTCTGTTGATGTAATTTGAAGTGTTACTTGTGCTGTCATTCCTTAACATTGTATGAAGACTGAGTGCCATGCCTTTATGGCTTATGTGAAAGAGTAGCTCAAAGCCATCTGTGAAATATATCATAGATACGACGGGGTTAAGAATTCCTCTGGCTCCATCCCATCCTGCGTCATGCTGCATCTGGTTACCCGCCTCCCGTTACTGTATCTCTCTCCTTCCCTTTGCTGTTTATCACCTGAACAATTTGGCAGAGGTTGTCATGGTGACTGCTGCTTAAGTACCATCTATAGACTGTTCTCTCTCACCTGTCGGTGACGAGGTGCCCTGTGTGAGGTGAACATGTGTCCTGCCCACTGACATTCACTGTGGTCATTTGGCATCCTTCTGTATGTATTAGCGTATTTTTATACCTTATATTCTGCAATTACATACATTCCTGCCTGTTTATTTACATATTTATTAATTAAGGTATAAGTGAAAGCCTTTCTGTTCACAAGTAACTCGTCTGTCTATCGGTCTGTCTGTTTGTCCGTCTGTTTGTCTATCGGTCTGTCTGTTTGTCTGTATAATTTAGCCATCTATGTTTATTCCTGTGGATGTTGTTAACTTATGTATTTAAGTGATGCAAAGTCCTTCCTTTGTATCTATACATTTCTGTGTACGCATCTGTGTTTGTGTCCGTTGTTGTTTCTGTCTGAGTATTTGCCCCTTCTTTGTAAAATCAAAAATCTGTGCTAATAGGACCATTATAAAAGTACCCTTGTATGTTAATGTAAAAATTCCCTTTGGGATTTGTCATAATTTTTCCAAATTTAGGCCCAAATAGTGGATGTGGAAAAATCCTCCAACTATTTTATCCAGAAATGTGCATGTCAGCGTTTACTACAATTTTAAGAATTTTGTCTCATACACTTTTATATTGAGTAGCAGTGTGAATGTAGAATTTCATCAGTAGATTGTTGTGTGCCAGATCTTGTCCTGGTGTACAATATATAAAGCACACATTGTATTAAGTGATTAGAAATTATTTTTCCTGGAGAATTTAGTGGATAAACTCCGCGGGGGCAGGAGTATACTGTCATCGCATTCAGTAGGGTCATAGTATTTTTACTGTCACATGAACATGATGTGTATAATGGTCACTAGTAATTCTTCTCCTCAGTGCTGTGTAAAGAGGCAGGGCTTATAGAAATGAATGTTTGATAGCGATCGATTTTACCGCAGTCGCTGGTTTTATTTGATACAGAAGGTTATGACAGTTACTTGGGGAGTCCAGGATTAAAGCCCTCTCTGCCACATTGGTAAGATATGTCAGGAAGTACAATGCTTTAATGGATGCTTCAAAATGTAAGTGGGTGCTTTCCGATCTCGTTACTCAATTTAGGTCTTATTTCCAGTTATGAACAGGATTCCCCTAGCAGATTAAAGATTTCCTCTGTTTACTGAATAGCAATTGCTCCATTGAAGTTTATGGGAAAGTTGCTATTCGATAAGCAGAGTAAAACATTAATCTTGTAAAGGAATACAGCACTTTATCGATAAGTTTTAATCATTAAACTGGGTATCATTAACTTTAGCAATTATGGGCTGTTTCCATATTACAATATGGCCCTGTCCTTGTAACCCTGCAATGTAAGAAATTGCAGTTTGTTTAAAAAAATTTGATATTTACATTACAGAGTTAAACACACTTCTAGTGGCTGTCATATTGACTAGAGACGCTTCTGCTGCACCGAGAGCAAAACTCGATCACATGATACGGAAGTCCACACGAAAGCATCGATTCAGTGCTGTTCTATGGAGAAGCTTGGATGCACATGCAGTACTCACTGCCCAAGTGCATTAGGTTGCTTTAAGTTTAAAACTAATGGGGACTCACTGCAATTTTCTTCAAATTTGCCAACTGAATTTACAGTGACTGACTATGAAAAGTAAACACTCTGCATAAGGAATCATAGGAAAAGTAACCAACTGGCTTTAAATGCCTTACATTGCCTTTTCTCTAGTTATTTGTGACATCCTGACGAAACCTTAAAGGACCACTATAGTGCCAGGAAAACATGCTTGTTTTCCTGGCACTATAGTTCCCTGAGGGTGCCCCCACCCTCAGGGTCCCCCTCCCGCCCAGCTCTGGAAGGGGGAAAGGGGTAAAAATGTACCTTTTTCCAGCGCTGGGCGGGGAGCTCTCCTCCTCTTCTTCTCCCCGTCGGCTGAATGCGCACGCGCGGCAAGAGCTGCGCGCGCATTCAGCCGGTCACATAGGAAAGCATTATCAATGCTTTCCTATGGACGTTTGCGTGCTTTCACTGTGATTTTCACAGTGAGAAGCACGCAAGCGCCTCTAGCGGCTGTCAATGAGACAGCCGCTAGAGGGAATGGGGGAAGGCTTAACCCATTGATAAACATAGCAGTTTCTCTGAAACTGCTATGTTTATGAAAAAATGGGTTAACCCTAGCTGGACCAGGCACCCAGACCACTTCATTAAGCTGAAGTGGTCTGGGTGCCTAGAGTGGTCCTTTAATTTGCTTTAATTGGAAATTGCCAAAAACTTTATTAGGTAATGGTTTCTAGTAATCACTCATTTGTAATGCTGGTTTCAAAAATGCCCTAATCTCAAAAAGAGATAGTTCATCATTAATATTCACAAAAGTTACAGTCAGCAAGGATTGTAGTAAATATTCAGATAATTGCCAAGTTTCTTTCAGCAGGCCTTCATGATGAGTGTGTGTGGGAAAGAAACAATTTAGCATTATAAATAAAAATCTGTATTCCAATACTGGAAAACATAATACCTATTACCCAACTGCACCTTTGTTAATATGCATTGTTCTATCGTACTTGTGAAACTATGTCTGCTTCAATAAAGCTTCGTTAACATAAAAATCTGTATTTCTAACGCTATAGTGTGCCATTTAAATTAATTAAATCACTTTTTCCAGGGCCAAGGCTCTTCTGTGATGGTCCAATCCAATACTCCTCATAGAGGAGCATTGGGTACCTGATGTGCATGTCCAGCGAATGCCATAGCACATCCAAGCGTCTCCATAAGAAAACATTGCTTTCCTATTGGCTTCCATGTCACGTGACCCAGTTTTATTTAGGAAGACAGCTACTAGAGGTGGATTTAACCCTGTAATGTTATTGTAGTTTCTAAAATCTGCAATGTTTTACATTGTAGGATAAAAGAAAAGGACCACTGCACCCAGAGTTTCATTGAAATAAGGTGGTCTGGGTGATTTTTGTGTCCCATTAAAGATGAACTCTCACTTTCTGGGATTTATAGTAGTATGTATATTTATCCCGTGTAGTTAAGAAATATGGGTTTATGAGCACTGAAAATGAAAAATAAATATATACATTCACACCTCTGTATTTATATCTATCCTGCAACTAAGTGCTTCATCTCAGCTCCTTATTATTATTATTATTTTAATAGTGCCAGCAAAATCCATTGCGCTGTACAATGAGTATTAATCATTGTAGTAAGCCCTGTCACACCTTTTGCATCCTTCAGTCACGATTTGCATCAAATATCTTCAGAGATATGGAGATAATCAATGGCCAGGACGGAGCCATTTAAGTGGAGGGGGAGAAGAATACAGAAAAATGTTTGTATTTCTCCTCCTCGTTTGTAATATGTGCCTTGACTGTGCCAGGACTGAACGGGATTGTGATTAAAATTGCTAAATCTTTAATATACATTAAAAAGAAAACTGAGCATCGCATGAAGTAACAATTAATACCAGTTACAGGTGAGTTTCAGACACTAAATGGAGTTATTTATAGAGATGTGCTTGTTCTACTTTAGTCAGTTAGATTCCGGTGATTTATCATTTGTATATGGATGGAGAGGCACATAGATCACGCAGTTTAAAACCAGAATGATTATTCTCCTGATCATGATTGATTCGTTCTGACCATATCTTTTTCTGTCTGCAGCCAGAGACTGTATTCTCCCCAGAACCAACAGAAATGGCAGGTAAGACTGTAGACCCGGGCACTGCTTCGTTTGTATGGCTGCTTCTAGTGCAAATGAGGTCAAAAGCTGTTCTCCATCCAAATTAAATGTGAAGAGGAGTAACGTTGTAGCCCAAGGTGAAGAATCATATATTTGGAGAAAAATATTTGGTTCTTTCAACTTTAGAAACTTTTTTCTTATTTTGCATAAAGATTGGCAATGTTGGGCCTTGGATGTTTTTTGTGGGTTTTTTTTGAAGGAAAAATGTTAATTTTACTGCAGCTTTTCTTTTTGAACAGAATGCAGTTGAAGGCATTGAAGAGCTCGGAATGTCCTGGCATTTTATAAATAGAGTATTTTAACAGCTGTGATAGAAACACCATTCAGCAAATAATTCTAATTCTGAAAGTTCCTATTGGTCGGAAAATATCTGTCATTTTCCTTTAGCCAACAGGAGGCAGAGCAAATTTTAGTCAAAAAAAGTCTATCTGGATAAATAGCTAAATTTTATAATGTTCTCAGTTCAGAATGTGAGACATAGATTTTGCAGTTACCTTGTCAATACTTCACAATTCCCTGTTTAGTACATAAACCCCACAGGGTTCAAAGGAATGCTCCGTGTACCATAACTACAACAACCAGCGGTAGTGGTTATGATGCCATAACTGCCCTGCTGCTGTCTCACTGTAACCTGTCACATAGTTTTATCATGGTTTGACACTCACCTGGGGCTGCTTTCAGTCTTCTCAAGCTGTAGAAGCTGGAGGTCAATATGCTAAATAAGAACTCATTCATTGTTTCATTGTTTGAGAGGGCTCATCAGACGCTCTCAGTTCCTATTTATCCAACTTCCACATCTCAACATGAGTTGTTGACAGGTAGCATACAAAAGTTCAGGATTACCAAAAAGGTGACCAAGCGGCCGTGTAGGCGCTGAACGAGCCGCATTCAAGCTGGCAGAGAGATCAAAAGATCTCCCTGCACAGCCCTTTAAAAATGTTTCTCTTGTGGTCCATGGTCTAATTGCGGCCCCTCATGGATCCAGTGCTCACAGAGGGCCACGCTAACCCTGTAACACTCACCCACCCTTCCAACTCACCCTCCCTAACCCTGTCACGCCTACCTCCCCAAATCCTGTTACTCTCATGCTCATCACGCTATCACACTCACCTCTCTTCACCTTGTCACACTCACCCCGGAGATTGTCATCGTCATACAGTTACCTCCCACACAAGAAACACAGCCTCACCACAAGCAGACTCAATTCCACACAACAAAATGCAAGTAACCACCCCACACATCTACTCTGCGAGACACACATTCACACACAAGGATGTTCACACACATACACAAGTACACAATGCCAAAGACAGTCCGTCAGAACTGCACACACACTCTAAAGCGCAAACATGTACACAATGCCAGAGACACAGACACACTCAGTCAGAAATGCATAAACACACACTCTCAGGCACAGGGCTGGCGCGTCCACAAGGTAGCACAGGCTTAGGGCGCGCTGGCCAGGGGGGCGCCAGATTAGAGCGACCGGAAAGAGGGAAGCGCACAATGCTTCCTCCTACCTTTCACTCAGTGTAGCGTGGTCGAGTGGAGCAGGCCGCGGTACAGGAGCTTCTGTTTCCTGTACCCGGCTGGACTGACAGGAAGTGCTCACTGAGAGCGTGCATCCCGTCAGTCTGGCCGGGTACAGGAATCAGTAGCTCATGTATCGCGGTCCCCCCCACCCGGCCATGCTACAACAAATGATGAATCACACTCCTAGAGATACCTAAAAGAAAATAACATACAACACAATATAGTATAATATTGTCAGCAGATGAATATCCAAGTGAATATAGTAGAAATCAGGTACTCACAAACCGAGAGCCAGACATATACATGTGGCTCTCATGGGAACAGCACTGGGACCATTAATTAGGATGTCCCTTTCCTTCTTGAGAACTTCTGGTGGCGAATGCAATGAAAGAAAAATCACTGTAAACACTTACTACTAAAGTAAAGTGTTTATTAATCCAAAGGATGAAACAGGGCTTGGAGAAAAAAGAAGTTAACTCCAATAAAATACATAAAAATAACAATATAATAAAAAGAGTCCAATACTGGAGTCTCTGCAAATCCGAAACGTGTTTTGCCCCGTACCGTACCTCAGTCGGTAATACTTGTCTTCTTCCTTGGCTTCCTTTTATGTGTATGGGATGTCTTCCGTCTGTGGAACGCATATTCCGAGGTGGAACGCACTTCCGGCACTATCGCGCGTCATTTCCGGGTTGTGACGTCTTGGTGGGGACGCTGGCCTAACTTCCGACATAATGGCGTCTGAAACACGCTGACGTGACATCAGTCCGGTTGGAACGCACGACGCGTGACGTGTGCGTTCCACCTCGGGGCATGTAAAAGAAGAAAGTCTCCATATGCATATAAACATCATAATTAAAGTGCACTGTAACCACATATTTGATAAAAAAAAGTGCATAAGTAACGGTAATATAACAGTGCTTTTGCGTGACCACTAATAATCAATAAAAAAGTGCTATGTGCTATATTCTTAAAGTGCTATTATTTGTGCCCATATAGTATCACATTTTTTTAAAGAGAGAGTGCTTCTATGAAATTCAGCATTATTCAATATTGGCTTGCTTCTATTTCTCAAAGAAAAGACAATTTGATAATAATTGAAGAACACTAGTGTAAAAGAAATAAATGAAAAATAAAACTATTTATTTGGTCGGAATTCTGACTCTGTCAAGGCTTAGCTTTAGAAAAGAAATTACTTTTCTTCATTAATTTCTAAAAAATACTTCTAAAAAATACATATCTATAAAATCTTAAAAGTCTCAAATGAACCACTCTTCATCAATAAAAATCCTAAAAAAAAATGACATGTTTCAAAGTCAGAATTTAGACCATATGGAATAAGTGTATTAAAATTAAATATAAATTTCATTTCTTCCAACCCTTTTTTTTTTAATAAAATCTCCTCCTCTCCAGTCGTGTTTAACTAACTATTTTAAGAGGACAAAAAAACAAATTGTCCGGATTTTAAACGTGATGAGTTTTAAAGTGGTTGGAGATGCTATGGGTTTCCAAACCTTTTTTTATATTGCGTATATGTTCAGAGATTCTGATGTGGAGGCATCTGATGGTCCTACCAACGTAGAATAAATTACAAGGGCATTTTAATATATAAATAACACCTTTTGAGAAGCAAGTTAATTTGTCTCTAAAAGAAAAATCCTTATTAATGAATTCTCAAAGGTTAGTCAGGTGTCTTTTCTTACTATTAGTGGATTTACATGCCTGACAACTGCCACAACCATAATAGCCGTTTTCAAGATTAAATAAATTATTTATTTTTGTTGGACTTTCACTACTTTTCACAAGAATTTTTTTCAGATTTTTTGCCCCTCTATATATAATTTGGGATCGAGTCGGAAGAATATTTCTTAAGACTGGATCGTTCTGTAATACGTGCCAGTACTTTTTTATAATTTTATTGATTTTTTTACTGTTCCCGTTATAGTTACATCTTAACGGTACTTTATTATCTGGTTTTAGTAAGGTTTTTTTAGATCATTCCAACCGGACTGATGTCACGTCAGCGTGTTTCGGACGCCATTACGCCGGAAGTTAGGCCAGCGTCCCCACCAAGACGTCACAACCCGGAAATGAGGCGCGATAGTGCCGGAAGTGCGTTCCACCTCGGAATATGCGTTCCACAGACGGAAGACATCCCATACACATAAAAGGACGCCAAGGAAGAAGACAAGTATTACCGACTGAGGAAGCCCCTGGTACGGGGCGAAACGCGTTTCGGATTTGCAAGCCCTGTTTCATCCTTTGGATTAATAAACACTTTACTTTAGTAGTAAGTGTTTACAGTGATTTTTCTTTCATTGCATTCGCCACCAGAAGTTCTCAAGAAGGAAAGGGACATCCTAATTAATGGTCCCAGTGCTGTTCCCATGAGAGCCACATGTATATGTCTGGCTCTCAGTTTGTGAGTACCTGATTTCTACTATATTCACTTGGATATTCATCTACCGACAATATTACACTATATTGTGTTCTATGTTATTTTCTTTTAGGTATCTCTAGGAGTGTGATTCACCTATTGTAGGTATTTTTCTTGTGTTTATATTTGAGTGGTGTAAGGGGTTTTCCACTCAGGTGACAGATCACACTTATATTGTCTTCACTGTATATACTGTACCCCATTCATTACATGCTACAACAAAGGTAATGAGGAATGCGAGGGAGAGAGGAACACTAAGGGGCGGGAGGACACTAACAGACGGGAGGGAAGGGAAAAGGAACACTAAAGGGGAGGAGGTGGACCACTAAAAGAGAGGGGGTAGATGGAACCTGAAGGGAGGGGAGAGGAACACTAAGGGACAGGGTGGGGGGAGAACACTAAGGGACAGGGAAGGGAGGGAGAGAAACACTAAGGGACATGGAGGGAGGGAGGAGGAGGGAGAGGAATACTAAGGGACATGGAGGGAGGGAGAGGAACACTAAGGGACATGGAGGGGAGGGGAGTGGAGCACTAAGGGACAGAAGAGTACCACTAAGGGGGTGGTGGAGAAACACTAAGGAGGAGGGGAGTTGAAACCTAAAGGGACAGGGAAGGGAGGGGAGAGGAACACTAAGGGACATGGAGGGGAAGGAAGAGGAACACTAATGAACAGGGAAGAGGACCACTAAGGGATGAGTGGGGGGAGGAACACTAAAGAACAGGGGAGGGAGGGGAAATGAACACTAAGGGACAAGGGAGGGGAGATGAAAACTAAGAGACAAGGGAGAGAGAGGAACCATAAGGGACATGGAGGGGAGGGGAGAGGAACACCAAGGGACAGGAAAGGGAGGGGAGAGGAACACTATGGGACATGGAGGGGAGGGGAGTAGAACACTAAGGGACAGAAGAGTACCACTAAGGGGGTGGAGGAGAAACACCAAGGAGAAGGGGAGATGAAACCTGAAGGGAAGGGAGAGGAACATTAAGGGACAGGGAAGAGGATCACTAAGGGATGGGTGGGGGGAGGAACACTAAAGAACAGGGGAGGGAGGGGAAATGAACACTAAGGGACAAGGGAGAGAGAGGAACCATAACGGACATGGAGGGGAGGGGAGAGGAACACTAAGTGACATGGAGGGGAAGGGAGAGGAACACTAAGGGACAGGAAGACTAGGGGAGAAGAACACAAAGGGACAGGGAGGGGATATATTTAGGGGAGAGGAGAGTGGGACACTGGGGGGCTGAGTGGGGAGAAAGAAACACAGATGTACATGAGGGGGTAGAAAGACACACAGAAGGGCCTGGGGGTGTAAAAACAAAGGGGCTGGGAGTGAAAGAAACACTGAGGGGCTGGGGGGAGACAGATGGGCTGGGGGTGAAAGAGAAGCACACAAAAGAGCTGGGAAGAGTAAAAGACACAAAGGGGCTGGGAGAAGAGGATACACATAAAGGGACTGGGGGGAGTAAGAAACACAAAGGAGGGTTGGAAGAGATGCCCTATTTTTCCCCATTGTGTGTCTTACACCTCCCTTGTGTATAAGATACGCTAAAGGGGGTAAGACATTTAAAGAAGGGGATAATACACAAAAGGGGGGTTAAGAGGCACATGGGTAAAGATGCTTTTTTTTAGGGGTGGGGGGAGGGTGGGGGGCACCAAAATCATCTTCGCCTGTGTACCCAAAAATCCTTGCACCGGCCCTGCTCAGGCACATACAGATACACAATGCTAGGCACACAAACACACTCAGCCCCCCAATACAACTATGAGCCTTCTTCATGCACACTGACACCAGTCAAAGAAACAGAGCCCAGGGCTCTTGGAGGGGGCCACAATCTGACATCACTGTCTAGCGCCCTATTCAACATTAAACCGGCTCTGGCTGTCCAGCTTTTGTATTATATTTCCCATTATACTTTGCCAGTGTTTTTGAGCTATAGTCCCTCTGCAGCTATATGGTACCCGATGGTATCCCTTAGTGCGAAGTATCACCAGACAAATAAAATTCTGAAAAATCACTTTCCATCTGCATCCTTCTAGGAACAAAAACCTCAATACTAGCTTACACTATCACTGGCTTTGCACCCTGTGATTTACATTTAGTGTTTAGTTTGTTTTAAACAGGCTTGCAGCGTGGAATTGCAGCCTCCAGACGAAGGGCACAGTCAGCTTGAACACCTAGAGGCGGCCCTACCATTCCACAGCCCTGCTTAATGCAAACAAGTCAAACTTAATTTAACAAGGGTGCCCAAAGCAAACATGGGTCCATTCATTAACATCGAAATGCAGTGAGCTGAACACTACAGAGCAAAATTAAGGCTAACAAACCCCCCACCAACCTGTTACTAAAGGCAATCTGAAGGATTTTTCCAAATAAACTATTTAAGCCTGTATTTTCTAACTCCGTTTTCTGTTCTCTACCATTTAGTGTTAAATCCCTCAGTGCATTTTGAGAATTTATTTTAAGAGTTAGCTCAAGTAACAGCAGAGAGACCGCATCTCCTCCCTAAAACCAAGCAAGCCCTATTTATAGATAAGCTTTGGTTAAATAGAACCGTATGCAGCAAATTGGCTCATCTCCACTCTGCAGCTCCTGACATATGATTCCTTTAAGTCTGCATGTGGCTAAAAGCAAGATGGGTAACCCTTGGCATTCTTGCTGTCATTGAACTGCATTACCCAGTATCCCCAGCAAGCAGTTTGCATTGGCTGAGGGTCACACAAAATGGAGTCCACAAGTCCTAGAGTGTCCACTATGGCCAGAAATCTCTTATATCACTAGTTATTAATCCATCGTATGCTTAACCCCTTAAGGACCAAACTTCTGGAATAAAAGGGAATCATGACATGTCATGTGTCCTTAAGGGGTTAAAGTGTATGCAGGAGCACATGTTTTAAATGAGAATTGTTTTTTAAGGATCCAACAGGTTCAGTAGCGCTGTACAATACAATGAGCCCATAAACAAGCAGTCATACATTGAGGCTTAGAGCATGAAGTAGAGGTGGCCAAAAGTTTTATCTATACTCTTACTAGTACTACAACTCCCATGAGGCTTTGCCACCTCTGTCCCGAAGGATCAGTTTTTATTTATTTTATTTTAAATATTTGTCTCTGACAAGTTATAGTACCAGAGACACAAGAATAACTTTATTCTGGCATTCATTTAAATGTCAGGGAAAGTGTTGACAGTAGAGCAGTACAAACAGTTTGTGTTGTGAGAGTTGTGACTGGTTGCACTGCCTGCTGCAATGATTGTTTACTGCCCAGCGCCCTGGGTTACTGTGCAGCCATTATGAAGTAGTAGCAGATGTTTCCAAGGCAATGGGCTGAGCACAACTGACCAGATGAAAAGGGGAAGAGCCAGGAGCAGACAGAGGGAACAGCAGAGCGACAAAAAACTTTTCTTTTTCTTTTAAAGGAGGTTACAAAACTCAATTTTTTCAGTGTTTGAAGAGAGGGCTAAGCAAGACAGGGTAGTGTCTAAGCCTGGCACAAGAGATATCTAATTGGAGGGTTTGGTAGAGAGAGTGCCACTGATAACAGCATTGCTAGAGCGCACAGAACTGATCCGAGACTTCACTAAGAGTGACAGACATGGGATGCGCAAACGCTAAGTGCTTAGCATGCGGCGGTCGCAGCCAGAAGTCGGCAGAGCTAGGTAACTAACCTCTGGAAATAGCCAGCATTTAAAGGACGCACGGACAGGGTTTAGGCCACCCCAGCACTTAAAGAGTTATTCCCTAAAGTTAGAATTGCTGAGAATTTAACGTGAATTTCACATTTTGGATCCAAGTTAAAAACAAAGTCTCTGAACCCCACCGTGTTTCCACTTTGACAGTAGTAGCCCCAAAATTTTTAATTAACTTTGAATTCCTGACAATTCCTGCTTTAGTTCAGTAATCCCGTTGTTGTTATCCTCATGTGTTGTAGATCCCTAGATATGTAAATATTGGCAGGATATACTGTGTTGGCAATGGCCTTGTGTGGGGTGTATAGTTCTGCACTTTGCAGGATATAGTTTACTTATCAAGAGAGTGGTACGCCTGTGTGTTCCCATTGTACAGCGCTACGGAATCTGATGGAGCTATATAAATAATAAAATAATAATATGTATGTTCTGGATGTGGGATTTAGGAGCTTTGTAAAACTAGTAACATCAGATTTTGACTATATGGTCCGGTGTGACAATATATACATTTTGGGGTTCTGTTGATATGGGTATATTAGTAAACTGCGGCAATACTGGGTGTCAGTGTTGTGGAAATGGCATTTTGGGCCCCTGATGATATGCAATATTGGTGTTCTAGGTATATGTATTGGGTTTTCGATGTTCTGGTGAATACACGTTTGATGTTTTTTGGTGATTATGGTGATTTTTTGCAGTCACAGTTAACATTCTGTACAATGTAATATTGTTTTGTCTCAATTACCAATCAATTTATTTTTACCCACTGCAGTATTGCAGTAAAAGTACCATATATACTCGAGTATAAGATGAGTTTTTCTGCACATTTTTTGTGCTAAAAACCCCCCACTCTTATACTCGAGTCACTGTCTGTATTATGGCAACTTACATTGCCATAATACAGACCTGGACCGCTGGGCTCATTACAAGCCCAGCGGTCCTGTTGGGGGCTGGCAGCTCCCTTCTCTCTCCTCCGGTCCGGTCAGCTCCCCTGTCAGCTCCCACTGTAAGTCTCGCAAGAACCGCGGGGTCAGAGCGTTGCCACGGGTTACCGTGACAAAAGCTCCGCACGGCACACAGACCGCAAGACTTACAGGGGAGCTGACCTTACCGGAGGAGAGAGAAGGGAGCTGACAGGAGCTGCAGGAAAGGTAAGTTATAGCTCTCTGCCAGCCCCCCTCCTACACAGCCCATGCCACTGGACCACCAGGGAATGAGAGCCCCCCTCCCTGGCCAGCTAACAAGCAGGGAGGGGGGACGAAAAAATCTAAATAAATAAAAATTTTAATAATAATAAAATAAAATATTAATAATATTAAAAAAAAAAAATATTAAAACAATAATAATAATTTTAAAAAATGTAATAAAAATGCCCACCCCCCACCAAGGCTCTGCATCACACAAACACACTCTGCATCACACACACACACTGCATTCATACACACACACTGCACTCATACACACACACACACACTGCACTCATACACACACACACACTGCATTCATACACACACACACTGCATTCATACACACACACACTGCACTCATACACACACACACACACCGCATTCATACAAACACACTGCATTATATATACACACACACTGGATTCATACACACACACACTGCATTCATACACACACTGCATTCATACACGCACTGCATTAATACACACACACTGCACTCATACACACACACTGCACTCATACACACACACACCACATTCATACAAACACACTGCATTATATACACACACACTGCATTCATTATATACACACACTGTAAATAAATATTCAATTAATATAATTTTTGGGGGATATAATTTTATTTAGAAATTTACCAGTAGCTGCTGCATTTCCCACCATAGTCTTATACTCAAGTCAATAAGTTTTCCCAGTTTTGGGGGGTAAAATTAGGGGTCTCGACTTATATTCGGGTCGACTTATACTCGAGTATATACGGTAAATAGATTTTATACAGAGCTTCATGGATGGCTATATTCCAACCAATTACAATATTGTATACAATTACCGTATAAAACAGCCAGCGGCATCTGAAGGGTTTTGAAAAGGGCAATTAGCAGAATAATGACAGGGCCTTGGAATACTTCTGTGTAATTATGACTTCTGATGTACGTGCAGATTGACTGGTACACAACACTTTTATAATCTGGAATTCCCCTGTTTTTTATTCCGATTTTGTTGCAGTTGACGAGATTAAGAGCTATTTTTTTTTTTTTTTTAAATGTTTTTGTATTAAGTTATCATTCATTGAGTAACATACATCTACATATAGAGTTGTATATATCTAAAAGGGCAAACTATTTCTGGTTGTGGTTGTTATTTTTTTAATAATTGCATATGTATTTGAGATTTGCTGTGCAGAGGGCTATATTAGGAGATCCCATTGGGCCTGGTACTGACAATTATGATGGGCCCAATTACAAAATCTTATCGACAGAAAACACAAAAATGTATACCTCCCAGGCGTCATGTATCTGGTGGAGGTGGTGCTGGAGGAAAACTCACAGGATATAGCTATACGAAAACGCATACGCTATGAAAATCTCTCGCTTTTATCTTTCACATAAATCCATATCCCCTATCAGCAGGTCCGGTAGAGCAGCATGTCGGTGGGCGGGGTAAAAGAGTAGGCCACTGACGCGAGTCCCATAACCAGAACCGCCCCAAAGGGGCAAACATGCCCAAAAAAGCCATGATCTAGTGATGCGCTTCCTCCATTCTTTCTAAGGACTGTCCCCTAGCACTCACTTGTCCACTCCTCTCCTAACCTTCTTACTAGCAGGCAGAAGCTCCTGTTATACAGTCTGGGACAGTGAAAAGGTGGATGTAGTGAGTGAAGAAGAAAATGAACATGCCTCAGTGTTAGAGACCGAAGCAGTAGGAGCATTTGCATAGTGTGTAAAGTCATCTTTATCTTAAAGGACCACTCTAGGCACCCAGACCACTTTAGCTTAATGAAGTGGTTTGGGTGCCAGGTCCAGCTAGGGTTAACCCATTTTTTTTATAAACATAGCAGTTTCAGAGAAACTGCTATGTTTATTAATGGGTTAAGCCTTCCCCCAAAGCCTCTAGTGGCTGTCTCATTGACAGCCGCTAGAGGCGCTTGCGTGATTCTCACTGTGAAAATCACAGTGAGAGCACGCAAGCGTCCATAGGAAAGCATTGATTATGCTTTCCTATGCGACCTGTAAAGGAAAGAAGGTATTAGGTCGCGCCAGAAAGTAAGTGTAACAAAATAAAACAGATAATACAACCGTAGATAAAAGCTAAAATATCTTCATATAAAACAAATAAAACATATATATATATATATATATATATATATATATATATATAAAATGTGGAAAGTACTTACATATAGCAGTACATACAGAGAGAAAAAGATAAACAATCCTAAAATAAGCAAGGAATGGTCACATCCACTTGAGGGAAGGAAATAGTCCAAATGGAATTGGAGAATGAGTGTAGCGTCTTGTTCCAGATACCAATATGCAAAAGAGAACATGAGAAAAGATCCAATAGTGTAGACTGTATCTTCCGCTTCTTTGTGAGGATTCAAAGAAGCGGAAGATACAGTCTACACTATTGGATCTTTTCTCATGTTCTCTTTTGCATATTGGTATCTGGAACAAGACGCTACACTCATTCTCCAATTCCATTTGGACTATTTCCTTCCCTCAAGTGGATGTGACCATTCCTTGCTTATTTTAGGATTGTTTATCTTTTTCTCTCTGTATGTACTGCTATATGTAAGTACTTTCCACATTTTATATATATATATATATATATATATATATGTTTTATTTGTTTTATATGAAGATATTTTAGCTTTTATCTACGGTTGTATTATCTGTTTTATTTTGTTACACTTACTTTCTGGCGCAACCTAATACCTTCTTTCCTTTAGATTTCCCACTTCTTTGACGTACTGTGAGGGAACGTCTTTATTTTAGGTTGCTGCCTATATTCATACTTTACACTATTCCATTGAGACACTAAGCGCTGAACCCACTACCATTTACACTTTCCTATGCGACCGGCTGAATGCGCGCGCAGCTCTTGCCGCGCGTGCGTATTCAGCCGATGGAGAGGAGGAGGATCGGAGGAGGAGAGCTCCCCGCACAGCGCTGGAAAAAAGGTAAGTTTTACCCCTTTTCCCCTTTCCAGAGCCGGGCGGGAGGGGGTCCCTGAGGGTGGGGGCACCCTCAGGGCACTATAGTGCCAGGAAAACGAGTATGTTTTCCTGGCACTATAGTGGTCCTTTAACTAATTTCATTGTCAGCCAGTCCACACAAGGTTTGTTCCCCTACAGCCCCTACATCAAAAAACAAAAAGAAAAACACTTTTTTTTTTTTATAAACAATGGGCCCTTTCCATGGACATGGTCCTCTAGCTGCAGCTCTATCAGCCCCTATGTTAATCCAGCCATTTCTGTGCAAGGTTTATGTCAGACGTTTACTGAATATGCTGTCTATAGTTTGTGCACGATTATTACTTATTATTTTATTTTCGTGTTGATTTTTTGTGGATTAGAGCTATATGTTAATATGTCACTGTGTGTCCGTATACATGTTATTACCTTGTTAGAAGTTACGTTCATCCGCTATTATGAACAATGTAATAATCTGTGTGTTCGTATCACTTGTCTGTGATTTCTATTAATTTTATTATGTTGTTTTTGTTTCTTCCTCAGAAAAACTAAAGAACAGCAAAATCATATTCGTTGTCGGTGAGTATTTCATTAGTAAAATCCGTCACTGCAAACTGGCACCTTTAAAAGGGGAAATGTTGTTGCGGAGCCAGACTGGACACATGGATTTATCTAAACGTTTGAAATCAAATTTTGGAGACATATGTCACATATAGCCATATTCCTGTTCGTGAGGACGATCCCATATATAGGGAATAAACCATATAGACGGAATCGTATGATCAGTAAATAGAATTAATCCTCGCTGATTTATGTTTTCCTTCCTGAATATATGCTTGACGTTTACATCAGTCTTTCTTATTACTTTGTACTTCGTTATTGCTTGTAGGAGGACCGGGTTCAGGCAAAGGGACACAGTGTGAAAGGATTGTAACTAAATATGGTTATACCCATCTGTCTACCGGTGACCTACTCAGGGCTGAGGTTTCCTCTGGCACAGAAAGAGGGAAGACCTTATCTGCCATCATGGAGAAAGGAGAGCTGGTACCACTCGTAAGTCATTTAAGGGTCTTAAGCTACTCATTTTTCCTTGAAACTACAGGGCTTCATAAAGCAAATCTGTAACAAACATATCTCATGTATGTTAACATACAATAGAAATTAAATTCAATGGTTCTGGTTCAAAACATTACTGCCCTTTTGAAAGTCAGCTTAGTTCATATATTGTAGTTTTTGGGAGTTGTCTGTTTCTCAATAACTGATCATCTGTTTTATTTACGGATTTTACAAACACCGACCTATGGCGTCCAGAGACCTTGCCACATAAAGGCTACAAACTAAAAAAAAAAAACGAAAATTAAACAATTACCCAATTTGTCTGCTAAAGTGTTTGTTGTACTGCAGTGAGCAAAAATGTGAAGATGTTTGTTCCGTCCACAGGACACAGTGCTGGACATGTTACGAGACGCCATGATTGCAAAAGCCGACGAGTCAAAAGGATTTCTTATCGATGGGTATCCTCGTGAGGTCAAACAAGGAGTAGAATTTGAGAAGAAAGTGAGTAACGTGCAGTTTGACAACTTTTTCCTTGAGACTTCCTGTTCTCATGATTATTAGAAATGTTTGTATATTTGTGGTCGAATAGTGTGACCTTACTTCTAGATGTAAGAAGTGGATATCCTTTATTAGTGTAAACGACAGCTCTAGATGTGCTTTTTCTAATATTTTACACTTATCTTACTGGAAGTAAAATGGATTTAAAGTGGAACACTTTGATCAGTCTGTGGACCACATCTGCCCTGATGCTTTCCCAGCATCATGGGAGATGTAGTTTACAACATCTGGAGTGCCGGATGTTGCCATTGACAATGACATCCAACCAGGGTTTCTCTGGGAAATTAGTTTTCATAGTTCTACTTGTCTTGATATCTACTCACCTTCTTTGTCAAGATTGTATTATTGCTAATTATAGGAACCTATTCACAAAATGAATTACTCAGTGGTATGCAATATATTATGCATTTAAAGGTGTAAAAGGTCACAGCATACCATAACCATTAATTTGTACAACTTATTACCATGTACTAAACTCTAAAGGAACATAAAGGGAATTATTTAGGATTACAAGTTGCTTTGCTGGTTGCTCATATTCATTGCTGGCTTTAAATATGATTGACTGTCTGAATTTCATGTAAGCTATACTTAAAGTATGACTATTGATTTGGAAAGTAACTATATTTTGTAAACAATCTTTCTGTAGATTGGTGCCCCATCACTGCTGCTCTACATCGATGCTGGCGCAGACACAATGGTTAAACGGTTAATGAAACGCGGTGAGACCAGCGGCCGGGCAGACGACAATGAGGAGACTATCAAAAAGAGGCTAGAGACCTATTATAAAGCCACAGAACCCGTCATCGCCATGTATGAAGGAAGAGGCATTGTACGAAAGGTATTTATCCCAAGGCTAGACAATACAGTGGAATTCATATTATATCTCTATAGTAATACATTATTTCAGTAAATGCGGTTGACTACACCAATGTTCTTCACACCTGTATGTGGGTCTCATCAACAGGCCAAAATTTAATGGCATATCTCAAGGGTAGGCAACCTTCTCCACTCCAGATGTTGTGGACTACAGCTTCCTTAATGCTTTTATAGACCTAATGCCGACAAAACATCGGGGGGGTTTAGTCCACAACATCTGGAGTGCTGAAGGTTGTCTATCCCTGGCATATATGCTGCAGTGAGCAGTTAGCCGGTGGCATGTTAATTTTGTTGTTTTTTTTACACCTATGCAAAGGTATGGCCTTTTGGTGTACATCCATCCAGGTGGCCACTGGTAGAATGATGGGATAACAACCTTTGGCTCGGGTCTCTCTTCTATGCAGAGACCTGAAAAATGGTGCAGTTATAGAGTTGTATGCTTTGTTGTGTTGCATGTATTTTTCCTCTTTAATGCAGCGATTGTATTGACTGAGGATTTCACCGTACAATGTAAAATACCAGTGGCCCTACTCACAGCCCCCTTGGAACTTCGTAAAGATACATCTGTGTTATCTCAATTTCTGCTAGACCTCCGTACTGAGGAAGATGTGGAAAGGAGAGGTAGTAAAACAAACAAGTAGTGGGTCACCCAAAAATGTTTTTTATATTAATGATGGATCCCCTTCATCATATTTCCCAAAGGCTTAGCGACAACATGTTCATATTTAGCAATAGTCCCCCTCAGTCAGTCTGAAACATTGCTTCGAAAGACTAACAGTGTAGTCTATCCTTGGACCACTAGGTGTCAGTGATATATCAGAAATAGGTTAAGGTTAGCAAGAGTGTATTGCTAAATGGAAATGTAAAGATTTGGCAAGTTTAATGCATTGGGGGCTCAGCTTGCTAGTTATTTAACTTATCTTTTATCTTTGGCAATTAAAAGGGGTTAATAAACGTGTCTAGGTCTTTCGGACCCCCACAACAAATTTTCCCACAATAGGAAAATAGGAAAGCTTCAACACAGGCACTTCTCTCTTAAAAAGGGGGTGCAGAACACACAATATGTCTGATACGGTTAAGATATAGAACTGATTAGAACTCCTTGGAGGCAAAAATAACAGTACACATTGAGTGACTTTATTAACTGAACAAGCTATTGAAGACAATTGACGAGGAACAGTTTTCGGGTGGTTTTTCTTCGTGACATATAGTAAATTAACCATGATACCACTTAATAAGGCCTGTCTGAATAATGATAGAGATTTGCTGAAATTAAGCCAGACATTTTGGAGACATAACTAGGTTTGTGCACAAATCAATTCCATCAGCACTGAACAATGCAAATGCCTGTTAATACATCATACTTCCCAAGTGGCCCTATTTTGGGCTCAAATTCCTATGTCTCTCTTTTCAATCCCAATGTACCTCTTTTGTAGGAGATCCATGTTGTTGGTGTGAATGAGTGTAGTGTATACCAAAGCACCACAGCAATAAAACTGTGTCTTTAAACTAAAATAAATGTGTCTTTAAACTAAAATAAATGGGTTTAGAAATCCGTCTGTTCAAATAAGATACATTGTTTTTGTGCTAAATTACATTTTAGTTGCATAAATTGTTATTAGCAAGTCATTTAAAATTTCTCAGAACAGTTCCGTCCCTGGTCCCCTCTACGCTCCCACCCCTGAAATGAAAGCATCCAGTTAAAATTTGGGGAGGTATGTTACATGGACAAACAAATCTTTGTTAATCAAATCGAAATGCTTTAATTTGGTGGTCCATAGATTGACAGGCATTTGATTATTCCAGGACAGCTGATAGGGATTTGAGCACAAGTCTAGAACTCACTAAAGAAATGCTCGTTAGACAAAAACAGTTAAAGACCTACATTCTCAATTTAGTGGATAGCCCTAAATGTGTTTTTTTTTTTTTTTTATTAATTTTTTCATATTTTTTTGACAAAATCAATCTATTTAAAGGATCACTATAGTATCAGGGAAAACTCGTTTTCCTGACTCTATACAACCCTTAGGTACCCCCCACCCTCAGGGCCCCCCTCCCTTGGCGCTGAAATGGTTAAAACCCCTTCAGTTACTTACTTTAATCCAGCACTGGGCTCCCTCAGCGCTGGTGACCTCTGCTCCCACTCCGACAGTCCATAGGAAAGCATTTTTCAACGCTTTCCTATGAACGTTCTGCACGCTGAATGCGATTTTCACATCCAGCGTCGCAGAAGCACGTCTAGTGGCTGTCAGGAAGACAGCCACTAGAGGCTGGATTAACCCTGCAATGTAAACATAGCAGTTTCTCTAAACATAGCAGTTTCTCTGAAACTGCTATGTTTACATCTGAAGGGTTAAAACCTGGGGGACGTGGCACCCAGACCACTTTATTGAGCTGAAGTGGTCTTGGTGACTATAGTGTCCTTTTATATTCCAAATAACTGTTATAGCAGATAATAGCTCAAATCAGCAAGGTACACATAAGACATGTTCCCTCTAAGCAGATTTTTGCTAGTGGCTTAGTAAAGTAACGGTTAAGAATGGAATTTGTATGACAACCACATCTTTCAGTTTGCATTGAAAGTGCTGGGGTTGTGGTTGTTATAAATATCCCATTCAGAACTATTTCAGTGTTGGAACACTCATAAAGTGAACAATGCATACAAAATCAGCATTATATCTAAAGTTAGGAGCAGGAGAATGTCTCAGTTGGGTGTATATATAACAACATTGAAGGAAAACAAAAGAAAGTGTGATTAGAAGTGTGTAGGGTTACATAACCCATGTTTACTATAGACACACTTTTAAACCTTATATTAAGAGATATCGGACAGCTGACCGCCGAAGGTTAAATAGAAATGTGTCACATAAAAAAGACAGGGAACTAAACTTAGGTGCACTAACACATTTTACATTGTATTCTTGTGATTATGTTTTGGTGGAATTCCAGTGAGTTTGTTCTAATACAATACATATTGATTTCAGTGGGTAGTTATCTTGTTTGTCATAGACAAGTCAACGTTAACTTTAATGGCAAGTGAAACCCGAAAACGTGTTATTTGGTGTGTTTTGAAGTTCACCCAAGATGACAAAAGTATCGAAAAATGAATAAAATCAATCATACTTTATTTTTATATTTAACCTTAAAGGAAGCATCTTACTAACTCGTGTGAGGTAGCTAGACTGGACTAAAATATTGTCACTTAATTAACATCAACAATAAAGAAGAAAAATTTAGGGGAAATTAAAAAAACCTAACAAAAAACAAATGTACCTTGAATTTCACCCTGAAACTGGTGGCTGTCTGAACATCTGAGTGTTACAGAATTCCAAATCTGGACAGTAGTAAATGAGAAGGTGTTATCATCCAGAGTAATTTGGATAAATGTAGGCCCATGGAGGGGTGCTGACGATGGTATCTGGTAGGAGAGTCACTGATACGATAATCACAATCAAAACCTCACTGGAAGCCAATGCAATGTGTAGAGTGATGGTGTGTATCCATAGACTGTCTTAGGGGGAATCTTTGGGGGCTAAAGCCCTGGATGGGAATCCTTACAGCTGGTGGAGTGGAGAGGCAAATGAGTATTAGAGTTTTTTTATTTTTCATTATAAATCAGGAAGCTACTATGTATTATACAACGGAAGATTAGAAGTATAGGGGGTGTGGGTGATGCCCTCCAGGTGACTGTAAGGAAGCAGTGATAGGGTACAGAACGTTAATGCATATCACTCTATTAGTTAGGTACCGTGGCCATGCTTTCATTGTGATCTCAGAGAGCCTCAGCAGCACACTATTCATTGTTAGAGAGGAGGGGACATAAACAACAAAGGTGCAGATAAGTCATGACATATCTTTCGCTATCAGGGCAGTGGGTCATCAAGTTATCCTTCAAGTTTAAGTTCTGGGTTTTTCTGGAATCTCGTACCCCCCTCAGTGTAACTGTATCATGCGGAGACTGCCTGGGCAACATAGATGCTCCACCTGAAACAGTTTATTCACATCTACAAAGGTAGTGCTGTATAACCAACTTTTAGGTTTAGTGAGCTGAATTTACCAGTGATTGCAGGTCTGGTCATGACAAAAATGTGCAGTCCTCATTGCAACAATGTATTAGTAATTTAATAGAAGCTGAGACATGGACACTCATCTCAAATGCACGCCAGGCTCCTGTCTAACATTTCCATATATTTTTTACCACTGTCAAGGCTGTTGGTAGGAGAGGGTTAGGCAGGTTCTGCCACATATCCAGATAAAGTTTGATGCCTACATTCAGGATGTCCGTCTTCTCCTGATCATTTGGCAATGTCTGTGGTTGTCAGATAATTTGAGAAGAAACCATACATCCTGACCGTCACCAATTCTACTACTGTATCAATGGAAATCCAATCCATAAGTTCTTCTAAGGATTTGACCTATTCATTAAAAAATTGCTGTGGAAACAAAAGAGAGATCAGTTGCTGAATCGAACAAACCAATCCTCATCTCCTATGTGTCCTCCAGCACAGAAGATGAGATCTTTTAAAATCTTGGTCTCTTACACCATGCTAGGTCTATAGCCGACTTTGTAATATACCATGGTCACTGTTCAAAGGCAGTTGAAAGAAGGATCATATGTGCCATAGAACAGATCATTCTTAGTCCCATGATGTGGACTTGGTTATATAATAAAAATAAATAATACAAGACAACTTCCTAGAACAATTGTGACCACTTTTCCAGAACCTAAATAAGGGTGGTACCTGGATACTACACCAACATGTTACTCCCGTTGTTTCTAGAAAGCATGCACATATACATCCCTTTATAACTGAAGAGTCCATGACTTTCACCAACAGTGAGACCATTGGACCCGCTGATTCTCTGAGAGGCCAGGAGAATGGTGCGGTACACACCGTAGGTAGTTTATTCCGTATAGAATATAGTGCATTTCTTAATGTATCAAAAAAAAAAAAACTAGTAAGGCAAGCAATATGTTGGAGTCAAGACAAGTATGGAAAAACCTGATGGGATGATCAGCGCCCTCAAGTGGCAAATCTTGTGGGAGAAGAACAGTTGGAATTCCTGTCATTGCTCAGCAGAAGGAATTGCGTCAACAACAGGGCAGCCTTGATGTAATAGTCTGTAGAAAATCCTGAAGAGATCCGTGGAGGGTTGTTTTTCATGTCAATCTTTGAAGCAACAATAATGATTTTTTTATTTTAGCATAGAAAAAAAAACAAAGATAAAAAAAACAACACGCACATAACTGAAAACTGAACCATTTATAAACTATATATATAAATATAACAAAATAAATTGCTCTTTTTAATTTCTGAATTTAAAGTTCTGTTATCAAAAATGTAACTATATTATTAAATAACTTTCTTATTAAAGGGACACTGTAGGCACCCAGACCACTTCAGCTCATTAAAGTGGTCTGGGTGCTTTGACCCTGTTCTACTTAGTGCTGCAGTGTTTACATTGCAACACTAAGTCTGCCTCCAGTGGCTGTCTCCCAGACGTCCTCACGCTATGCAAGAGGACATCCAGCTTCAGATCTTTCCCCGTAGGAAAACACTGATTCAATGCTTTCCTATGGGGAGGACTAATGCGAGCACTGCATTTGCTGCGCTTTTGTTTTAGCGGCCACTTGTCGCTGGAGAGTCAACCCAGCGCAGAGGGACATGGGCATTGGGGTAAGGCAAGTAAATAAATGATTTTTAACGCTCGGGGGAAGAGGGGTGCGAGGGAGGGGGAGGCATGGGAAACAATAGTGCCAAGAATATAGCTTTGTATTCCTGACACTATAGTATCCCTTTAAACCAGGCTTCCCCAAACTACGGCCCTCCAGATGTTGATGAACTACAACTCCCATGATTCTATGAATGAAATAGATAGGCTGAGAATCATGGGAGTTGTAGTTCAGCAACATCTGGAGGGCCGTAGTTTGGGGAAGCCTGTTTAAACCAAAATGAGAGAAGAAGAAAGGATTCAAATATTATTATATGAATAGTGTCATAAACAATAAAGATCACAAAAGGTCAAGAATTTTGAAGCACAGCCATATGTCAAAGCAAAAAGACAGTAGTATGGAGCCATTCCATAATCCAGGAAATGTGATAATGTAAGACACTATGGAACCATCAGCCAACACTAGCAGATACGGCAAGACGTGTGTAGCAAGTTATTCCATCTTATCTCCCTCCATGATACCAGAAACAAAGACAGTTATGAAGCTTCTTGTCTTTAATTGCGATTATTCTTGACGCCTTGCTGTAGCAAATGCAGAATGGTGAGAAGGACTGTGTCACGCCAAATATATGACAGATTTTGCTTTCACTGAGAATGTTATCTTTACATTGTTTGAGCTAAAACAGCTAGAAAAAGTAAAATCAAAAGGGTTTCTTTCAGTAAATGGCGAATTCTAGCAGGTTGTAAAGTGAATTGGAAAATGTATGCGAAAATAGCTGATTTGGTAAACTTCTCCAACACAGATTTAGGGAAAATCAATTATTAAGGTGAAATAGATAGGTGAAAATTTTGTAGTTTTTATTTCTTCAAATTTTACATTTGCGAGACCGTTTTGCCTGAGTCTCCATCAGAGGTGACAGTCAGTACTCCTGTAAAGGGGTTGATCAATGGGACACAACGTGGAAAGCACCGCATTTCGGTACTCTAACAGACAGCGCCCCCTTATGGACCGCACTGACTGCCTGCCTCCTCTGGTCTCCTGTGATGTCAGATTACATCCTCCCAGCGCTGGTGGAAACCGTGCTGTGTGGTAGCCGAGGAGCCAGGAGTTTGCAGCCCTGTATGTAACGTGTATGCTGCTTCTCTGTGGTGCCTCTCTGTAATGCGTGTGGTATGTGCTGGCTGTATGTAACGTGTGTGTGTGGAGTGTGCTGCAGTATGTAACCTTTCATTGAATATGAGGGTTAATACAAGTTTCTACCACCTTGAGGATTAGTCCCCAATAAAAAAAACGAACATTATTTTTTGGAATAAAGCACCATTTAGTGGTCCTCCACAACACAGCAACATTCAGATGCTTTTCTGATTGAAGCCATTGAGAACATCCAGCATTGAAGATTTGCAGTCTTTTCCAGCCTGTTGTTATCCCAGAGAGAGGTGAAAGCCTGAGACTTGGAAGAAGCAGTAGTTGGATGACCTTGAAGCATTAGTTATTTTGTCAGTGGGAACTGTAATAGTTTCTGCTGAGTCTATGCAGTCTCTGTGGTGCTGCCGGAACAGAAAAATATCTTCACAGCCATTGGGGGTCTCCACGCTGCTGCCCACCTTTGTACCATTCGGAATTAGAAAGGTTCAACGCCAAACTTTCCCACAATTACAGTAAAAAGTATTTTAAGATGGTAAAAAATTAACAGCCAGGCTGCACGACACTGTAAAATTATTATACGATTTGGGATCCTTAAATGATTCTGAAATCCCTCTGGACTGTTCTTGAGTCACGTGCTAGAGATTGAGGTATCTCAAGGATTCAACTCCTCAAGAATCAGACCCTCGTTCTCCTTTTTTTTTTCTTCCTTATCCTTTTTTTTTTTATTATTCTGTTTTATTGAGTGTGTGCCAACCATAGGCAGAAAAGCATAGTACATAAAACAAATAGAGGACATGCTTAATCGATAGTCGAAATTCAGTAGTATAGTTAGTTGTGCAGCATGTGAACCCTATTGCAGCAACACACTTAGTTCCGGTCCGGATGATGTTCGGTTGATAAATACCAGTAATAAATAAATGTCCGGTCTTGACTCCTCTGCATGAAAAATGAAAAACAAAATAATAAAAATAAAATAAATGAGAAAATGGTCTCTGCAAAAATCTAATTCTAGAAAGAGAATGGGGAAGTGGGAATGAGAAGAAAAACAATATTGGACAGGGAGATGAAAGGAAGAACTCGTAGAGTTAGGAGAAATGCAGAGAAAGTATGGAAGAATAGCAATGGGATACCCTGAAAAGGTTTAGATCAGGGCTGTCCAACCTGCGGCCCCCCAGATGTTGCTGAACTACAACTCCCATGATTCCCTGGCTATCTGTTTCATTGAAAGAATCATGGGAGTTGTAGTTCAGCAACATCTGGGGGGGGGTGCAGGTTGGACTGGCCTGGTTTAGATAGAGGAACAGTGGAGAGAAAACCCCAAAGGTGGAGAGCCGAGTCTATAAACCTCTGTAGTATGGGCAGAGTGGAACCAGAGCCTTCTTCGGTATTCACAACTGACCACATAGACACATAGCAGGTGATATTTTGGCGCAAAATGTGAAACTCTCCTAAAATTCACATTGCATTCCTAACAATTCACACTTCAGTGAATAACCATGTTTCAATTCACAATAGGTACCACTTTAGTGGATGACCCTAGGAGTTGTGTGCACAACTGCAAAATAATTCAAGTGCACTAGAAAGAAATAAATGGGTCTTCATAATATACCCAGTGGGTAAGTAGCATTGGGTGAGATAATAAAATGTCATTGTATTTTATTGATCTCGTAATTGACCCATCAGACATTTTGACGTAGAAGATTTCATTATGAACAGTCAGATGAGGAATCAAAATACAAAACTGGGTGGTGAACTTTGACTCTGTCCAACTATTGTTGGCCTACAACACACATAATCCATTTGCATTGAAGAGAATTATGGACATTGTAGTCCAAAAGCTGCTGTGGAACAATGTTTGACAGCTCCACTAAGGAGAAGAATTAGACAACAACTAAAGGAACATTGAAATCCAATTCTTAAGCTCTACCTATCCCTTAGATCGCAGTTGCATCACATAGAGTACCGCTACAGATAACATGGGAGCTCACATGTTACCCTGGTAACATGGTACACACATTTATCCAAATCCCAATCCACTGCATGATTTGCTTTTTGTTTAATGTTGATTATATGGTGTTTATTCAAGCAACTACAATTTGGATTTCTGTATGTTATCTATATTTTGTGGTTAGAGGTTTAAAATTTTGTAATTAATATAAAGAAGCTGTCAAATAATATTTGGTGAGTACAGCTATATGGTATGCTATTCTCATCTAGTAGTTCAATAGGTGAAGTGCTGGCGTTATTTTACAGACAGGTGAAGGTACGGAATGTTGTATCTTCCATATCTGACAAATAAATAAAGAGTAGCATAAGGTGAGAAGAACGTAAAGTAAAGTATATTCTTTTTCTCTTCTACAGATTAACGCAGAGGGCAGTGTGGATGACGTCTTCGCGCAAGTCAGCGGAGCACTAGACTCCCTTAAATGATGAGACAAGAAAACCAACAACATTTGCCTTATTTAAGTCCATAAACACCCAACCTTGTCCAGCCATCCAAAAGAACCCCAATTTCAATAATGCTCATTAAACTGATGTGAAACACCAATGCTTTATGTCTCTCCTAATCTCATTCTGTCTGCCTATGACTGGGCTCTGACGTCACTCCATCCTTCAAAAAACTCTAAAGAATTTACCCTCCATCCTGGAGGAAGGTGCAAGTTTAACCCTGATCCCCCTCTGTCTCTCCTGAGAGTACCGATATCCTTGCTCTCTTCCTGTTTTCTTGAACAGTAAACTATTTCAAGGAAACATTCAAGGTCTAATATCTTGGCTCCTGACGTGTCCTCTTATTATTTTCTCCCTCCCCCTCATCTGAAGACATTCCTTTCTAGAACAGGAAAATCTCTTTTGAAGAATGTGTCACTCGGAGACCAAGAGTGGTCCGTTTATTTGTTCGCGTGGCTTTAGTCAAAATGACAGGATCATAAGATCCTTGATGCTCTTGGCTGAGGGGTTAATCTTGAAGCACACAGTTTGATATTTCCTCCAGAGTTTATTGTGTATCCTTGCAAAAAGCTGCAAGGCCACCTTTGACCTTGATATGAAGAAACAGGGTGTAGGGACTGGTAGAAAGGAAGACGAATAGGCGGGAATCTGCATTAACTTTTGAGACATTTCCAGTATGGAACAACTTGCCACATATTTGTAGCAGAGAGTGATATTGAAAATCAGTTAAAAAGCAAAACTCATTCTGCTTCATTTTCAGTTGACTGCAATTCTGGCAGCAACAATTGTTAATAAACGGAGATTATTTTGACCTAATTATGGGCTACAAACAATTCTTGTTTCTTCCAGCACGCAGACCCTAACGCCCATCTGCCATCAAACCCAACGTGCAAATTATTTTTGTTCAAGAATCTCCAGCATTTTAACTCATGCAAGATGTTCCCTCATCAATAAATGAAACACTGAGAAGAACTGGGTATTCAATACTATTACTGTTTCTAACTAAACTATATAATTTCCTATTCAGCTATTTTTTCCATCTCAGCTAATTTGATCTACAGTGCTTTGTCAATTTTCAGTATAGTGAATAATCCAATCTATGTTTTGGTTTATTATTTAACTTCAGAAATTAGGATTCCATCCGATATGGAGAGACAAGGTACCTCACTTTGTGAGTTACCTGGTCATGCTGGGTTAGAGTTTGATTAGAGTTTCAGGCCAGAATTTAAAAATAGACCCCTTAATTAACTCCATACAATGCTGCTTTACTTTCACCTTGCGGTGGTTCTGGTTCAGTATGCGTTAGATTTGCTGTCTCACAATGTTTATGGCAGACCTTTCCTTGACACGGGTCAACAAAACCCTGGTGATCACAGGAGTTATGCTCAGAAGCCACCAATGGTCTGAGATGTTGGAATTATCTAGTACTGAAACAGTTGGATGTCTCTGAGAATTGGAGGCACAACAAATACACCATATGTCTCTCTTTACTGTAGAATAATTATGTAACTTGTCAACTAACAAGGAGATCATTCTAATACAGCCCCACAGAATGTATTTTCATACGTGTCCACAGAATATCCATAATTATTTTTGGCATTTATAGTGACAACTTATTCCTCAACGCTTTACAATCAATGGTTCAAGTGTGGAATAAGTACCCAACGGAAGTTACAGAAATATATAGGTGTGGGCCCTGGGATTTTTAACGAGTCAACTTACCTATTAACAAACTTACAACCTGTAAACCACATAGCTGACTTTACATGTGGTGAGAACTCTTAATAAACTGTTCTCCCAAGACCCACCAGCAAATCACACACCAGCGTCCAGATACCGTGTAGGATACTCTGTGAAAGATTTGGTGAGCAGGCTGATGTAATGTCCCATATCTTCAACAGTACTAAGGTTAGTGCTATTCTAACTATTAATTTAGATGACGTGAATGCTGAGTGACAAAGTAAATAAGGCACAGAAAAAACGATTCAGTGAAGTTGAAAATTTTGCAATCCTGTGCACCTGCTGCTGGTTTAAAAAGAGGCGATGGAATCTGAATTTAATTTTAATTACCCACTAAAAATAAATAAAATGTATTGTAAACTCCAAAATCACAATTAGATATTTTCCTGGTCCTGTAATAAATTACTAATTGGTAGTGTAATGGTTACAGTGCTAGGAGTGCCCTGACTCCCTCAAAGAGTAAGTAGTAAAACAGTTTAGCGATGATTTGACAACTTACGTGGGTTGTGCCAGGTGCATGCCACCACCTCCTCTGCTGCCAGTAGCTCTTGCCTCAGTACCGCTCTGCTGACAATGCGGGCTTGGCACAGTGATGCTAACTGCAAACTTCTTGGCAGAGGGGAGGAGGCGGTGGGTGACTGGTAGGATATAGGTATGCTTAGAATGGTTTGACCACTTACTCTGGGAGGGTGCAAGGGCTGTCCTGGCACCGTAACCAATACAGGGAGGCTTTATTGGTTATGGTGCTTGGAGTGTCCAATTTACAACTATATCCTTGGATATCTATCCTGCATTAGTAGAAAAAAACAAACCCGTTTTTATAGTAACTTGTTGAATTTGATAGCGCAAGTAAATCCAATTTCTTATCCTTTGGACATCTGTAAATGTGATCTCTTTATCTCAATAAATGACCAATTCTTCCTTACAGTACAGTACTGCTACAATTAAATTATTTACATGGCACCAACATATTCTGCAGTGTTGTTCACTAGATTAACCAAGACAAACAATGAATTCTAACAAAACAGGAACAGAAGTTGAAGAGGGTGATGCCCAAGCAAGCTTATAATAATCATGTTAGTGCTGTACATATTTATATAAAACAAATATAACCATTCTTTTATATTTTTATATATATTTTTAAAAATTGTATAGTAGTACCAATATCACTGATTTATAGGCAGTTATATTTCCAGCGCATGTATCACTACCCCTTTCACATGACAACGACAAACAATACACAATGTTGCAAAGTCCCGAGTTATGAGTAAGTGCCCTTTGGGGCATGAAACGTGTCAAGCTTTTTTGGAGATCTGCCCGCTGGCTTTCATCTACACGTATGATGTTCCTGTGTGTGTACTTTTATTTTGGATCAAAATAAAAACAAAGTATTGTTCTTTTACAAAGATGTGTTGGACACTTTCATCATGGAGTGCTTTCTCATGTGAACAGTGATATTTATGGACACAAAGTATTTATCCGTCAGCTGAAACACTGGATGCAGGAGACACCTCTATTCAAGGCTAGATTTGTAACAATGTATTTTTTTTATTCTCCTTTTTGATCCTTTTCTTTTTTTGGTTTCAAAAATATGTTAATAACCCTGAATGCCTGATAAAATAGAGAAGCTGCTGTTGTTCCAAAAAAAGTCAATTACAAAGCTGGGACTTTTAGGGAACACTCCAGACCCACAAAGGCACTTGAGCTAATATCCCCCAGCCCTTCACAAACTGTAGAGATCACACCTGGGTCTTCAGCCCCCAAAGTCTCTCTCCCAGCAACACATGTGAAATTTCATAATTAATTCACATTACTAACACCATATCTAAAAATGATTCCCAACTTACCTGGGGTATACTAGGCGTTAGATTAACTTCCCCTGGGGATTGGTGTCAACATGCAGCCCAATGCCAACCATGCAATGATGCACAGGACTTGCTGAATACAAAAATAAACCTTGCCCTTGGTAGTAGTACCGGTAATACAAATTATGCAATTAAAATAAAACTGAAATACCCATATTTATGGAGAATGCTTAATTTAGGGAGCATGAACTCACAGGTGTACCGCGTATAAAGAACATTGACTTAATGTTTATTGCAGTTAGCTTTCTAGATTATCAGGAACTAAGATACTGAGGTCATTTCCCTGCAGGGGAAGAAAAATAATGGGGACCTCGTGGGAGTGTAGGAATTCTCTATTCTGATTGGCTACTGCTTATCATGTGCCTTTGTAGCTTACATAGAAACTTTAGTCTTCTTTAAATACTAGTCCCAAAGAAAGAACATTTTAGAAAAATACAAGTTCAACACCCTTGAATCCTCTCACTTCATTTCCTGGTCAAGTTCAACATCCAGACAGTCCGTAAACCAATATAAACTGACTGTATGGTGTTGCAGAAAACGTGAGTGTTCGTAAAGTGCACATTTCTGTAGTAGAGTTACTGTATGCAGCGCTGACTGTCAGCTATGCATGCAGCGCATTAAAAAGTCAGGGAGCACTAAAAATGGCCCCAGCGGACAGAGGGGAGCCCCAGGTATCTATTGATATTTGAGTTTCCTGGAGTTGGAAGGGTTTTAACCCTGCTTTCAACATGATCTTGTTATATTCATGTAAATGCCTTTTAAATAGCTGTTTCCAGCACGGCCTAAGTCACGTGTTTGCTAGGGGTACAACTAGTCCCCAGCACAGAAATGAAAATAACTCTGAACGTGCAGTGCTTCAAACATCAAATCTCTGAAGTGGTCATGGTGGTTGGCCTGTGTGTGCATGGTTCACGGCTCAATTATCTTTCCTGGAAACAAAGACAGCTCAACTCAAGTTGAACAAATGTAACAAACTAAATTCTGATAAAATTGATTGAGCCAGAAGCTAGCATTTCCAGCTGACTGACAGGAGGAAAAAACTTGCTAAATATTTCATAACTCACAGCGTTGGAAGCAGAAATGTTGAACTGACAAACTTCTTGCTCCATAACCACATGAGCAAGCTGAAGTGGTCGCAGTGTTTAGAGTAATTTCAGCCTCATTTTTTTTTTATTCTTTATTTTTGTAGTGCACGTGCATTATACAGGCAGGCTTGAGGTGCCCTAAAAGCAATCCTCAGGCGTTTCCCACGGTTAACATGCGGGGTGTATGATTAACTGGCAAATTTTTATATTTTATCAGGCTTAATTAACGTAACAGTAACGTAACATTAGCATTAATTAATTAAAGCATCGATTTAAGCGTAAGTATATATGTTACGCAAACAGGATTGGTTCATGCGTTAACTGTGTTAGTTTCAATATAGATAGTACAGGTAATGCAGTATACGTAATGCAGTAAACAGTTCGCTTATACTGTAAGACCTGCTAGGGTAGAGTCGCTTATTGTATTAGTTGCGCTTTATGGTTATAAAGATGTAGCTTGCGCTTAGTGCAACATGTTCGCCTCAGAAGCATAGCGGTGGAATTAACATGTTGAGAGGTTAGTAGCGGTAGCTTTATGCGATGCGGTTCAAGCAAGTGTTTAGGGTACATGCCTATCTTGCGCGTTAAACAGAAATTAATTAGTAAACACAAAATAATTAGTAAGGTGTATGCTTTGCCAAGAAGCTCAGGGTGAAAAGATGACTCTGTTAAAATCCTCACACCCAGCACACAGGCAGTCCAGGAAACATATGAGTGTCTAAAGAGAGAAGGGTCAACAAGACAACATATTGTAATGCACCGAGAGTCCAAACTGTTGTGTAGAAGCCTTCCAGTGCTTGGTAGGGGTGTCGAGGCCTTCGTCTGCAGAGTCATCTGCTGCTGGGCTGTTGGCGCTTTGTGTGGGCCTCTTGGGTCAGTGTTCTCCCTTTCGTTTGCCGTGGATGGGCTCCCCACCTGTGTCTCCTGCCGGCATCAAGCCTCACTGCCTCCCGGTCAGCGTTACGGCAGACACCGTAAGTTTTCAGGTGCGGAGTTGCGCCTTCCTGGGTGAGGGTTGTTGGGGCCGCTGAGATGCTAGTGGGTCGTGCATGTTGGCGGGTCCCTCTCTGAAGCATGGGGGCGCGCTTGTTGGAGCCCAAGTTAGCTGGCGCTGTTTCCCGCTGTGCTGGTCTCCGACCTTGGCTCCATCCAAGAGTCGCTTTGGAGGTGCGAGGGGCATTCCCGCCTAGGTGTCGCCGGGTTGCCGGGCGGATCCAAGCTTCCACCTCTCTCATCGCCATCCTGAATGACCGTTTCTGGGCATGGAGCTTGGCCCAGAGGCTGGCGCGGATCTGGTCATAGAACTCCCCTGTGTGCTTAGGAGGCTTAATTTGCAAGCGTTTTGTGGTATGCCGTGTCTTCTGTGCCAACATCTTGTCTGGGCCCGGACAGGCCCATCTTGCTTTTTGTGCTGTCGCTTGGTCATGAGGTGTTGCGGGGGTAATCGCCCCCAACGAGGAACGGGATGTCCCCCGCTGGTCCAGAGGGGGGGGGCAGCAGGGCTGTACTGTGTCTAAACTTGTGTGCAGGTCCCGTGCTGGGATATCGGCCACCTCCCCAGGGCCTCAGGCTCCGCTCCAATGCGGGCCGCATGGTCGGTTCGGGCCTTTCCGCATCACATCGGTGCTGGACGGATATCATACTGTTTCTCATGTTGTCATAAGATGGTTTCTGGTCACCGTGTGCTGCCAGCATTAATGGGTCGATCGGTAGTCGCGTATTTGTGTTCTATATTGCTGGAGCTCTTAGAATGTGCGACCGGCCATCTTGACTGTCAGGCCCCGCCCCCATTTCAGCCTCATTTTAAAAATCAGTGCACTTACAGCAGATTTATTTTTCATTATACAAGGTTTTTTTTTTCTCTATGATTTTTTTTTAATTCCCATAGCTTACCGGAAAAAAAATGATTGTCTTAATAAACTAGACGCACACACAATAATTGACCATGAATAGATCTCGTCATTGTTTTTAGCATTGGTCGTTTCCAGAATCTGCAGTGTTGTGGCACCTAAAGAGTTAAGTGTGCTTTGTTATTCTTATTAGAATTATTAAACATTCCTGAAATTTCCATCACCATTCTGAATGACATTTTATAGCCATAACATATGAGGAAAATCAAAATGTTATGTTTTCCAATCGCTCAGCGTGACTCATGTTGGACGATTACCAGGTATGGTGTTTATTTATTGTTAGTTTAGAACAGACAATGTTAAAGAGACAAAAAGTTATTTTTTTTAAGTTTTTTTTTTTTAAACATCTGCTTCTTCTAATGAAGAGACCGTTTTTTGTTTTTCCCCTTCTGTCTGGGACACTGTCTGGTTAACTGAGTTGCAAACCAGTTACGTCAATCATTAAAGGGACACTCTGGACCCCTAAATTACTTTAGCTTACTGAAAAGCTTTATGTGTGTAGAGTGTGTCCTCTTTTATAAATTTCATAAAAAGTGCAGATTTCAATAAAAAATTGACAATATTATAAATTAAACTTGTGACGCCCCTTGGCTGTCAATCAGACAACAGGTTCTGTTACTTCCTGGTTTAGCTAGCTCAGTGGAACTAAACTCAAGAGGCAGCAATTGCGCGGAACACCTGCCTTACAAACACTTATTGAGCTGCATTGGGAAATCTGTGATTGGACAACCATAGAAAGTCTGGGCATGGTTAGAAGGGGAGGGCTTGCAAAGGCAACAGACAAGAGATCTTTTTCAGACCACAAATAATATTTAATTGAGGAAGTCACATCCTTTTTCAGACCCCAACTGATTGACCTTTATTTGCTAAAAAAAATCTGAATTGTAGAAAATTAAATAATTATTTGCACAGTTCCTTCCAAGTAGGACGCAATGCCTTTTTAAAAAGCTAAAATGCCACAATATAAAGAAAATATATATTTTATTATAGTGACATGTGGACAATCATAGATGATGTTTCACCTAACAAGTATTGTACACACACTGCAATTTCAGTTCTCCATGTACCAAGCAAAGTTAAAAAAAATAAATAAAACATATTAACAAATAGAAAACATTAACCATATGAGTAACAAGTTTCTCTTTATTTATTAAACAGTATGTAGCACCATGTGGTGTCGATCCCAACGCTTTCCTGCAAACCTTTCTAAGTATCCTCCTTCAGTCCCCCACATGGCCCATATGTGCCCAAACCATTGACCAAATGAGAGTAATAAAACTTGTGTAAGCTGTGTCTTTGGATTTCCAGTTCCATGCTATTAGTGTTTTTAATGTTCAAAATAATAATAGATATCATTTCACCTTGGGCAATTCCATTATGGTTCGGATATAAGCCCAAGAGGGTGCGCTCTGGTTGGAATGGGATAGTTACTTTTTCTTGTTCCTTCATATCTTGATGTAACTCCCTCCATAGTGGCGTAATTTTTGGACATCCCCTCCAAATGAGAGGGTATGATCCCTCCATACCACCTTCATAACAATTCCTGGCATTACCAGGAAAGGCGAGAAAGTCTCAATGATGTCAAGTGCCATCTAAATAGCATTTTGCAGAGTAGTCTGGCGTGGTTTGAGTAGTTGGTGAACCTATTAGTGGTGAAAAATAAGATT